AGTACTAGAGTGTGTGTGTAAGATATTTGTATCTGACTCTTTATTTGATAATGTCTCTCACCCCAGAGAGACGTTACAATATACATGTGTGTACATGTGCTTACATGTGCGTACATGTGCTTACATGAGCGTATACACGTACATGTACACATGTACTTAAGGTCATAAAATAGAATTAAAAATTGAAAATGATTACATGCAATACACAATAACGAAAACACAAACACAATATTGTACACGACATGCATGATTTGCTATCAGTTATCATGCATGTATCATATACACTGACGGTAGTAGGTGTGACTTCTCGTACATGTACGAGTTAATGTACATGTACATGGACATGTCATGTACTGTTTTTTGACTGTATTTCTAATGTATTCTAATGATTGTTGTGTATACGTATGGCCATGGCTGACAATGGTTCCGGTTGAATAACTCCATACGCTCGACAAGTACAAGTTCGTTAATATTAGCATGCGTGCAGACTGCTGTGTGTATGCGTGCATTTAATCATTTTAACATGTAATTGTAGAATAATCACAAGTCAATTGTGGGATTCACAGCAAAATGTTCAGCGGCAATCAGCGTGATTGTCCGTGATTGTTATATTTAGTTTCATTTTATGGGAGTTATGTGTGTGTACATACTACTAAAACTTGCATTATTTACACAAATCGTCTTATTGGTTGATTACATGTATATTGCATATATGTACGTGGTTCGACAGTTTGTTTAAACTGGTGCTGTTAAATGGCTAGCAATGATTAATCAAAGCTATTTTTAGCTCGCCGTTGGTTGATTAACAGTGTGTGACAAGCTAATATTTATGAAAATTATAAGAAGAGATCTTCTCAAGTTGCTAACCAAATTTAAGTGCTGACATTTTTTTCAACTGACATTTTTAAAATGAAAAATTACATAATCCATGAAAGATATTTGTCAGGGCCCCAGAGCAACACTAGAGTCTATAGATTGTTTGCACTGTGTCCATCTTCGAGGTGTGTGCTTTTGTTCAACAGGGATAGGCATGAGAAAACCTCTTGCGCATTCATTGTTAATGAATAAACATAACAAAGTAAACCTCCAACATGGCTGCTGAATGTAATCGATCTATATAGAGTACGAGTATTTGCCAACAAAAAAAGGCACTCCTAAAAGCTGCCTTGCAATTCGGGCGATTCACAATGCAGTGCGCCACCAAGAGTTTGCCACAGAGAGTTCATTTTTCCCAGTGCATTGTGGGAGATGGTCGACAAATTCGCAGCGTGGGACGTTTGAAAATGCTATTTTTTTCCGATCAGTAGTTTCCTGAGCGTATGATTCAAGAATATGTTTGCCCTTTCTTTTCTTGTTATCAATATGGTGTTATGTTGTAAGGCGGCAGAACGCCATGCCCCAATCTATGACAAAGTACATGTAGCTCAAAGTTGTCTACTGACTCTCATTCAAATGGGCCATGTTTTGTCGACCGTTAACTTGAAAAATGGACTCTCCGTGGCAAACTCTTGGTGGCGCACTGCCTTGTGAATCGCCCGAAACAAAAAATACAACGACAAAGACTTCTCATTTAGGCTTTCCAATCCAAAACTTTCGGAAAAATCCAGAAAAATGTTACCCCTGTTAAAACGATGTTTGGACAAGGTGTTTTTATTTCTAAAAAAAAAATTGCGAACTTAAAAATGGTATCTGGGCCATTCTATAATTTTAGACTCCAAAGTGTGACATTTTTCCTGTCCCTGTTACCTTGGTACTTTGTAATTTGCCATTCAAGTATCACTAAGAATGACTTTAAACGATTTTTTCAATTTGCAGGGTACGAAGTTCATAATCACTCTTGGAGGACAACTGCGTTAAGGAGTGCATCAGAATTATAAAATGATAAGATGTCGGATGTAGCAGGAACAGGAAAAAAAAAAGGACCCCAAATTTACCCAATGACCCATCGGCGATTTCCTCAACCAAACTTCCCCAGCTGGGTGAGTCACACTATCCATCCTGAATTGTTTTTTTTGTTTTCCCTCCAGCCTCTCGGAGGAAATCAGGCTAATTTATTCCAAATTTGACGTCCTTGAATACGGCACTATTGTTTTTTCGCTGGGCAAACATACAGGTAGCTGATGAGTGCGTGAGGATGTTTCAATTTGCAGGGATTGCGTTTCAATTTGCAAGGGGATTGCGTTACTGTCTGGCCATTAGCCAATCTGGGGTATATTTTTTTAGACTCTAAAGCTGTGACAAAAAAAATGAGGGATGAACAACATTTGCTTTTGCTGTAATTTTCAGAAATGGATGGATTTGGGGGGTTGGTATTTTACAATTTATAGACGTCGGGGAATTGTCAGGTCTGGGAAACAGACTATAAGCTGGCTTGCACCCGTTCACTAATTTGGTAAATTGGGGGCAGTATTTGTAATGAAAAGTTGTTTGTTTTTTCCCCAACGATGGTCGGTCGACCATTGTTGGAAATTGATAAAAAATTCCACTTTTCTTGAAAATGACAGCACACCAGGCGCCATGATTCCACGCAATGCTTGACACTATTATTCACTTACAGTCAAGTAAGGTATTTCATAATAATTTGGTAGTTTTGTTTTATGCTTTTTGTTTTGCAAATGTTGTATATACATGTATTGCCTTTAAGAATTCTCTTTTTTTTAAGATGTTTTTTTTTCTTCTTTTCTTAACAGAATATTAAGAAACTCTAAGGTAGGGTGGACACTGTCTGACTCTAGATGGCGCTGTTCAATCATGAGCACATATGAACACCATGTTTTATGTCCTTCAACTGCAGTTCGTAGCGTAACATGTAATTTAACCCGAACTGAATAATGGACAAGCAATATTTTTTGTCGCAATCTAATAACGCCTTGAGCACGCTACAATCCCGACCAAAATGGTTGGGACACTTCCTGAGCCTGCCACGGTCACCCACTCCCCCGCTCCCCTGGTCAATGTTGTTCTCTCCAGCTGATGAGGCACACACCGCGCAATGAGAGACAACATTGAACGGGGGCCGGGGGGTTGGGGGGCCCAGCGAGATTTGGCCAGGATTGTAGGCTATATCCCATCCACTTTATGGGCTCAAAAATATGCAATAACAATTTTATGATTACTTTCAATTTCAATCGCCAGAACGAAATGCTCCAACCTTTGTAGTGTTTTCCCCAATATCAACAGCACCGTTCAAACACGATGAAAGCACCGTCACAAGTGCGCATATTAATTTGGACCAAGCAAAACTCGCTCCTCGCATTTCGCCCTGTGAAACCACAATGAGATCGCCGTGCTAAAAAGGGAAATTGATGTTTGGATTGTTCGGTTTCAATATACACGCTGGAAGTAATAATAAACAATATCCACCGACATTGTAAAAATGTGTTGTGGTCATGGCAATCACCGATCATTTCTCTCTTCAGGATCATTTGTGAACAATAAGTCAACATAAACCTGCCTTAGAACTTTCCATGAAACAAGGAACGCTGAAATAATGCCGGAGAAAGTGAAACAAAGGGCTTGGTTTCCAAAGGCACGCTGGACGTGTTTCTCTTGTCGTTACTTTAGTGTGACCCAATATGGTCATATGTCCTTATATATGCTTACCATCATGTATCATTTCCATACGGGTACATTACATGTTCATCAAAGTCCCCTTATTTGAGTTTTAATTGGAACACGCAGTAAATACCAGTTGTAAGTTCTGCAAGGAAATACCATCTATGAACGATATTTAAGAGAATTTGCTTTTGCTGTAATTTTCAGAAATGGATGGATTTGGGGGGTTAGTGTATTTTACAGAAAATATTGTTACACTGACTTGTTTGAAGTTTTGTGTTTGTAGATGCTGGAAAAAACAAGAAAAACAATCATGTTCCTGTAGTCTGGTTCCCTGACCCCACTTAAGATGAAACTGAGCAATTTATAGACGTCAGGTAATTGTAAGGTCACGCAACCAGTCTAGCTGGCTTGTACCCGTTCAAAGGTGTGTAACTGATTGCAAACAAAATGCGGACTAACTAAATATGGTGAATTGGGGGCAGTATTTGAAAAAAAGCCATGTTTTTTTCCAATGCTGGTCGGCTGACCAGCGTTGGAAATTGATACAAAAATACCACTTTTCTTGAAAATGACAGCACACCAGGTGCCATGATTTTACAGGATGCTTTAGACTGTCGTTCACTAACAGTTCAGTATAATTTGGTAGTTTTGTTTTTGATGCTTGCAAATGTTGTGTATTCCCTTTAACTTAGGGCAAATTCACAACAAAGATGCCTACGTGAACAAAAGAACAGCTGCACAGTCGGTGGTGCCTACTGAGTGACATGCATGAGTAATCTACAGTTGTGACAGTCCTCCCCCAACAAACACAACAACCACTAAACGTCCTGCCATACTGGTTTACGCAATGCAACTACCGTACACGTCCTGATTTACAGCAACAGTTTTTGATCTGTGGACAATAAACTGGACCGGTTTAATCCCTTCATTTCCTGACTGATGTTGAAAGCCAAGAAGTGCACATGTCGCAGCATGTCACACGCTTCAGAATTCATTCTCTGCTCAGAACTGCTATACCCAAAGTGAGGATTCACTCACAAAACAAAAGGCTCTGAAACAGAGGCTGCCACGACAAAGGCCTGAAGTCATTTTGCTGTCATTTTTCCCTTTCTTCTTAATTACAGTGGTGGATCCAGGACTTTCCACAAAAAGAAAGAAGGGGGGTGGGGAAGGGCTGGGGTGTTGAAGATTTTTCAAGGGGGGGGGGGGGTTAGTCTATGCAATAGCTGCTTGCATACAAGCGTTTTGATATTCTCGCAGATTCGGCGATTAATTATGCAAAACAAAACTGCTCTTCTGATCCCCTTTTGCATCCCTTTACCTTGAGTGGCTTAAATTTCAACATTGCAATAGGCGACTTCCATAACATAAATTTTTTTTTTAAAACCACCCCAAAAAAAACCACCCTACAAAAGCCCAACAACAAAAGCAACCTAACGTACCTCGGCCGGCATGTGCATGAGCAGCACGGCAGCGACGGGCGCCTGGGCCTGACAGTAACCATCCCGCGGGTTGTAGATACTGTACGCCTTGAGGATGCGGAACAAATCCTGCTGGCCATGGCCGTCGCGATTGGCAAACATCTCGTGGAAGGGAAACTGACGATCCAGGTCCTTCTGGATGACCTCCAGCCACTTGGGGTCGCCTTCGGAGGAGTCCATCTCCTGGGGAATCAAAGCGTAAAACAGGAAATGGAATTGGAACTTGCATCCATTTCAGAATTTACATCCATTTTGTATGAGGTGCAACTTACGCTGACCTAAATAGAATTGGGTTTCAGAAAGGCAAACTTTTTGCATTGATTCTCTGTTGACTATGTGGAGTGCCGTGGCCTCGTGGTTTGGGGCATTGAATTCGTGGTCTGCGGGTAATTCTGCATGTTGGGGGTTCGAGTCCAGCCTGGGGTCATGGTGCGTGTGCCCTTGGGCAAGACATTTTGTCACTCATTGCTTCTCTCCCACCCAGGAATAAATGGGTACCTGTGAGGGCAGAGATGGTTATTGTGATTGATTCTAGCTTCCTTGCGCCTAACAGGCTGCATCGAGCTGTATACTCCCCAGGGAGCTGAGATGTATTTGGAATGTTTAATTGGCCCAATGATCAGGGGTAATAATGATGTAAAGCGCTTTGATCTTAGTTAAAAGCGCTATATAAGAACCTGTTATTATCATTATTATTGACTAGACTTTGGAGTTGTTCCGAACGACTGCAACAGTCAGTCTTTCGACATAGCGCTCCCAACTGTTTCAAACCTCTAACTTTACATGAACCTAATTCAAACATCAATATAATATGGTTCAGTGTGACTATGGAATCCTACTCAGAAAGAATATTAACCCTCTTATGCAAACACATGATTTCATTCCAAATCAATCAAGTGACTGTTTTCAACAGTTAAGAGCTCCCAGCCTCTACAAAGCAGGATTGACTGGCTGTGACTGTTTGTGTAACTTGATATAGATATGCCTTGACTGTAGGTGACTGATAAGCCAGCTGTGCCTACCACTTGCCTGTTTGTGTCCGTTAACTGAATTTGACTACTCACAGTGCTTGCTTGAAATGTGATCTGACTGTTGGTGACTAGCCTGTGTAAAAGGCATGGCAGGTGATTTTCTGACTGTCTGTGACTGTTCAGATAGCAGGAAGGTTAACGGTTTTTAATGGAATTTGAAATCAGGAGATGTACATGTAGATTTAAATTTGGGATTTTGCCTTGTCATCAATGATATTTTACAAGCATTGTATACTCAGTGCTGTGATAGCTTGTGAGAGAACTTCGGAGGCAAAACCAAGAATTAAAATATAAATTTCCCAGATGCGAACTTCCAAAGACATATTTTGCAAAACCAGTAGATAAAACCAGCCAGCCAACCCCAGCCAGCTCTGTGGTTGAGTGGTAAGACATCTGCACTACTCGTGAGCAGCAGGTCAAGGGTGCCAGTCCCATCCGAGTAGCTTGTTCATTTTTTTTCTTCTCAGAGTATCCTTTGGTGAGGCGGACTAACCTGCCATCTTGCTTTGTTCTGCTCGTAGAGCTTCTTGCTTCCACACAGATACTGCCACGCTCTGGGGCGAATCGAACAAGGAATGCCCTTACGACATCTTTCCCGAACCTACATACAGAAAAATATACAAAAATTTCATACGAGGCTCTCATTATAAATACAAGAAAATGAAATTCATTTACCTTTCAGGCACCTTTCCATGCAATTTTCAGTCCATTTAGTGTCCATTGTGTTCTAAACTGTAAGTTTTACCACAAAATTGACAAAAAAAAACACACAAAGAAACACTCAAGTAAATCTGTGTCCACGGGGACTGGGGAAAGACGCTACAAACAAACATAGGTCTAGTTCAGTTCTTGGGACAGTTAAGTTACTTACTTTCTTGGGTTTTTTGCTCATCCACTTATCCCAGTCATCCAGCATGTCCAGCCATTTGATCTCTCGTCTCCTGATGACCTGCACCGGAGTGTTCCAGTCCCTGTAATCACAGACCGTAATCACATGAAATTGTGATATGGGGGTTACTTAACAAAGCGTACTCTGCACAGATGGGCACTTAAGTGAGCGTAATGGCTTATGAGGTCATTCTATTTTTGTTTCTACTTGACAGAAAAATTTGAATAGATAAATGTACAGTGTATGTAACCTAATTTTGCATACATGTATACATACTGTATACAGACATGTTTGTTTTACTCTATGTGGACATTCCTTTGTTTTCGTGTTAAGAAAACTCAGTCCAAAAATAACTTTACTTAAACTGTGAAAACTCTTTCAACCCCAAATTTGTTTTTTGATTTCCTTGAATGTTTCTCTTCATTCTGCGACGGATAACCCTAACCCGAAAATTCCTCTAAACCTGTTTTCAAGAGAGGGCAAAACGTTATGTGGACACGACTTAATAGTCCACATAACGTCAACACAACCTGCATTATGTGGACATCTTTGTTCACATGTCCACATAGCGACTGTAAGACAAAATCATGTATACACACGTACATGTATGTGTATGTGTACATATACTGTTGGGCAACAATACCACTTTTCAATGAATGATACAGTGTACATGTATGGGCCAGGTCACACAAGACAATTTTACAGGCAACGTGTTCCATGCAATCTCCTAGAAGAAAACCACAGGCGAATTTTAAGTCCCTACAAGGTTCTAAAAATGCCCATAAAATGTACATGTACTTCACTCTACAAAGGAGCTTAATTTTCCTTTCAGTTTGGAGTGGATTTGGTTGCTTTCAGGGTGCCAAAGGAAATTGCCTTGTGTGACGTGCTGTCCACCATTGTTAGGGTCTTGTCTCAATGTTATTCACACAGTAAGCACATACATGTACATGTATATCACAATCCACTTATAAACAAACTTTTTTTTTCTTATCATGCTGCCAAGCTCCAATCTTAAAAGACACTGGCTACAAGTCATTTATTTGATTGAACCCAAAAAATAGGACTGAAACAGTTTAAGTCACTTGCCTAAATAAAATAATGATGAAATGTAACAAGACACACAGAAAAAAATTGACATAAAAACAACAATATGACTTTTGTCGCTGTGACCTCTTGAACACCATAGAGGTGCTCGACCAACTGCGCTACAATGTATCTAACTTTATATTAGTGCTTTCCATATTTTTCCCTTCTTATAGCTCCACGGTTTTAGTGGCATTAAAAAAATCTTCATATTCCCCATTTAAAATTAATACATGCTGTATCTTGTTACATGCTCCTGCAGTATTTTTTTTGATCAACGTCACTTTCCACATTTAGTGACATATATGCCCAAGTTAATTGTACCATCGGAGCGATGTACATTTGTACTTGTTCATGAATACATGCGTACATGTACCTATTACGTTAGGTATGCTGTACGTGTGAATGCATCTGATCGGTTACCGGTTATGACTGTAAACCAAGGAAGTTGAACTTCCCGACCTTTTGGACAAAATTAGGAAGCCGACATGCCCGGCATCAGGAATTCTGTACAAACATTCTGTGCGTCCCACTGAGCTACGAGGTGAACGGATTGGTTGCAGACAACGGACTGATAATGATAATGACGGGGGTGGATTTAACAGGGCGGGGCTTGGAAGTGCAGGGGCGGGGTTGAATACGGCTTTTCAAAATAAACAAATCTGTCAGATAATAGGTCTGGGTTTAATAGGGGTTGGTATTTAGAGCCTAGAGGATAACATTAGACCCCTACAAACTGCTCACTGTAACGTGAACCAGAACAATGAATTCTGACTTGTCACACGCAGAGCGTCAGATTTTTTTTGAAAACTGACTCAAAAGGCACATTATTTCTGTATCTTATCTGCATCATATACATGTAGTCGGCAAAGCATTCCAGGGGAAACATCACACCAACTTAGAGAGAAGACAATGAGATAGTTTTAGAGGTGGGAGGAAAAACTCAGAAGATATTCTTGGGAAAACCCATAGAATCAGGCAGGGACTGAAAACCCAATCCACATGTTGGCCCAGGCGGGATTCGAACCCGGGTCACAGCGGTGGAAGGCGAGGAAAGTACCGCTACGCCAACCTGTCTCCCATTTGACAAAGAACATGTATGGTCAGAATTCAGGAAAACGTTGCATGTCTGAATACAGGTTCACCGTGAAGGGGGGGGGGGGGAGTTTTACTTGAAATTCCTGACACTCAAATTGATGTGGCAGGAAAAAAAAAGGATGTGGCCGGGAATGAAAATCTCTTATTTTTAATTTTTTGGGCCTCATACACTATACATGTATGTTCCAGACGTTCTTCAAAGGCAAGCCTATATTTGATCAACAACTTGCCCGTGTTTTTCCTAGAAGTTTGCATAAAATTAGCTAAAGTGTTTTTCCTGGCTTGTTTTGGTGACGAGCCACTTATCAGTTCTTATCAGTTTTGATTTGTTTAATGACCGTGAGCATGGTACCAGTATCAGGATATCCACAACAACAGGAACAGTATTATGAAAGATTATTGTGAACCGTTTCCTATATTCTATTTTCATCACATTCTGTTTTTTTTTTTTGCGGACTGGACCAACAAAGGCGCTTGTGTGCAGAGTACATGTACTTGTATATGTTGCAAGACTTTTGTTATTTCCTTGTGTAAACACACACATGTACATGTAGCTTTTAGCGCCCACAAAAAGTTCGTAAAGGGAAAATACAACATTTGCAAACATCGAAAAATAAAACTAACAAGTTGTTACGAAATACCTTACTAGGATGTTGGTAAATGACAGTCTAAAGCATCCTGTAAAATTATGGCACCTGGTGTGGAGTCATTTTCAAGAAAAATGGTACTTTTGTACACATTTCCAACGGAGGTCGGCCGACCACCGTTGGAAAAACCTACATGTAACTATTTTTCAACTACTGCTCCAAATTAACCATTTTTTTTCAGTCCAAATTTTGTTTGCTATTGGTTCCATGTTCATGAATGGGTGCAGGTCAGCTAGACTGGTTCCCTTACCTTACAGTTTCCCGGCATTTTTGATCCATTTCATCTTTAGTGGAGTCAGGGAACCAGACTACTTGAAGATTTTAGTTTTCCTTGGTTTTTCCAGCATTTTCGAACACAAAACTTCAAACATGTCAGTGTAACAATATTTGATCTATTATATTAACCCCCCGAAATAGTTCATTTCTGAAAATTACAGCAAAAGCCAATGATGTACATTCCCTTTAACTGTATGTGGCACACGTAGGCATGCATGTACATGTATACGTATCTAGGCGTGACTACATGTACATCACAAAACTAATAATATGATTTGTTTATAAATCCTGGGTAGGAGAAACAGTGCTGGTGTACTACTATAACTACATGTACATGTATCTGTCTTGTTTAGCTTTTTGAATTGCGGAGAAACAGTAGAGGAAAAAGTTCATTTTTCCAAACTTGAAGGAAAACTTCAAAAGCGATGGTCTGGATAAAACCTGCCAGATATTTATGTACTGGTACATTGTACATGATAGGTCTGTATGTCCTAATCAATATACCACGTGGCCCTGGCAGAGAAACACACACACACATACATGTACAGTCAATCCATGGGGGTCAGGCATCAGGGGGACAAGTCCCCCCACTTTTTAAAGTGGAGGGATATCATCTCCTTTGTCCCTCCCCCCCCCCCCCCACTTTTTCCTTCCCTGAATAAATATTGTAACCTACATTTTGATTCTATAGCTTAGAATAGCTGATTCAATGACTCTAATTTCCAAAATGATGTTTAATTAAATGATGATCTTTTGCTCAAAAAATTGGTTAAAGTGGTCAGAAATTGCCTGAGATCGCACCACAGAACGTCTGGAATCCAAACATTTTCAACTTCAACTTTATTTCAAGGGCCCATATTATGTCCTGTGTCAAGTATTGTGACTAAGCTCTATCGCATACAAAAAATCCTGAAAAATCCTACAAAACCAGGAGGACCTTGAAGGATCTTGGAGGGGAAGGACTGATCAAAGATGGTACAAAAAAAAAACTGATGACCTCACAGGAAAACAAAAACACTTGAAAGAAGGTTCTGTACAGGAAGGACTATTGTTCCACAGTTCCACTATTAAAACAAGTCAGGTGTGTTTACAAACACAAATGCCCCGCAACGGTGACAGTTCCCATGACATAACACCACTCTTTTAACATCAACTTACATGTACCTTGGTCACATGGAACATTCATTGACAGCATTAGTGTCTTCTGTAGGTTTTATATGAATTAATCCCTAATCCCTATAATCTCAGAATAAATACATGATTTCTATTGTTTTAGCCACTGTGAACTTGACCCTTGACCTTTTGGCCCCAAATTCAATAGGCTTCTTAGGATTACCAAGAACAATCCACAAACCAAATTTGAAGTTCATATGTTAAGTATTTCTCAAGTTATCGCGCTGACAAGATTTCTATTGTTTTAGCCACTGTGAACTTGACCCTTGACCCTTTGGCCCCAAATGCAATAGGCTTCTTAGGATTGCCAAGAACAATCCACAAACCAAATTTGAAGTTCACATGTAAAGTATTTCTCAAGTTATCGCGCTGACAAGATTTCTATTGTTTTAGCCACTGTGAACTTGACCTTAGGCCTTTTGGCCCCAAATGCAAAAGGCTTCTTAGGATTGCCAAAAACAATCCACAAACCAAATTTGAAGTTCACATGTAAAGTATTTCTCAAGTTATCGCGCTGACAAGATTTCTATTGTTTTAGCCACTGTGAACTTGACCTTTGGCCTTTTGGCCCCAAATGCAAAAGGCTTCTTAGGATTACCAAGAACAATCCACAAACCAAATTTGAAGTTCATATGTTAAGTATTTCTCAAGTTATCGCGCTGACAAGATTTATATTGTTTTAGCCACTGTGAACTTGACCTTTGGCCTTTTGGCCCCAAATGGAAAAGGCTTCTTAGGATTACCAAGAACAATCCACAAACCAAATTTGAAGTTCATATGTTAAGTATCTCTCAAGTTATCGCGCTGACAAGATTTGTCCGGACACACACACACACACCCCACCCACCCACACACCCACCCACACACCCACCCACACACCCACCCACCCACGGAAGGACAAGGCGGAAACAGTATGCCCCTTCGGCTTCGCCGCGGGGCATAAAAAAGTTGTAGACTTAATAGCTACATGTACATGTATTGTTCATTGACGTAATACATGTCATGAACCTACACGTACATAAGTATATATTCTATTACATTTACTTCAAATAGGCAATTTCAATATTGTCTAAATATAAGAAGCCTACTTGATTTACGTACTTATCCAGACAATTGAACAGTGTTTTACAATGTCCATCTTGCATGCCACTCTGTACATGTATTCGTACAGTATGAATCAATGTACAAACACACACATATGCCATGAACGTACATTGTACATTTCTAATCGATAAAAAACATCTGCTTATAAAAACTAACACTAACTGATTGAAACAAATCAATAAATGTTGCCAGAACTAATTTCCTCGAAAGGTGAAGTACTCTTGGCAGTATTGTATGTAATGCTGTGTTTCAGTGTTGGTGTGTCAATACATGTAGACTACTTGGACAAAGGTTTGCAAACATTGCCAATTATGACAGGGAATATCTACCTAATAAATAACTGTTTTCATTCATGCGTGTCTTGAATAGCCCTAGTTAATATTACACTGAAATAATATAATCTAGTCAACTGGAATTAGTATTTAAAGGGAATGTACATCATTGGCTTTTGCTGTGATTTTCAGAAATGAACTATTTGAGGGGTTAGTATGATAGATCAAATATTGTTACACTGACATGTTTGAAGTTTTGTTCGAAAATGCTGGGGAAAAAAACAAGAAAAACAAACATGTTCAAGTAGTCTGGTTCCTTGACGCCACTAAAGATAAAATGGATCAATTTATAGATGCCGGAAAATTGTAAGGTTAGGGAACCAGTCTAGCTGGCCTGCATCCGTTCATGAACATGTAACCAATAGCAAATAAAATTTGGACTGAAAAAAGTGTAAAGTTGGAGCAGTAGTTGAACAATAGTTAGGTTTTTCCAACGGTGGTCGGCCGACCACCGTAGGAAATGTATACAAAAATACTATTTTCTTGAAAATGACTTCACACCAGATGCCATAATTTTACAGGATGCTTTAGACTGTCATTTACCAACATCCTAGTAAGGTATTTCGTAAAAACTTGGTAGTTTTATTTTTCGATGTTTGCAAATGTTGTATATTCCCTTTAAACTTGCAATGGTCAATGTCACATAACCCAATTCCATAAAGCTGCTTAGTACTGAAATACATGTATGTGCTTAAATGCTGTGCATGATATCATTCTGTGCATAGCACAAAGATTTTGTGCCTATCCTGTAAGCAGAAAATCTTTAGCTCTCTAAGAATCCTTACGTGTCTCTTACAGAAGTTCTTTAACTATTTTCCTTCCATCCTGCATCGCAATCAATGAAGAATTTTAGTAAAGACATTGCCATGGGCTCAGTGCAAAAGTGAAAGACCATGCTAGGGACATTTCAAATAATGTAACACAAAACAGTGCATTTTTCTTTTGATGACACATTTTCATAATAGAAAATTGTGATTAAAATTTTGTGTGTGTTTTTTGGGCTCATTTTAAGTGTTCGATTTAAATTCAAATATCAGTATTTTTGAAATCATGATTGCCGTCTGCCTTTAGTTCATTTGAATAAGGCGCGAATAAAGACAAAGTTTTTGAGAAAATGTGAGCTTTAAGCATTTCAGTCATAATCTGCACACCAATTTGTATGCAAAATAATCACACTTATAACTCTGCAATACACATACACATTTCAGGGACAAAGAAAAATCCCTGCTTTAAATCAATTTTTCTTTGGTTTGCAGAATCCGACAGAATCCCAAACTTGCATTGAAAACGTTTCTTATGACTTTTTCTACAAAACAACATCAAAACCAAATGTAGAAAATTTATTCACAAACATATCAGCCTCCCTTTAAGCTACCGAGAGTCGAGACCATGTCAACTTATTTTTGGATCTAACCCAAGTTGGCCAACAAATATAAAATTTTATTCTGTAGATACGGGTACATGCAAATGTTACAATCAAAACAAAAACATCAATAGTACATGTTCCTATTATATGCTACATACAAGTATATATACATGAGCAAATGAATTTAAATACATGTACAGTATACTTGTAGATCGTGTATGGTTACCCCCGGCTGTGCGCACTATTCGCCATGATGACACATTGATACTGTCAATAAGCTATTTGATATCAACGCTGGCCGACTTATTTTCTAAATTAATTTGGTTTAGGTTACAATGCTACTGGTCTGTATGCAGGCTCGGAATAGACTGGGTAAAACCACAAAGCCTGCCGGGCTCTAACCAGCCAGACGGACCACCTTTACGAAAACTCTGACGCAAATGTTAGCAGGTAAAAATAGTTCACATGGATTAGAGCATAATTCAGAGTGTATTTTTAAGGAAAACATTTAAAAATCACTTAAAGTCCCCTCCCCACTATTTAAAGTGGGGGATATCATTTCGTTTGTCCCCCCTCTCCCCCTCTTTTTTCGTCCCCGAATAAAATTGTAGCCGAGATAAGCTCAGAATGGCTGATTAAATGACTCCAAACTCGAAAATAATGTTTAAAAGATGATCTTTTGCTCACAAAAATTGCTTTAAGTGGTCAAAACTTGCCTCAGATCTCACCACAGAGCGTCTATCATCCAAAAACTTTTCGGGGCCCGCTTGCCCCACGCCGTTAGGGCTTCCCCCTTCGCGCTCGCATTAGTATGCCCCCCCTCCCTCCCCCCACTTTTGAGAAGCGATTGACGCCCTTGGAAATCCTGAGTGTGGGATCTGAACGGATGAAAATGCATATATCCTAGGTACAGGCTGAAAGATTCGAATCCTCTCATTAAAAAAAAGAACCATTGATACCAATACTTCAACACTTACGAATCTTTCGTGAACTGCTTGCCGCCCGTGAAACCGAACCGATCCGTCTGCTCTTTGGGCCTTGTCGACGCCACCATGCCATTGGCTGTCATGCCCTGCTCATCGGCCAATGAGGACGGACTGGGCGGGGCATTATTATAATCCTCACTGGAGGCGACCGAGGCTCCGTCAATTGGAACATCCTCGACCACATCGTGTCCATTGCTCATAGCCATATCCATAACGGGGTTGCCAGAGCCACTGGTATCTTGAAGTTACGCCGCACTTACTGTCAGATCACAATGCTACGAGAAAAGAAAACAAGGCAGAAATTAATTAGATCATTTGTTGTAAATTAACCCTAAATTATCTGAATATATCAAAATCGACACTCCTGTTTTTGGAGGATTTTGTCGGATTCAGGATACCTCCATATTGAGAAAGTTTGGGAATTTTGATGGATTTAGGACAGTAAGCCTAGCGGTACTGCAGGATTTTGATAGATTCAGGACACCTCCATGTTGAGCAGTTGGGGGACTTAGATGGATTCAGGATCTCAACAGTTTAACTCCTTGGCTATGTTTGGTGTGTTACGAGGTACATGTATATGCACTACACTGGTGGATTCTGATGGACTCACTAGTGTATTCTGATGTGACTCAGGACAAAAACATTTTTTTTGCATGACAAAATACTTTCTAGTAAAAGTGCTCAAGGGGTCAGAGTTAATGCTTGGATACAATGATCAGCCAGTAATATTACCCTTCCGTCGGTGAAGGGCAAAACCTAATGTATCAAATTTACATCACCCCGATGCAAATTCCACTTTATAAATAGTTTCATTGTGGTACCCGCTGCTACCTCAGATTCGAACCAGCCAGCCGATCCCGACAAGCTCGGTGGTCGAGTGGCAAGACGTCTGCACTAGAAAGCAAGGGGTTGTGGGTTCGAGTCCCGCTGTGTGTGATTTTGCCTTTTTTAAAAATTCTTCAGGTCTTGGCCTTTTTCTTTTTTTTATCTTGAAAAAGCCGCTAATTTTTTTTAAAGGTAGTGACTTTTGTTCTGGCAGCAGTAATGCAATTTTCAACTGCTATCGTTACAACATTGCAAAATAACACAATTGCGAATCTGTATCAACTGTCTGGTTCCCTGTCAGTGATACTAGTATTCAACATCAGGATCTTTGGCTGTTGGAACCAGACAACCGAATGGTTCTCAGACCTTGTTTCCCTTTTTTAAATAATCCTCCAAAGCCACTGATTACAAAGACAAAAATGAAATCTACTCAAATAAAAAGAACGACTTGATTAAAAACATTAAAAGTTATAAAGAAAACAAAAGAAAAAAAAGGACACAAACTTTGCGCAGCGTGTATTCGATCCCGGAACCTTCGGAAAGTTTAGTAGTTGAACATTTCAATTGAGCTACCGAAGCGGTCTTGTTGAACGGGTAGCCTAGTAAATAAATGTGATATAAATTTGCAATGGTGTGTTTGCAATGCCGTAATGACAGCAGCTGAAAAAAATCGCGTTACACTTACAGCTGCCGTAGTCCGAGTAACTTGGACCCAACTTATCGCCTTTTAAACGACCATGCTGACGCTGAACATGTTGAACATTATGGTAATCCTTACTTTTAGGACACCTCTATTTTGTACGAGTTCTGTTCAAAACTGACTTTTGCAGATGACTGTCCAGTACCACAGTGACTTTTGCTGGCTAAAAGAAGTCTTTTTTCTTCAGACAAACTCATGTTAGTAATAATTTTGAAAGCACTTTCAAAGAAAATGTGACTTTCCTACCTTTTTTTGCATTTCGCCATCTTGCTTTTTAAATATATTTCCTGTTTGTCATCGTCGTCTTTAACCCCTCATAAATCAAAGCCCGGCCCTTTTTATACAAAATTAAACCTGCTGATATTCAAGAGGTGTTGCCAATGCCAAATGTTCAAATGTGCCAAGAAATATCAGAATGTCACATTTGATTGTCATTTAGTCAACTGTTTTGGTGAGTCTTTTAACCTTATATAGAAAAGGGGTCCTAAAGGTAAGGATTACCAACATTATGAGGTCACGGAACCTGACGGCCGACTGCCGTAACAATAGCCACTGCGAGTGGCGAGTAAATCGCGATTGGGAGATAGCGAGCGCACATCCGACCGATCGCGATCATGATACATTAAGCATACGCATAGCGCCTACGGCGCATAATCTTTGGCCATCGCACAGGCTCATCATGCTCATCACACAAGCCGACGGATGTTGCTGGCGGTGAAAATAATGCAGTGAAAAAGGGAAAAGATCGATATGCAAACAGTACTCACAATTTAAGGTCAACTATCACCTCTCTGAGACCCATGTTTTTGACAGTAGAAATCTCTTCGCACCCCAATCCTCCATTTTATCGAATGTTTCAACCCCAAATAACCCTTATTCAGTGTTGTATGAAAACACGTACGGAACCGAAGAAAACCTGGTGCTCTTTTACCTTGTCTTTAGTAGCGCTCCACCATGAATGTATCTGGGAGCAAGACGAAAGCGGAAGTTGCATACTGCTGGCCCATGCGCACTAATGTTTTGGTTTTAAAGAGCCAGTTGCCGTCTTTCAATAGGGAGAATTTGAAAACATGCAATGATATGTATTCCTATCGAGCTTCTGTGTACTGTACGGGATTTTTTTTACAAAAAACTGAGATGAAAGTTTTACAAAAATATGCCACACCTACCCATGTTTTTAGCTTGATTGTATTTTCAGGAACTCATGTTCGAACTTTTCTATCGACAGTGTTCGCTCTTACCGTACCGCCCTGCTGCTGTTTGCAGGGCGGGGGTGCGAGCGAATCGAGATGTCGGTTTTGAAGGGCGCCCCCGAATATCTCATGGGTCCGTCTGCCAGAGTTCTAGTTGATTTCATGATAGACTCTGGCGGCGGCTTTGCAAAGCATGCAATACACTTGTCTTATAAACCAAGAAAGTGGATGTTCGTACTGTCATATTACCCTGGAAATATCCGCGCATGTGATCACTGTATGACAAAATTCTGAAGTGTGCTATTCGCTCGTACCCCCGGCCCGAGCGAAAAGTGTGCTTGCGTGTTCAATAGTCGGGGGTATTTTCTGTACATGGGACGTTTGTAAGGCAGGTTTTGTACGTGATGACAAAAAAAGTTCTTTTTGGTGACTACAACATTGGTTTGTCTAAATATTTTAAAGGCTTATTGAACCTGTACTTAACAATGATTAACGGAAATTCCAAAACAGTACGATAAGTATTTAATGAGTTATTGTTCCAGCAGCGCGTGGGTTGTTTCTGCGTGTTCAATAGTCAGGAGTACTTTCTGAACACTGGGACGTCTTTGAAGCAGGTTTTCTCTGTGATGAAAACAAAAGTTCTTCGTGGTGACTACAACATTGGTTTGTCTTAATATTTTGTAGGCTTATTTAACCTGTCCTTAACAATAATTAAAGGGAATTCCAAAACAGTACAATAAGTATTTAATGAGTTAGTTTTAAGCAACGCGGGGATTGTTTCTGCGTGTTCAATAGTCGGGAGTATTTTCTGTACACTGGGACGTCTTTAAGGCAGGTTTTATCCGTGATGACAACAAAAGTTCTTTGTGGTGACTACAACATTGGTTTGTCTTAATACTTTATAGGCTTATTTTACCTGTACTTAACAATGATTAACGGAAATTTCAAAACAGTACGGTTCGTATTTAATGAGTTATTGTTCAAGCACGCGTGGGTTGTTTCGGCGTGTTCAATTGTCAGGAGTATTTTCTATACCGGGACGTCTTTTAGACAGGTTTTCTCCGTGATGACAAAAAAAAGTTCTTCGTGGTGACTACAACATTGGTTTGTTTTAATATTTTAAAGGCTTATTTTACCTAACCTTAACATTGATTAAACGAAATTGCAAACCAGTCCGGTATATGTATTGTTTGAGTTATTGTTCAAGCAACGCGCCAGTGAACTGTTTCTGCGTGTCTGTACACTGGGACGACTTTAAGGCAGGTTTTCTGCGTGATTACATAATTATTTATTTTGGTGACTACAACATTGATTTGTCTTAATACTTTATAGGCTTATTTAACCTGTAATTAACAATAATTAACGGTAATTTCAAAACATTACGGCTAGTATTTAATGAGTTATTGTTCAAGCAATGCGTGGGTTGTTTCTGCGTGTTCAATAGTCGGGAGTATTTTCTGTACACTGGGACGTTTGTAAGGCAGGTTTTCTCCGTGATGACAAAAAGTTCTTTTTCACGGTGACTACAACATTGGTTTGTCTTAATATTTCAAAGGCTTATTTTACCTGTCCTTAATCATAATTAAAGTAAATTTCAAACCAGTACAACAACTATTTAATGAGTTATTGTTCAAGCAACGCATTGGTTGTTTCTGCGTGTTCAATGGTCGGGCGTATTTTCCGGGCTGTACACTTAGCCATGGGACGTCTTTAAGGCAGGTTTTATCCGTTATTACAAAAAAGGTCTTCGTGGTGACTACAACATTGGTTTGTTTTAGGTTTATTTTACCTATCCTTAATATTGATTAAAGGAAATTTCAAACTAGTCCGGTGGGTAGGCCCCTATTGATTGAGTTATTGTTCAAGCAACGCGTGGGTTGTTTCTGAGCATTAAAAGTCAGGAGTATTTTCTGCACACTGGGACGACTTTAAGACAGGTTTTCTCCGTGATTACACAATTATTGTTTTTGGTGACTGCAACATTGGTTTGTCTTAATATTTCATAGGCCTATTTTAACTAATCTCAACATTAATTGAAGGAAATTTCAAACCAGTCCAGTAGGTATTGGTTGAGTTGTTGTTCAAGCAACGCGTTTGTTGTTTCTGCGTGTTCAATAGTCGGGAGTATTTTCTGTACACTGGGACGTCTTTAAGACGTTTTCTCCGTGATTGCATAATTAATATTTTTTGGTGAATGCAACATTGGTTTACCTTAATACTTTATAGACTTATTTAACCTGTACTTAACAGTAACTAACGGAAATTTTCAGACGAGTACGACAGGTATTTAATGAGTTATTGTTCAAGCAACGCATGGGTTGTTTCTGTGTGTTTAATAGGAGTATTTTCTGTACACTGGGACGTCTTTAAGGCAGGTTTTATCCGTGATGACAAAAAAAAATTCTTTTTGGTGACTTCAACATTGATTTGTTTTAATACTTTATAGACTTATTTAACCTGTACTTATAATTAAAAGAAATTAACAATAATTAACAGAAATTCCAAAACAGTACGATAATTATTTAATGAATTATATTTCAAGCAACCCATGGGTTGTTTCTGCGTGTTAAAAAGTCAGGAGTATTTTTTTGTACACTGCATGGGACGACTTTACGGCAGGTTTTCGTGATTGTTTATTGGGGACTACAACATTGGTTTGTCGTAATACTTTATAGGCTTATTTGCCTGTCCTCAACAATAATTACTGAAAATTTTAAACCAGTACGACAAATATTTAATAAATTTTTGTTCAAGCAACGCGTGAGTTGTTTCTGCGTGTTGAAAAGTCAGTATATACCCTATGGGACCGTACGTCGAAGGGAGGTTTTCTACCCAAACAAGTTTTTGGTGACTACAACATTGGTTTGTCTTAATGTTTTATGTAGGGTTTAATATACTGGAAATTAAGAATAGTTGAACATTTTAGGAATGACATTTATAAGGTCTATACTGTAAATGTTACTTCAACCATGAGCAACTGTACTGTAGTGGCGTGTTAATGTTAAGGGGGAGCCAAAATTTTATAGCGTCAAACTAAACAGCGCCCTCTTTATTTCTGAGTAAATTCTCCTTACCGTTCCATTTTTCCCTGCCAAAATGCCCGCCATTCCCTTTAACGTCTCCTTCGATTATGTGTAAATCCGCGAATAAAGTTAGGGTTCTGAAACATTACAATTTTATTGACAAATATTTCGAACTGACTTTGTAAATAACCAAACTATTACAATTTGGGGGCTATCCTGCAACACGTACATTGAATTTAGGGACAACGAACAGCTTGGAATTCAATGTGTCATTTGTTGATGTGTGTGTGATCCAATTGAAGTATATTCTTCCGCATTCGCCGTAAAGTTGGTGCAAGGGCCTGACTAATCAGGCTAAAAAATACCGACTTTTTACGCCAAAAGTTGCTCGATAACGGGGCCAAATCCTTCTGTTCCAGGACCACTGGGAGCAGCAATACATAACCCAGCCGCTATGAGCGTCTGATCTTCTTGTCTGTCCGAGAAAACAGTCAAAACACTTATTAAACCCGCCCGGTGTGTGCCGAGTGAGCAACGTAGCGATCTGTGGGGAAAGCATGCAAAACCACGGTGGTAAACGAGGTGGTCGACCAAGGGGTTCCTCCGCAAGGTGAGATTTTTACTGAGAAGGAGCAACGTTGCCGATTCCTATTTCCTCCATATTAACCATCCATACTGATCTACTAATCCTGGCAAATCGTTGAGGTGAACAGGGCGATATCATAGCTAGTTTACAGTCGGGTATTCACCGGTAAATATGGACAGTCGAGTGTTAAAACATGGCCGAGAGGACGGAGGGTCATGTGTACCGGTATTTGTGTGGAACGTGTACAACAGCACTGCGTGTGTGTGACGCGTTTGTTAAGTTTAGAATTGGATGATGTCATTTTTTTCACAAGTGACCATCTCCATGTGTGTCACTGTCACTGTCAGGATATGGATGGTGCTATTTTCAAAGAAGATGTTTCAACTTTGCTAAGCCAAACATTACTGATTATGTTTTCGTTTTCACACTGGAAATGTCTATATTAAAATGTGCAATGTGTATCGTGGTCTAACCAGCTAACTGAGTACAGAGACAGAGTAGGCCTAGATTTGATATTTTTTTTCGGTGTTTTTTACTAGGCCTAGCTTATTTCTATAAATTTTATCATAGGTGAAATTGTAATTCATTTGCATTGTGTGATGAGTCACATGTGAATATTAAACATCTCGTCAGAATTAGTTTATCCATGCCCATGGGAAAAATATGTGCATGCAAAACTGACACAATTGGATTTTTTTTTATAAGAATGAATGGCACAATCATTAGGCGTACTGGTTAAGTTTAAGTGAATAAAATGAAACATGTTAAAGGCCCCTATCACAAGAATCACTGTATGGAACATACACTGGTGGTATGGTAATCTCCAAAGTTTTCACGACACAAAGAAGATCCAGATATTTCGCCTACAAAAAAGTACAAAATAAGGCCAAAAAAAAAAGTCTCCGGTTTCTGGTATGGAGCTTGTCCAAAGAGTGGTGCGGCGACGCGGCTTTTTTTTTTTTTTTTTACCCGACTTTTTTGCTTCAAATGTCGGCTGATGACTGCAAATGGTGCCCGACTAAACTTAGTACAAATATATGGGAGTCCAGAGAGGCCACATAAAGCTTATTCTCGATCATAACCCCATCTAAAAACACGTTGAAATTGCGCAGCAGCAGAATTCCAGTCAAACCAGTGAGTTTGGCGGTTTTGAGACATCATCTTTCATTGAAAAAAAAACTTTTTCATTTTGCCGACGCGCATGGCTACGGCAACGCGCGCGCATACCAGAAACCGGAGACTTTTTTTTTTTGGCCTAAAGGTCCTATGTCAGTATGTGCCTTTTAAAAGAAACTACCTTTTGCTGAAGAAAACTTCAATCGTGTACATGTACATGCTGTATATGTAAGATGAAATTAAGTTATAGTGCTCACCAGGAATATTCTAGCTGAATTTTCGGCCTGATTAGGCCTTCATCAGGGGTCAGACAACTCGACCATTGAGACAACTCGACTCGGGACAGCTTTTTTTCTAATTTTCTATTTTCTTCTCATGTTTTAGAGAAGTAAAGTGTAAAACGCCATAGTGTACACACATTGCGGATGTCGTTTGGGGAGAAAAAAAATTCTTGGCTGGGACTCCCATTTATGCTGGGGTTTTCCAAGCCGAGAGAGAGAGAGAAGGGGGGGGGGGGGGGGGGGAGGGGGAGCATTTGGCGGTCGGTTACAGGATGGGGAGATGCTGAGTTTTTTTGGGGGGGCCGTGGGGATAGTGTTGCCGTGTCCATGCAGCCTGGGGTGGGGGTTGGGGGTAGCCTGTTTGGCTCGGTCGGATCGGGCCGGGATGATGGGGCTGGGGTTGCTGGACGGGGTCGGCTTATTTTAGTTTTGGAAAACGATGGCGCTATCCCATTCATTGGCACTTGGGATGGGCGGACATAAGGTCAGGTAGGTTTCCGATAATCAAATGTGATTGTGTTGTCTCAACGGTCGAGTTGTCCGGAGTCGAGATGTCTCAATGGTCGAGTTGTCTCGACGGTCAAGTTGTCTCAACAGTCGAGCTGTCCCGATTCGAGTTGTCTCAATGGTCGAGTTGTCTGACATTCCCTTCATCGGAGCTGGGAGTTGGACTGGCGGTTTGAATGCAGAAAATTCCACATTGAAACCGCCTGGCGTGAGCGTTCCGAGCTTGTAGATGATGCGTTGTTCCAATCTCCAAGCGCTGTGCGTTCGATGTTGTCATGGTCAGGACACACATGTACATGTACATGTTTGTAAGTGACTTACATACATGTACATGTAAACTGTCCAATAATATTCAGTCATAGGGATAGATGATAAACGACTCTAGTCTATCGGTAACTGCATGATCTGAAACTTTTTATTTTGTTTTGCATATTTCTTATAAACATTTTGCAGTAACACCTGGGCGGCTAAAATATTACATGCATGTAATCTACAGTGTATGATTGCTCAGTACATACATGTACAAATTTACATGACTTAAGGCTAAAAATCTTCTACGCTACCAGCCTAGTTGCTGAGAATTTGAGAAGATCCCAAGTCCTTTTTTTTGTGCCAAAATAAAAACCACAGGTTCACGGTCAAAATTTGCAAAAGCTGTGTAATATCGTAAAAGGGTAAGGTTAACTAAATGTACAAGAACATTCTCAAGCACGCTTGGAAATAGTAAATTGGAAACAAAATATGCAATAGACATGATTATATTTGAATTTGTTTAGTAAAAGTAGTAATAATAATAATTTATAGAGCGCCGAGTTCATTAACCCTAACCTTCCCAAATCCTCCAAAATCTTCTTTGCAAAATGGAGGATTTTTCAGGATTGAAGCTATATGGCAAAAGTGTTTGGCTGATTTTGGAGGACGCACTGCGTCAAGGTCTTGGGCTGGACCTTGGTTTATTTATGCTCAGCCGTGCATAAATTTAGGCCATGATTATACTTGAAATCCTCCGCACTGCTCCAGGATGTCACTTGCTCTGCCTCAACATGTTGACAGTGATAGCTGGAGGATTTTGCAGGATTGAGGCAGTGGTCACCCCTCCAAGGACCACATTCAAGAAATAACGGATGATTTTGGAGGATTGAGGCAGTATGCTTTTTTTACATTGAGGCAGTTGAAGGATTTTGCAGGATTTAAAGCAAAAATGCCTAGGGAGTTAGGGTTAAAGTACCAGATGTGAATCTTTGGAAACACAAATGAAATGTGTGACTGCAGTAACTGCTTGAATTGTTATCTAAATTGGAGGATTTTTTTTTTTTTTTTTCCGTTACAGGGGAGGGCGCATGGGGAGTCGAGGGCCCCCACCAATGCAGCACACTCAGAATCAAAGGGAGGTGAGTTTTACAGGAAACAAACAAACAAAAAAACAAACAACAAATATAACATTGCATAATTGAACTAGGATACTCCTTGTATACATGACATGTATTACTACCTTGGTGCCCATATGCCTACGATGGACTACATTAAAGGGAATATACAACATTTGCAAACATAAAAAAACAAAACTACCAAATTATTACGAAATACCTTACTGGACTGTTAGTGAATGACATTCTAAAGCATCCTGTAAAATCGTGCCACCTGGTGTGCTGTCATTTTTAAGAAAAGTGGTATTTTTGTATAAATTTCTAACGCTGGTCGGCCGACCAGCGTTGGAAAAAAATGCCCCTAATTTACCATATTTAGTTAGTCCGCATTTTGTTTGCAATTGATTACACACCTACGAATGTGTACAAGCCAGCTAGACTGGTTCCCTGTCCTTACCATTCCCCAACGTCTATAAATTGTTCTGTTTCATCTTAAGTGGGGTCAGGGAACCTAAGGAACATGATTGGTTGTTTTGGTTTTCCAGCATTTACGAACTCAAAACTTTAAACAGGTCAGTGTAACAATCTGAAAATTACAGCAAAAGTAAATGTTGTGTATTCCCTTTAAGAATAGACGAACAGGGGCACATGATCGCAGTACACTTACGAGGCCCCCTTCAATGGAGAGACCATTGTGCATGCTACTGTACGCAGAAACTGCCCCGTGACGGATTATCTGAACAATAGCTAGCGCAATGCTTCCGCCATTGACGGGGGCCTCAGTGACAGAAGTGATGGCATTCGTGGATCGGTCCATGCATTACATGCATCACTGCCTTGGTGCCCGTACGCCGGTGATGAAATGCAGATGACTGTGGTTGATGGTCTGGACAAGGTTTAATGAAAATCACTGAGCCGTGACCGTGATGAGCATGCATGCCTTGAGGCCTTCCCTGGGGAAACAAAAGATTTTACTATTGTGCTTCTTCTACTGAAAGGAAAAAGAATTCAGACACCGTAGATGTCAGTGAAATCTGATGTACACTTTTTTTATGCCCCGCGGCGAAGCCGAAGGGGCATACTGTTTCCGCCTTGTCCTTCCGTGGGTGGGTGGGTGTGTGGGTGTGTGTGTGGGTGGGTGGGTGTGTGGGTGTGTGTGTCCGGACAAATCTTGTCAGCGCGATAACTTGAGAAATACTTAACATATGAACTTCAAATTTGGTTTGTGGATTGTTCTTGGTAATCCTAAGAAGCCTTTCGCATTTGGGGCCAAAAGGCCAAAGGTCAAGTTCACAGTGGCTAAAACAATAGAAATCTTGTCAGCGCGATAACTTGAGAAATACTTTACATGTGAACTTCAAATTTGGTTTGTGGATTGTTTTTGGCAATCCTAAGAAGCCTTTCGCATTTGGGGCCAAAAGGCCAAAGGTCAAGTTCACAGTGGCTAAAACAATAGAAATCTTGTCAGCGCGATAACTTGAGAAATACTTTACATGTGAACTTCAAATTTGGTTTGTGGATTGTTTTTGGCAATCCTAAGAAGCCTTTTGCATTTGGAGCCAAAAGGCCAAAGGTCAAGTTCACAGTGGCTAAAACAATAGAAATCTTGTCAGCGCAATAACTTGAGAAATACTTTACATGTGAACTTCAAATTTGGTTTGTGGATTGTTCTTGGCAATCCTAAGAAGCCTATTGCATTTGGGGTCAAAAGGTCAAGTGTCAAGTTCACAGTGGCTAAAACAATAGAAATCTTGTCAGCGCGATAACTTGAGAAATACTTAACATATGAACTTCAAATTTGGTTTGTGGATTGTTCTTGGTAATCCTAAGAAGCCTATTGAATTTGGGGCAAAAAGGTCAAGGGTCAAGTTCACAGTGGCTAAAACAATAGAAATCTTGTATTTATTCTGAGATTATAGGGATTAGGGATTAATTCATATAAAACCTACAGAAGACACTAATTCTGTCAATGAATGTTCCATGTGACCAAGGTACATGTAAGTTGATGTTAAAAGAGTGGTGTTATGTCATGGGAACAGTCACGGTTGCGGGGCATTTGTGTTTGTAAACACACCTGACTTGTTTACATTTGCATCAGAAATTGCTGAAGCCATCCTGAATATTTCGAATATTTGATCATCCACCACATATTTGAATGGCTTTTAGTCAGTTTGAATATTCAGGGGGGAAAAAAATTACGAAAAAGCCCCAAACAAACAAATTACGCACATGCGCACACGACTGTGATGTTATTTTATCGCACAGTTACAGTGCTTTATTGTCAAGTGCCACTTTTTTGTGTTGAGACGGTTCATTGCTGACATCCTTTTAAGCAGGTTAAAGCCTTTTACAGTTTATAAAAATACTTACTGCATAACATTCCAGCGCTCCATATCCATCGCCGCACGCACAGTTTAACTGGCGTGCTCTTCGTGCAACTTTTTACCGGCACGCAGTTGCAGCTGGCATTTTCGAATATTCGGTCAAACGCAGTTTCTAGTAATCGAATGCTAAATTATTCCAAAATGGACAGCCCTAGAATTTACAGGGAAAAAAATGAAAACGCTTTGGAATCGAAATAAATTATGAATGTTTATACTTTGTTCTGCAGATTTTACAAGTTTTGCATCTATGGTGGTTTTCTTGCAAGTTGAAATTGATTTCAAAAGGGCAGCTCACTTAACTCAATCTGCTGTCTTCCTAAACAGATAATTATCGACAGTCCATGTAGGGTTAGAATTAAATGGGCAACATATGCCTCCACATGTTGTTTGTTCGGTAGTGGTGGGAGAAATCAGAGATTACAAAATCCGGTTATTCTAATTTTTGTTAAACCGAATAAATGGTTATCCGATTTCACCAGAAGTTCCCATTCAGCTCAAAGTCATTCCTGCAGAAAGTGAGGAGTGAGGTGTCACAGGCAAAAAATATCCCTCCCAATGACTGGGTATAGTTTGCAGGATTCAGTGATCGCTGGGCCTTTTGCAAAAACTCTTCATAACTGTATTGTTAAAAACATGGATGGGAAGTCTCTGATAAGTCGAATGGGCAGGCTATTCATGAACCCAAAAGACCACTAGCAAGTAAATGCACTTACAATCCAGTTGTCTTCCTTAGCCCTTGTCACAAAAAAATGGAAGGTTTAATTTTTTTGTTATGGTCTTGAAATAGTAGAATTCAAACCGAGTTTCAAAAAATCACCAGGCTTGACCACAGTCACTCAGTTGCATTTATGACAAATAACTTGGCAAACTACATGAGAAAAAAAAAAAACGCTTGCAGAGTATTTCTTATTTTCTCTTTATTTCAATAACACGGTCAAATGTGACAGCTCACAATTCCCAGCGAGATAAGATTACTGGTAATCCCAGCATTTGTACAAAAAGCGGGCAAGAAATATTAGAAAAACCGATTAATACAATGTACGTGTTAGACTTTTATGCAATTCAGAATCCAGGCAAGCTTGGCAGTAATGCATTATGTTTAATCATCATAAAGAATTTCTCTCCCATTATTCATTGTGGCACGCATACACTAGTGCATTGGGGAATCATCAAACGGGTCGTAACAATGTACGTGTATGCATTTTTACAACTCTTCAAATTTAATTATTCACAAATAAAAAAAATTTAACATAATTTTGCAGCATTATACATGTACATGTAGTAGATGGCTGTATTTATGGTAGAAAATGGTTGTTTGACCATATGGCGACATATCCAATATTTGCACAAAAAAAAAAAACACGTTGATGAATGTCATAAAATTGTAGTGCACTTTACATAAGGCCCAAAAAAGTCTCCGGTTTCTGGTCTGCGCACACATCGCCATAGCTATGCGCGTCGGCAAAATTGTAAAGTTTTTTTTTTCCATGTAAGATGATGTCTCAAAACTGCCAAACTCACTGGTTTGACAGGAATCATGCTGCTGCACAACTTTAACATGTTTTTAGATGGGGTTACGATCGAGATGAGTATAAGCTTTATGTGGCCTCTCTGGGCTCCCATATATTTTGCACTAAATTTAGTCGGGCACCATTCGCAGACAGTGTTGTAAATTTGTAATTGTGCGTCTGGAAGCCATACTGAGGGAGCGATGGTCGTGTATCTGGAACCTACAAATGTTTTTAATTAGCGCAATATGTAAGGGAGCAGACTAATGACCAGCCTGGCAGCACATGCACGATGTCGATGTCGCTGTATGGTCTGATGTTACCGTTTTCTCTGATTTTTGTCTTGACTATCCAAATTTCCCGAAGAATGTTTGTGTTGGTCGAGATCATAAGTGGGTGCAGAATTCTCAAGTCTTATGGCCTTTTATACTGAGGTCACCTCAAGCTCCACCCTGAAGGATATTTTTGAGAGTTTTAAGGGGATCGAAGCGTCATCTGCTACATCAGCCGATATTTGAAGGAAAAAAAAGTAGGGGAAAAATACAAAAAAGTCGCGTCGCCGCACCACTTTTGGGGCAAGCTCCATACCAGAAACCGAAGCCTTTTTCGTGGCCTAATATAAAAATTTCCTGATCATTTTGATTCCATTTTTTCCCTTAGATATTGCAAGGTGTCTACGCTAACGAGCGCTTCACCAATGTTGGTGCAACTCTCATGGTAAGTTAGTGTTCAATCGTTCATCGGCTAATGTAGGCCATCAGCCTCGGTCCAAAATTTTGGCCACTGGTATCAAATGAGGGGAACAATCGTCATAGCAATTTTTGGCAAGGTATACACCTCCAGAGTTTGAAAATATGTGATAGCATTGCAGCGGTGGCAGCTTTTTGGGTGTTATCACCCTTTTTTTTCAAAATATCCATCAAAGTGCTTGTTACCACTCTAGGGGTGGTATACCTTGTGCATGCGCACTATAATCATTTATGCCCTGATTTGAAACAGACTGACCAAACCCCCAGGCTGATGGCCTAATGCTTGAATAGTCAGATCTTCTCAACGTTTACCAGTTCAACTGTAAACTGTAGTGGCCTTCAAATCCATGATGCAGTTCCCAAAATTACCCTCATAAAAACATTTGAATTGAACTGCCATTGTGTGTAATTTACCCTAGCCCTCCTCAATCCTCCAAAAGCAACGTCGGTTGATTTTTGAAGGATGCATTGTTTTGAGGTCTTAGGGTGTACCCTGCAAAAGTTGTTTTATGCATGCGTACTTAAGATTTACATTATACTAGGAACCATCCACACTGCGTCTGGATATCCCTGGCACTACCTGATCATATTACAGTGATTGTTAGGAATTTGAAGGATTGAGAAAATGTTTCTCCACTATTTAAAACAACTTCAAAAAATAACGGATGATTTTGGAGGATTGAGGCTGAATCCAATTTTTACATGGTGGCATTTGGAGGATTTTACCGGGTTAACGATGGTTCCTAGCCAAAAGGGCCTTGGGTGGTTAGTTATTAACCACACTTGCATTTGAGTCACTATAACATCGAGTCCGAGTCCGAGTTGCTTCTTCCGAGTCCCTAGTCATGCAGGTCGAGTCCAAGTCACGAGTCAGTAGTCACAAGGGTCGAGTCCGAGTCACAAACTCAATCATCAAGCTTGCATTTATGCAACATCAAGTGTGGCACTGGGGTGCATGTTTCCATACATTGATTTCCCAAATTAACATATCAGAAACAAGCCAGCAGGACGCGCTGTGTATGTGTATGTGTCTTCTGCACCGCACAGACTGTATCACTTGCTCAGGAGAGGATCGTCTTCAAAACTGATTTTTGGTAATTTTGGTCGAGTCCCGAGTCACACAGGTCAAGTCCGAGTCTGCAGGGCCGAGTCCGAGTCATTTGTCATCGTGACTCGCTTCGAGTCCGAGTCACCGAAAATGGGACTCAAGTCCGAGTCCAAGTCGGAGCCCAAGTCCAAATCCGAGTCCAAGTCGGAGTCCGCAGGGCTGAGTCCGAGTCATGTGTCATCGTGACTCGCTTCGAGTCCGAGTCACCGAAAATGGGACTCAAGTCCGAGTCCGAGTCCAAGTCCAAATCCGAGTCCAAATCCGAGTCCAAGTCCGAGTCCGCAGGGCCAAGTTCGAGTCATTTGTCATCGTGACTCGCTTCGAGTCTGAGTCACTGAAAATGGGACCCGAGTCAAGCTTGAGTCTGAGTCCAAGTCATGCATCATACAAGCCTAGTTTGATTGTATTAAGATTTAAGAAATAAACCTAAGTTGAAACCTACCATTGCTACATCCTTTTCAATTCGACAGGGATGCTCCGTTCAGGTCCAAGTAAAAAGCAAGAAAATCTATGAAGGCATCCTGTGCACCATCTCACCACAGGTAAGAATGAGCTTGGGAAAAAAAATGGACTCCGTTTATGTTTTATTCATAAATACCTCAGACAGTTTAGCCATTCCTATTGGTCGAGAGCCCGTCACGTGGCCGGTCTTAAACGGATGATAAAGACATGGCTAGCTGGTCTTAAACACTTTTCCAGTGTCACCTAAAAATCCAGTGCCTCTTACCGTTTCATTGGTAAGAGGTTCACAATCCTCACGTAGGCATGCGCAACACTACCAGTGAGTCAGAATTTTATAGTTCTAAATTCAAAACGCAACGCCCCAGGTGCGTTCTGCGCAACATCGCGCAGAACGTGCCACGCGCGCGTCAATCTCCATAAAAGGGTTGTTTACATCTTACTCGCCAGCTGAACACTCCATTATTTTGCTAGAGGGATGTTTCAAAAAGCTGTAGTGAACTTGTTGAACAAAATCGGGATTTTTTGAAGGAATTGATTGAATTTTTTTTACCGAAAAGGTATTTATGAATGGGAATAAATATGTGCTCGGTCGGTATTAATCACTCCGTTTAAGACTGCTCAGAGTCTGGGTGCTGATAATTACCCTCGCCTCCGGCTCGGGTAATTATCAGCACCCAGACTCTAAGCAGTCTTAAACAGAGTGATTAAAACCTCTCGAGCACACATTTATTCCCTTAATAATAATACAATGGACACCCTTGTTATTTCTTATATTTCTTTTAGTTCAAGAAATATTGGCAGTAATTTCATTTTGTCAAATTTTTGACATAAAAACAAATTGGTTCCTTCTTGTCACTGCGGTCTACAATATATTGTTCCTGTTATCTAATACTTGTTATAGAGTTGTCGCTTTGCACCACGGATGTCTCATTGCCTGATTGCCATATTATTAAATTGACATTGCATGTTAACAAAGAAAATAAAATATCCTTGCGTAAATTTTCAAGGATGTTGTCTTACAGTTCTTAGTGTGTACGAAAGGTTTTTGTTGTACTTTGACTTTTTGAACTTTGACCTTTTGAACTCTGACCCTTTGAACTTTGACTTTTTTTAACAGGCTGAAACTGTCTTAGAGGCAGCGCACATGGTTGACCAAAGCGGGGAAAACTCCGGCAGTGTACCTACCATCAACAAGATAGAGTTCAAGGCCTCCAACGTTGTATCCATAACGGCCAAGCACGTGGACCTAGAGTATGGTGTTAAAGATAACGGAGGTATGCAGTATTGGTCTCCGTGTGTGTGTGTCTGGTAACTGTACCCAGCAGCTTGGTTTGTGTGCCTTGATTGCATTGCACCTGTCCGTATTCACTAAAGCCCATGATGTGTGTGCTTATGATCTTCTAGTTAACCTATCGCCCTAACCTTGCCTCCTGTGGTAAGGGCAGACAGGTTAGCCACAGGAGCCGTGCTAATCAAATGCTCAAACGCGCGCCATCATTATCCTTACAGGATGTCTGTAGCCGTGACCGTAGCCATGGTCGAAGCCATTGACAAAACACCCTTTTCGCACAGAGTCTTAGTACTGGGAGATCCACTGCATTTCTGTTAATGGCAGAAATTATGCCCTCTACAGTAGCAGTGAGGTCAATAACTAATAGGTCTCTCTCAAATGATGTCAGTGCCTCCAGATTACCAAGGTCGGTTTGCCAGCCAGAATCTGATACAACAATCAAAGTTTGCATCAGGAGATTCAAAATTTTGACCTCGAGTTTTGTCCTTCGCTGACAATGGTTTTCCTAATTTTTCTTTCTCTCTCCAGTAGACGCGTTTGTGACCGACGCCGAGATCGCCAGGAGGCAGAACGGCCAGGCAGGAGAACGAGAGCTGAAGGAGTGGCAGGGAGCACCCATAGAGGGAGACGACTTGTCCCTGGAAGCGGTCAGTAGTGACCCGGTAAGATGCTCCCCCAAAGTCGCAGTTTTCACAGACGAAACAAGGACAGCTTGCGCTGTGAATGCGCGCAGCAAGCGATGTTTGGCAGTCGGAAGTGGTGGGAACTTTGTAGAATCGTGAGCAAGAATTGGAGACCTAGAAATGGCTTCTACAAAGAGTTGATTTCGTTGCAGTTCCGATTTTGAGTCTGGAATCATTTCTGTGTCGGGGTTCCTTGGGTCATCAAAAGCCGTGTCCGCATTGGACTTTTTTTTCGGAAGGTTTTACCGAGACGATGGTAAAATGAGAAATGGTCAGATGTGACCACTGTCCGCACTTGGACTTTCGACACGGGAAATTTTACCCAGACCGCGTGGGAGAAGTAACCGAGCTGTCACAGTGTCACTTTAATGACTCACCGTACGCAGAAAACAAAATGCCAATCACATTTTCAGCCGCCGATACGCACAGTAATATTATACACGTCATTTGCATGCACAACACGATATTATTTCATCTTGACACGCTAAATCTTGACGAAAAAGCCTACATTTCTGACGCATTTGGGATGCACGACATCGGAGCCATGTCGCTGTACGATGTTCCGTGCGGCAGCAGTGTCATCGGTATTCGTTGGTTCCCACCGCATGCTAACAGAATCAAAGCTATGATATAGGACTGGAACCAGTGACTACGGTCTACATATGGTACGGTACCGGACCATGATGTACCATGCATGACTACAGTAGCGTAACAGGACGAATTTGGATCGTAGAAAATACCAAACAAACATCGGTGGAGAAACAGAATTTCTGCAAATTAATTCCCAGAACGTAATCTCTCTTTTTCTGTGTATGTATTTTTTCCGTTTAAAGTATTTATAACGACATTTTTAACCCTTTCATTACCACATTGTTTATTGACTTGGCTCTCCCCAGGACCAAATTGTTTGCTCAGTCATGCGGAAATGACTAGAGCATGAACAAAATAAGCACGAGTCGAAAACTCACTTTTTTCAACCCAGATTTTCACTGCCAAGGAGTGATTAAAATCATAGGTGTTGTGTGTAAAGTTTGTTCCTTGAATCTTACTCTTTAATGTGATGTAAAAATGACGTCCATACATGCAAATTTAAGAATGTTATGTTTTTTGTCCATCTGGTCCCATTTATCAAACTGCAAGCCATTTCATCACATGACCAAATGGCACTCCATACCTCAAATTGTGCGTGGATACTTCTGAAGCACTTTTCTCAATGTTTTGTAATGGTAAAACTATGAATAAACTACACCATTAGAAAACACTCCCATTAGAAAACACTTTCAGCTGGTATATGGTTGATGTATGGGCAACCAAACATACCAAGTAGTAAAAATACCTGTGTTGAGGGTGTCCTGTGTGTGGTTTCCTGGTCGACTTAAGTCGCCTATGGTAAGCAGCAGGGGGGTACTTCTTGTCGACTAAAGTCGCCCTTGGTAAGGAAAGTGTTAAGAGTCTGTAACTCAATTGATACAGCGTGCAATGTTATCATCACGTCTTGTTTTCTTGATTGCAGCATGCCAATGGCTGGAGTGCAGAAGAAATGTTCAAGACGAACGAGAAAAGATATGGGGTGACGTCATCGTATGATGAATCTTTGCTAGAGTACACGTGAGTTGACCACTACTGTAAGAAGTCTTTGATACATGGTGATTTTGGTTATTTTGTTTAAAGGTATAGTCCATCATTTGTAATTTGTGCATTTTGTTCGTTTGAAGCAACAAAAGTGCTCAAAATTTAAAGAAGGGTGCTGAACAACTAACCTGATGAAGTTTCAGCTCAGCTTCAGCTGTATATTTCGAGAAAAACAACATTCTAGGATCTCGATTTCAAATCAAAAGTTGCTGAATCATGTTTTGAATTGGGCCTGAATTCGGCGTCCGAGACACGTTCTCACTGCGCCGATTGCAGCTATGCGATGTCGCGCACCGATCCGACGAATCATAGCAACCGCACGCGCGTGTGCATCGTGTCAACGCTTGCGCGCACTTCACTGTATAAAAAAACGAATTACTAACGGAAATTTCTATGGAAAGACCTTCTTTCGTTGATTTCTTTAAAATGACAGCTTGCCAGAAAGAATAATTTCATAGGGAGTTTAGTCCCCTTACTATCTTTCAACCAAGTATGTTTTCAACATACTTACGCCAGTTACTTTTTGGATAGCTGCAAATGATGGACTCTGGCTTTAACATTGTAAACTGAATATCCTTTTGACTTTTTCACATGTGACCTGTCACCAGGAAATGAGCTTTAAGTTGGAAATTGCCATTTTTGAGGTCAATGGGGCAAAAACAGAATTCGAAGGGACAGCTGATTTTTGGTTTTCAGGTGAACCTTAATCTAAAGTCATTTTTTCTTTTGTTCTGTCAAAACATTTTTCAAACCTGTTCCATCCCGTTTTATTATATGTTGATGTTCATTCACTGTTACACAACTGTAGGATTTTTAAACGCCATTTTCTCAAGAATCAGTTTTTCCACCTCAAGTAAGTTGGCGGTCTATATTTTCGTTACTAAAAAATATCATAACCCCAATTTTTGGATATTTTGTAGAAAAGATGTTGGGGTATAATTTTCATTCAAGTTCATCTCATGGTCACATGATCCACAAGATCAAATTCAAGGTCAACGTAAAAGTCATTAGATTTCAAATTGTTCTGACGTGAAAGATGAGGGATAATTGCGATTCCTTACGATGTTACCTTTCCAAAGAAACCTCTATCGTCAAATTTGGCCAACAGGTTGTGGACTTATGGTCAGTTGGAAATTGGCGGACACGCCCATTTTGGTCACAATCGCAAAAACAGGCCTTGCAGTAGCGCCAAAAAACAGTCTGACGGCGCTTAAAATAAAGATTTTTACTTTTTCAGTTTAAATTACCCCATACACTAAATATGAACCAATTTGAAGGGGGCTGGGGTTTAAGTCAGTGGGTGATTTGACTCGGAATGACCCAAATATCAATTTCTCCGTCCTTGTCCAATCACAGGACCGGCTTAGACCAGTCCAGCCCTCTCTATCAAGAGAGGAAAGAGAAAGCTGAGAGGATTGCCAGGGAGATGGAAGGTAACCCTGGGTTTGCAGCATCGGCCCGGGCCGAGTCGGATGACATCACGGAGGAGGACAAGTTCAGCGGAGTCAGCAGGGGTAGTGAAAACACTGGCAATAGGTAAAGGCTAACAGTGGCGCTGTGATTAAGCCATCACAATGTCAATCACAAGTCAATCGCAAGTCAATCACAAGTCAATCGCAAGTCAATTGCAAGTCAATCACAAGTCGGTCACAAGTCCATCACAAGTCATTCACCAAACAATCGCAAGTCATTCACAAGCCAATCACAGGTCAATCGCAAGTCAATCGCAGGTCTATCACAGGTCAAATACAAGTCGATCGCAAGTCAATCACAAGTCAGTCACAAGTCAATCAGTGGTCAGTCGCAAGTTAATCGCAAGTCATTCACAAGTCAATCGCAAATCAATCGCAAGTCATTCACAAGTCAATCACAGGTCAGTCACAAGTCAATCGCAAGTCATCACAAAACAATCACAAGTCAATCACAGGTCAATCGCAAGTCGGTCACAAGTCAATCGCAAGTCAAACGCAAGTCAATCACTGGTCAATCGCAAGTCAATTGCAAGTCAAGCGCAAGTCAATCACAAGTCAATCGCAAGTCAGTCACAAGTCAATCGCAAGTCAATCATAAGTCAATTGCCAGCCAATTGTAAGTCATTTCCAAGTCAGTCACAAGTTAATCGCAAGTCAATCACAAGTGAGTTGCAAGTCAATCGTTAGTCATCACAAGACATCACAAATCAATCGCAAGTCAATCGTAAGTCATCACAAGTCATCACAGGTCAATCACAAGTCATCACAAGTCATCACAAGACAGTCGCATGTCATCAACAGGCAATCACAAGTCAATTACAAGTCATCAAAAACCATAAATTCTTAAGTCAAGTGACAAGTTGTTCAAATGAACTTTGACAAAGACACCACTTTGTCATTGTTCATCCCTGTTACCTCTGGCCTCAATTACATGGCTCTGCTAACCACAGAATTCCGCGCTTACTATCTGCTATCTGTGTCCACATAGCTAGCAAAGAAATGTTGAGCACACAATCCTTAGTTACTGGATGCGCACACACACAAGTGCTGGAACTCCTAGCTAACCTGTGAAACATGCTAACAATTAGCACAAATCTCCAGTAAGCAGGAATTTTTTGCTCTCAGTAAGCAGAGCTGTGAAATCTGGCCCAGACCTGACTTTGAAATTTACTTGTAATAGAGTTGCTAAGTACCCAATCTTGCTAGGCACAAAAAAAAATTGCTCGGAAACATTTCCCAAGTTTTCAGTCACAGAGTCATGCAGTGTCATTGATTTTGACTGCTTCTCTACCTATTATTGCAAATTGTCTAAGAAGCATGTTCTGCTTGGTTTGTTTGAGACTTTTGGTTTGTGGTTTTCCGCTCAGGTATATTCCGCCACCCATGAGGGACGGCACGCGGGGACATTCACCCCAGCACGCCTCCGTCCAGAGGAGACCCCAAGGCCCCATCCCCAGATTACCAGGTCAGGGGCGACCCCAGATGACCTCCCCCCACCATGGCCAGCCCGCGCCACACCCCTCGACACAGGCCCAGAGCCACCCTCACGCCCAGTCGCACCCATCTCACCAGCCCATGGGAGGACCACAGCAGCAGCATGTTTATCCCAATGTGCAGGCCCGCTTAGGCCAGCCTGGCCTGCAGCAGCAACAACAGCAGCTACCACTGCAGCAGCAGATGCCTCCGCAATCGCAACAGGCGTTACCACCCCACCAGTTGCAGGCAACATCTCATCAATCGCAACCACTTCAACAGCAGCAACAACAGCAGCAGGCTCAACCGCCTGTACCACAACAGAAACATTATAACCCCTTACCCCAGCAGGCCCCAGCCCATGTACATGGTGGTCCCCGTCCCCCGCCCCCTCAACACCAGGTCCAGACCCCGCCCAGGCCGGGCCAGCTGCCACCAACTCAGACGTCACCACGCCCTCCAGGGTTTGGCAGCCAGTCGCCGAGGTCATCGCCGCTTCCTAACACAGAAACAACGTCACCAAGTGAGTATATACCTGCCTTTGCTATCAACTCTTGTAATTGACTGATAGGTCAAGTCCCACCCAGTTTTTTTTTCCAACGCTGGTTGGCTGACCAGCGTTTAAAAAAAAAATGGCTGTTATTAAATACTACCCCCAATTTACCAGATTTAGTTAGTCAACATTTTGTTTGCAATGGGTTACACACCAATGAAAAGGTACAAGCCAGCTAGGCTGGTTCCCTGACCTTACAATTCCCCGACATCCATAAATTGCTCTGTTCCATCTTAAGTGGGGTCAGGGAACCAGACTAAAGGAACGTGATTGTTTTTCTTGTTTTTTTCCCCAGCATCTACAAACACAAAACTTCAAACAAGTCAGTGTAACTATTTGCTACAAAATGCTAAACCCCCCCCCCAGTCCATCCATTTCTGAAAATTACAGCAAAAGCAAATGTTGTATATTCCCTTTAATGTAATTTTCTTTTGCCCACCTTAGGCATAAGAGAAGAGAAACCTCATCCAACGCCAAGTGAGGAGCGACAACCATCAACAGAAGACAGTAGGAAAACTGAACCAAGTACAGTAGATAGAACAACGTCAGATAACACAACGGTCTCACCAGACAAGACCCACAAAAATGGTAACATTACATAGAAATACAACTCATCAATTTATTAACCCTAACGTATCTGAATCCATCAAAATCCAAACCCCTGTTTCGGGGGATTTCAGTATACCTCTATATTGAAAAAGTTGAGGAATTTTGATGGATTCAGGACATGAAGCCTAGCGGTACTGCAGGATTTTGATGGCTTCAGGATACCTCCATGTTGAGCAGTTGGGGGACTTTGATGGATTCAGGATCTCAACAGATTTACTCCCGGCTAACTGGTGGATTCTGATGGACTCACTGGCCACCAACATTTGTTGGCATGGCAAAATTGATGGATTTTGGCAGATTCAGGATACTTTCCAGTATCCCAAGGGGTTAGGGTTAATATTTATAGGTTTTTCTGGAGATTATTCCCTCCTCTTTTTATGAAATATGCATTGAGAGTGGCATTAAGTTTAAAAAAAAAAACAAGATGGGGGGGGGGGAGTAGAAGGTGTATGGGCGGTGTGGCATATTTCATATTTGATAATAATAACGGTCATTATTTTTGTCTTTCTTTCACACAGTACAAGAAAAGACGCTAGCTGATTTAAAAGAGTTCAGTAACACATTTAATGTAAGTACCTTAATATGTTGTTTGTCTGATTTTCAAATTTTTGAATATTTTTTCACATCTTAAAGGGTTCATGAATTGAATATTTGTAAGGAACACATTTGGTGCAACTTTCTGCTCTTCTTAAATGTATGAAAACTAGCTGACATCCCGTTTTGGTTAATTTTAATGGAAAGTGCACTTCTTTAAATGTTACTGTTATTTCAACCAATTTTCCCAATTGACATTACTCTTCGCCACATTTCAAACCCCCAAGACAAATACGCCTTAGCCGATCATGATCGGGTACCTCAGCTTGTTATTATAAAGCAGTTATTCATATCAGGGTAATAAGTAACAACTTCCCCATATGTGACCTGTTCTGTCAAAATGTAATGTTCTTTTTCCTTTTAATAGGTGGTTTAATATTTGAAACTGGTCATTCCTGGGCAAAGTTATGCTATTTTGAAGTTCATTGTGTTGAAAAGTAGAAAATTAAAGTTTGGGGTCTATTTTAAGACCTGTTTCAAGTGACATTTCTGTAACTGATATACCTTAACAAATCATCAAAAATACTATTTTAGTGCTCAAATGAGGGTTTTAAACTTTTATAGCATATTTTAGACATGTTCAAAATTACAAATATGCCAAAATTAGAAAATCGAAAAAAATCACCCCACAGCAGTTTTTGGTCCTATCCAAATTTCAAGCTCTGCCCAGAAGCGTCTGCTTTTGACAGAACAGGTCACATATTTATTGTTCCAATTTTTCCAACGGTAAGCATATTGCACTGGTAGAGAGGAATTTTGGCTTGTCGTGCACGTACATCTAGCAAATGACAATGAGTTTAATAGGTTTACGACAGAATTATCAGCATTAGCGCTGCAAGCACAGAATGGTGAATATGAGCTTAGAATTCCATTGTTAGCCGAGCCGTGGACTTGGGCACCGATTTGATCAACCTAACAAGCCTCTTTGTCGGTTACAGTTAGAGGGTAAGACAACGGACGAGGATGCTCCTAGTATACCCAACACGCAGGCCTCCGCAGCCTCGGACGCCAAGCCGGTAACGACAGACAAGACGACGCCAACAGTGCCACCGGTGACCGAGGACAGGGAACCAGCCAAGGAGTCGGAGACCAGCTCTGGGAAATCCTCCCCCTCCCAGCCCAACAAGGACAAGGACAAACAGTTGAACCCGCTGGCTAAGCCATTCATTCCGGGGGTTGTGGTAAGTAAACGGCAGCACTGTGGTGAACTGGACTCTAACCCTAACTCATTTTGCTAGGATGCAACCTCAATCCTGCAGAATCCTCCAACTGCCTCCATGTAAAAGGAGCGTACAGCCTCAATCCTGCCAAATTCTCCGGTTATTTCTTGAACGTGGTCCTTGGAGGGGTAGCCACTGCCTCAATCCTGCAAAATCCTCCAGCAATCACTGTCAATATGTTGAGGCAGAGCCAGTGACATCCTGGAGCAGTGTGGACGATTTCAAGTATAATCTAGGCCTAAATGCATGCACGGCTGAGCATAAACAACACAAGGTCCGGCCCAAGACCTCGACACAGTGTGTCCTCCAAAATCAGCAACACATTTTTACCATGTAGCCTCAATCCTCTAAAATCCTCCATTTTTTGCAAAGAGGATTTTGGGGGATTTGGGAAGGTTAGGGTTAAAAGAAAAGAAAGTACATCATGTATGTATCCATGTGTTTTCGAGGTATCGGAAGGTTGATATTTGAATTTAACCCTAACCCCCTAAGCTCTGTTGCCCAGAAGCAGCCTGAATCCTCCAACATCCTCCAATGGCAAAGAGTTAACAACTCTAAGTACCTGAATCCTTCAAAATCATCCGCTCTTTGTTGCTTGAGGCCTCTGCCTGGATCCTCGAAATCCTCCACTGGGTTTGCCAGCATGCTATCACATCAGATTTCGTGTGCCCCCCAGCACGTAACCAGTCACTTGGCCCATTTTTTTTTAAAACTGGGATTTTGGGCTCACTAGAAAAAAACATTGATTAAGCCTTTTGAAGGATGTACAGAATGTGGGAATCAAACAAAATCTGATGGAAAATGGGAATCAGACAAAATCTGACGGAATATGGGAATTGGAAAAAATCGGATGGAATATGAGAATCAGACAAAATCTGACGGAATATGGGAATCGGACAAAATCTGACGGAATATGGGAATCAGACAAAATCAGATGGAATATGAGAACCGGCTAAATCTGACGGAATATGGGAATCAGACAAAATCTGACGGAATATGGGAATCAGACAAAATCTGACGGAATATGAGAATCGGACAAAATCTGATGGAATATGGGAATCAGACAAAATCTGACGGAATATGGGAATCAGACAAAATCTGACGGAATATGAGAATCGGACAAAATCTGACGTAATATGGGAATAATTTGTCGTTCCAGTTTTCCAAATGAACTCCCTAGGAAATTTACAAATGAACAAAATTGAAAGCTTAATCGATTCATTATTCTAGCTTCTTACGCCTAAAGCCCGGTTCATACTTCAAGCGAAAGCAAGTGCGAAGCGAAATTTATGTCGTCAACAATTGTGGACGCACTTCGAACGCATTGTTGACGTCACGAATTTCGCTTCGCTTTCGTTTCGCGTGAAGTATGAACCGGGCTTTAATCTGAATGATTTTTGTCTGTAAACACATGGTAAAACGTATTAAAGGCTGTATCTCAAAATACGGCCGTGCGACATCCAAATAGTTTTGTGCCAGAGGGTCACAAACATATGTGAAACGCTTAATCAAGTTATTTATTTCTTTTCTTTATTCCCTTCCAGGCAACGCAGCGAGCCATGCCGACCAAGACCCCGACTCCACCCAGGCCCCAGTCCATCAGCCCCAGTCCCATCATCCTCCAACAACATCCCAACCAGTTCCCCCAGGGGCCTTACATCCTGTCTGGTAACCCGGCTTACCCGGGCACGTATTCCATGTCGCAGCAGACGGCGGTGGCCCAGGCCCACGCTTCTCAGATGGGCCCTAAGATGCTTCACAAAAAAAGTAAGATATCCTTGTTTCCTTTGTGAACCCCCCCTCAACCCCTTCCTCCCCCCTCCCCAGCATTTGATTCCACATTTGCGGCTCTAGGTAAAACTTCTGGAGGCAAAAATGGACATTTGTTTATCGATTTTAACCTAATTGTAATAGAATCATTGTAAGACTAATTCGTCGACAGCCATTTTCTGCAGTGGCACCAGGATCGTGCGAGTCACGTAATGCGCACGTACTCTGGGGTCCTCCGACAAATAGGGCTACCAAAATGCGCGCGCGGCTCATCTTTAAGATTGCGTGTGGCATGTGGGTGGCACCACCGCCAAAATGGCTTCTCATTTTGTTTGGCGATTTACACTATGGACCAGTTCATACTCCACGCAAAACAAACTGGATGCAATTTTCAGGCATGCAACTTTTCCCTCGGATCAGCTGATTTCCTCTTTTTTTACTTCCCATGTGTGGCATTGAAAATAGAAAAACACTGTACAAAGTCTGGGAAAAATTTAAATTTCCTTTTTTTTGTTGTGATTTCCCAGTTGCATGCCTGAATTTTTTGTTGTTGATATTTCATGTAAGGGAGTTGCTCTGTGGATTGGCAAAGGTTGTACACGTTTCAACTCGAAGGAGTTTTACAGGCATGCAACTTTTCCTCGGATCAGCTGATTTCCTCTTTTTGTACTTCCCAAGTGTGCCATTGAAAATAGAAAAACACTGTACAAAGTCTGGGAAAGATTTGAATTTCCTCTTTTTTTTGTGACTTCCCAGTTGCATGCCTGGTTTTACTGCGAATGTTTTGTGTCGTCAAATCGGCATAACGTCCGTACTCATGCCATGTATGAAACAACATTTTAGATAAGTCTTCACATGTAGCACAAAATGGAAATGAAGCGAATTGTTTCTTTATAGAGTACCAAATAGAGTGCAGGGATGACAGTGCATGCATTTCCATCCGAACATGGTTTTCTTTCTTTAGCAGTCCTTGTGGGGGGAAAAAATGCATTAACCCTAACTCCCTAGCATGATTTACTAGGAACCATGCCCATCCTGGCAAATTCCAACACCATATCGGAAACTGCACACACATACTTCTGACTTAGATTCTGGAGGTGTGCCAACCCAATGTAAAAGATTGTCGGTTTAGGGGTACTGTACCCATCCTGACAGATTCCAACAAAACATGCCGTTGGGGTTTGATGGGTTGAGTTCTGTTAGGGTTGAATGGAATTAACGTTAAGCAGTCTTGTTTTAATGCTAATAAACCTATTTTTGTAATGTAAAAATCTTTTTCAGTTGATACCATTTGGTTAAATCAACGTTTTTTGGGGGTTTTTTTGGTGTGCATTCACAGTGCGTCGCGGTGATCGCCATCTTTATTTCTGTGTTGCATTTTGTCAAATTGTCTTCTTCATCATCATTTCACCCAAAAAATCATCCACAACACTCCTGTTGGTTTGAAATATCGCTAACTAGTTGGATGAGTCCAATTAAACCCAGATTTTCTTTTCTAGTTATAGGAACGGGGCCGTTACTACATAAGGCCCCCCCAAATGTCGGCTGATGACTGCAAATGGTGCCCGACTAAACTTAGTGCAAAATGTACAGGAGTCCAGAGAGTCCACATAAAGCTTATTCTCGATCATACCCCCATCTAAAAACACGTTAAAATTGTGCTGCAGCAGGATTCCAGTCAAACCAGTGAGTTTGGCGGTTTTGAGACATCATCTTTCATTGAAAAAAAAACTTTTTCATTTTGCCGACGTGCATGGCTACGGCGACGCGCGCGCATACCAGAAACCGGAGACTTTTTTTTTTTGGCCTTACTACATAATCGCCTTCTTTTGAAAGTGCAAGATTCTATTTCCAAATTGTTGTCTTACATTCATTCCCCTGGTTCAGGTTACCAGTTTGCCAGCTCCACCAACATGCCCAGGCCCCAGCCCCCGACAGACCTCCCTGCCCACGTCATCCCTCCCTCGGTAGCGGCGGGCCAGCCCTTGGTCTCGCCCATCAGCTTCCAGCACCATCCCAATCCGATGATGACGTACCAGACTCAGCAGGGCGTACCGGGCGCCTTAGCGGGGCAACAGATGATCCCGCAGGCTGGGCCGTACTCAATGTATCCCCCAAAAGTAAGTCCGTTCAAACTTAAATAATAATAATTTGGGAGGCTAATTATCCTTACTCGCAGCTAAGAAGCTGCATTGCGAAGGACGCCGCTACAACGTGGTCGACCCGCTGGCATGTAAAGGCGCAATTTGCGGTATTCATCGAGGGGCCCTTGCTATTTTGTGTGACAAAATTCGACTTTGGGTTCATGTCAACTTGTCCATGTTTGATATTTGCCCTTCAGTTGACGTTTTTACGATGAGAACAGTCGTATGCTCAAAATATTTGAGGTGATCCTTTAACGATCATCTAACTAATATTCCGGTAATCTCTGTGTGTCTGTCTGTATTTTCAATTATCTCCAGAACCGGGCACTGTATGAAGTTGACAATTGGGAGGTGTAATGCTCAGCACCCAAGAATGTGCAGTGTTGCGTTCAAAGTTGTTTGGATGAGCGGTTCACGATAAAGCTGCAAAAAAGCTGCAAATTTGCCCAATTTGTCTCATATCAAAGATAAAAGATTTTGGCCTGTGTGTGTGCATAGAGCTAGTTGAACTTCACTTGGGTGGTGGGGGGGGGGTGTTATTCCATTATCAACAATGGGTACTTCATTGGGGGGCTATTCCATTATCAACAGTGGGTCAATAAACACTGGAACACTTTTCTTTCTATAATTCCAGAAATCTCTGTGTGTCTGTCTAACATGTAAAAAATGTGTGTTCAACCTCTGAGTGTGCGTTCAACAACACCATTGAATTACGTGCGTTGTTCGCATGAGCAGCTCTCGCTGCAAAGAAACCAATACCATTGCCCCTTCGTAACAGGCACATTTGCACCTGGCACTGCCCTAGTTCTTTTCAGTTTCAGCAGAAAAATTAGAAACTTGGACCGTAAAGTATTTTGGAGAGATTTTCTGTTTGTATTTTGCCAGCCACATGGAGTTCCATTCAGACCAATGCAGCCCCAGCCTAGCATTCAAGGTGTACCTCAGCCACAGCCTGCACATCATATACATGCACTGCCAGACACTAACCTGCAGGGAAACTCCCCAGTATTAGGTAAGTGGCCACTCACCTAAAGGTAGAGTAGACCATTTGTGACCTGTTCTGTCAAAAGCAGACGTCTCTGGGCAGAGGTTGAAATTAAGATAGGGCCAAAAAATGCTGTGGGGGTGATTTTTTTCGATTTTCAAATGTTTGCATATTTGTAATCCTGAACATGTCTAAAATATACTGTAAAAGTTTGAAACCCTAATTTGAACTCTAAATATAGTATTTTTGATGATTTGTTGAGGTATATCAGTGAAAGAAATGTCTGTTTTGTGACGTTCGTGGCCATTTTCTCCGTTTTCTACTTTTCGACACAATGAACTTCAAAATAGCATAACTTTGCCCAGGAATGACCGGTTTCAAAAATTAAACCACCTATTAAAAGGAAAATGTACATATTTTCACAATATGAAAAAAAATCTCATTTTCGACCTTATGCCCAGAAAAGTCTGATTTTGACAGAACAGGTCACATTTGTCATTGGTGCATTTTTTTGTTCATTTGAAGCAACAAAAGTGCTCAAAATTTAAAGACAGGTGTTTAACAGCTAACCTGATGAAGCTTTAGCTCTGTGAATGCTGTGTATCCCGAGAAAACCACAATATTCTGGATCTCGATTTTCAATTCAAAAGTTGCCGAGTCATGACACAATCTGGAAATCAGCATTTGGGACATGATTCTCATTCAGCCGATTCGTGCTATGTGATGTCATACACGGAACCAACGATTCTCGTTAATAATATCAACTGCACGCTTGTGCGTCGTCTCAATGCCATTGCACCTATTCGCGGATTCGCCCAATTACAAACCAACTGCCAATGGAAATTTCCAAAAATGTGTCACTTGACACATCTTTGGGAATGACCATCTTTTATTGTTTTCTTCAAAATGACAGCATACCAGAACGAATAATTTCGCAGAGAGTTTAGTGCCATTACTATCTTTAAACCAAGTAAGCGTTTTAACAATAACTTGGTCTGTTACCTTTTGGATAGATGCAAATGAGCTACTCTACCTTATTGGGAAAATACAACATTTGCAAACATCAAAAAATAAAACTACCAAATCATTTTGAAATACCTTGCTGGACTGTTAGTGAATGACAGTGTAAAGCATCCTGTAAAATCATGGCACCTAGTATAATGTCATTTTCAAGAAAAGTGGTATTTTTGTATCAATTTCCAACGCTGGTCGGCCAACCAGCGTTGGAAAAAACTGGCTTTTTTTCAAATACTGGCCCCAATTGACCATCGCACTTGTTTGCAATCGATTACACACCAATGAACGGGTACAAGCCAGCTAGACTGGTTCCCTGACCTTACAATTCCCCAATGTATGTAAACTGCTCTGTTTCTTCGCATATGGAGTCAGGGAACCAGACTACAGGAAAATGATTGTTTTTCTTGGTTTTATAGCATTTTCAAACCCAAAACCTCAAAAAAGTCAGTGTAACTATATTTGCTATATATTTCCAACCCCCCAATTCCATCCATTTCTGAAAATTACAGCAAAAGCAAATGATGTATATTCCCTTTAAAAGAAAAAACATTGCTGCCTTTTGTGCAAGTTTCTACTCCTGTTAAATGTGTGAAAACTGTTTCACATCCCTTTTTGGTCAATTTTATTGAAAAGTGCACTTCTTTAGGCATTCAAAATTGTCCATGCTTTTCCAGACAATTGAGGGCACTGTTGTTGTGACATCGTTTCAGGAAGACACTGCTCAGTTTTATTTTTTCCGTTAAAATTGTGAACCCAAACATTTGCCCATTGAAAACATTTTCGAGAAAAGTTTGCTCACTGGCTTACTGCCATGCACTGACACAACAAATTACCAAAGAAAAAAAGCAAATCTACAACACTGTATACACAATTTTGGAAACTTTCAGTGCAATAATAGCTGTAACATTGAGGTTTCTGCCTAAAATGACCTCACAATTTCGCTAATGAATATAGAATATTTGCATTACCATAAAGACCAAAAATGCACCAAAATACCCTTGAAAATGGCAAAACGAAAATTGAAACTAGACACACAGGTGCACTTTCAAGGATTGCATTAAAGAAAATTACATAACGTGAGCCCTTTTAGTTGTGAGTGTAACAGAACGTATAAACTTATTGAACATTTTGGGACCTTTGAATACTCTTTTAGGAAAAGACATTGACATATCAGTAGAAAATCAAACAATAGCTCATTTGGTAAAGAGGTAACAGGTTCGCATCCCACTTTAAGTAAATTTCCTTTGTTTATCTGAAAATTGGAAACGAGAATCATTTGAAGTCAGTGCTATTTTTTATTTATTTATTTTTTTACCCCATTTCATGTTACACATAAATTTAAGCATCGCATAATCAGTGTTTGTAGTTGAATGCTTTTTGACAAGTTTCAACCCTGGTTTTCAAACACTTTTGACTTATTTAAATCTTTAAAGGGAATATACAACATTTGCAAACATCGAAAAATACAACTACCAAGTTTTTGCGAAATACCTTAACAGGATGTTGGTAAATGACAGTCTAAAGCATCCTGTAAAATTATGGCACCTGGTAATCTGTCATTTTCAAGAAAAGTGGTATTTTTGTATCAATTTCCAACGCTGATCGGCCGATCAGCGTTGGAAACAAATGGCTTTTTTTCAAATACTGGCCCCAATTGACCATTGCACTTGTTTGCAATCGATTACAAACCTATAAACGGGTACGAGCCAGCTAGACTGGTTCCCTGACCTTACAATTCCCCCAATGTATGTAAACTGCTCTGTTTCTTCTTATATGGAGTCAGGGAACCAGACTACAGGAAAATGATCGTTTTTCTTGGTTTTTATAGCATTTTCGAACCCAAAACCTCCAAAAAGTTAGTGTCAATATATCTGCTTTATATTTCCAACCCCCCAATTCCATCCATTTCTGAAAATTACAGCAAAAGCAAATGATGTATATTCCCTTTAAAGTGATCAGTGATATCTTATGACTGATTTCTTGACAGTATCCAGCACACAACTGCAAGCACAGGCAGGCCAAGTGCAACCACAAATGCATGCTCAATATCAGCACCAACAAGTGCAGCAGCAGCAACAACAACAGCAGCAGCAACAAGCCCAACAGCAGCAGCAACAACAGCAGCACGCAGCCCAACAATCAACACAGCAATCCCAACAGCAGCAGCAGCAACAGCCACACCACCACCATCCCCAACCCCAACCCGTGGTGCACCTCCAACAGCAGCAGCAGCAGCAACAGCAGCAGCAGCATCAGCACCCACATGCCCAGCCGCACACCACGCCACCCCAGCAACAGAGCCACGGGGCCCAGCCCAGCGCCATGGCCCAGGCGACTCAGCAACAGCAGCAGCAACAGCAGCAGCACAGGCCCACCCCGAGTCCTGTACACCACATGCCGCTGCCACAGCACCAAGCGCACCAGCCGCCCCACGTCTCACAGACGCACCACCTCCAGCACCAACAGATTCTCTACAATCCAGCCCCCAGCACCATGCAGCAGGGTCCTCCATCCATGGCGGTGCAGTCCAGTCAGTTCCAGCAGTTTGGCGGGCCGCATCAGTACATGCCGCAGTACATCACCGCCGCGCCGCCGGCGACTAACATCACCAACGTGACGCGGATGCACTCGGAGCCGCACCCGCACCCTACGCAGGCTAACGTGACGTTAGTACCACAGCCTGGACAGACCATGAACCACATGGTGCCCAATCCTAGCCACTTCCCACATATACTGGCACAAACGCAAGGTAAGCTAGCCACACAGTACAAATTTTCTTTGAATTTACGTAGTTATCGTCTCCTGTTTCGTCCCATGTGTTCATCCTATTCCACAGTTTGATATACCCACGAACCAATTTTAACCCAAGTCCTGTGATTCCATCATTAGTTTAGTGCAATCCATGACTAAACTTATGGTTTTCATTTCATACTATGTGTCTGATTTTAGGCTTTGCATGGTGGAGTATCGGTATCGTTTCAGTTTGCGGTAACACCATGTGGTAATAACTACTGCTTAGAAGATTTCTGGTTTTGAAAAGATCAGAACAAAAACTACTGAAACGATCAGAACAAAAGCTACATGGCAAACGTTGATAATAAGCAGGACAAGTTCTTTTCAGAACTAAATATCTACTGAGCAGTATATTTATTACCACATGGTGTTACGGCAAACCAAAACGATACTATGTGTCATTAACAAAATATAGCTCAAGTTAAAAACTGTCTGCCATTTACAGAGGAATGGTCAAAAACTAGTTTGTCCACGTCTATGGCAGTCATGTAGACCTAGTTACAATTATTGCAGTTCTTTGTGCGTGCTGTGCTATTGTGTTGACCATATCTCGTAGACTTGCGTGTGGACAAACTGGTGTTTGACCAACTTTCTTTAAACCATCGCCATTTCTTAATGTAGGCTTTTTTCCCAGTGCCGTTTCACCATATACATGTACCAAGAAGATGCTGTAGTTTAAAAGGAAGATACAACATTTGCAAAAATCACAAAACGAAATGATCAAACCATCACGAATTGCCTGACTGGATTGTAAGGGAATGACAGTCTAAAGCATCCTTTAAAATCGTGGCTCCTGGTGTGCTGACATTTTCAAGAAAAACTGTATTTTTCCAACACTGGTTGGCCGACCAGCGTTGGAGAAAACTGGTTTTTCAAAAACTATTCCTAATTTTTCATTTTTAGTTATGCTGACTTTTTTTTTGCAATTGATTACACACCTGTGAAGGGGTACACGCCTGCTAGACTGATTCTCTGACCTTACAATTCCCCCTAAGGGTGTTAATTGCTCCATTTCATCTTAAGTGGGGCCAGGGAACAAGACTACAAGGACACGATAGGTTTTCTTGGTTTTTCCAGCATCTACAAGCCCAAAACGTGAAACAAGTCATTTTAACAATATTTTCTATAACATACTAATCCTCCAAATCCATTTATTTCTGAAAATTGCAGCAAAAGCAAATGTTGTACATTCCCTTTAAGAAAATATTGAAACAATTTCAAGATGTCTCCCCAATTCCAAGAAATCTGCGTCTGAAAAACTGTAAACAATATTTTGGACCACCCTGTTCATTGTCAGTGCCAAGAATGGTGTCAAGTTAATTTATCTGAGAAATATTGGATGTTTCTGTATTTCAGCAATGGGTCAGGCTCATGGACAGGTACAGGCATACCAGCACGGCAACTGAGAAGAAAAAGCCACGTCAACGGGATGGCTTCTGAAATATGTAAGTCAAAACAAAACAAAAAACTCAGTAAAAAAAAAATCAGCAAATTCACAAATTATTTATTCACATTCTTTTTCAGCTTCAAAAATAAAAAATACCAAATTGATTTGCATTCATGAATCGAGGGCTCCTCTAGCCTTGGTTCAAGCCTGGATTTGGCTGTTTTTACGCTTCTCGGTCTCTGGAACAGCCAATAAGCAGCGGCAGTAGAGGGCACCATCAACACGATGAGTCAACTCCAGTCTTTGGGAATTTTGGCACTCAGACCGGAGAAATTCCAAGCATACCTCATGCACGCTATATCCAAGCTAATGCACACAAGGGAGGAACGCTCAGAATTTCTTGGGTCCGAGCGCCAACAGTCTCAAAACCACAGACATGTAAACGCAAAGACTGCCAGTCGTGCGCGTAAAACCGTGATTTGGAAAAGTATGGGCAAAACGTTTGTTGACAGCGGGAGTAACCGCGCGACGCACTTTCAATGCAGCTACGCGCTTAGTACAGTACATACATGCACATACAGTACATACATTTTTGGTGTTAATAAAGGCTTTGTTACTCAAAAATCTGCATGAAAAAGTTGGGTACTGTCTTGTTTTTTAATCTACCGCAATCATACTTACTACTCAAGGGATTTGTTTACAATCGAAAAATAACTTCATAGAATGTTTTGATTGGAATTTTAGTCGTGCGCGTCGCAGATCACGAAATACGCATGTAGTTTTGAATAGGACGTGGTGGTCTTTGTCTGTGATCAAAACGCAGTTTTCATCATGCTGAAAACTATTTGCCTATTTTGCATTTTTACTTAATGTCTTTTTCTTTGTGTTTGTCTTAACAGAATGCTTTTTATACATACACCGAAGGGAACCACGTACCACGAAGAAGAAAAATCTACTAGCAAGCTGAACAGTGGTCGTAACAAAATTCCAAAGCTGCTCGTACAACAAAAAGAAACCTTTGACATAGCGCTTCAGTCTTTTTAAAGGTTTTCTAATATAATTTTTTTTTTTTTTATTTCTAATTGGGTGGTGGTTTCTTGGGGGAAACCTACCTCAATTTTGAAATGGCAAAACTTACATTTGTTATAATGTTCATTTCCGGTAACGTGAATTTTTTAAAGCAAAAAAAAATTACAGGCTCTTTAACGCATCGTTGGGTTGTTTACAGCCGTTGGACATAAGTGGTTTTGAGAAATGTAGGGCTGAGACATTTTCCTCAAATTTTCGAGACTGTTCCAGTTTCATAGAAGCTGCTTTTTTTAATAAGTACGATTATTTATGCCAAATCCTTAAAAAGTTGCAGTGATTTTTTTTTTTTACACAGAGTCACAGAGACGATTAGGACTTGTTGATGCAATTCCACTTTTCTGTAGAAAACTCCTGCCCCCGAGGAATAACGACTTTAATACACGTACCCTCGTATTTTGATGGAAACATTTCAATGTCGGCCTTAAAAAGTTCCAGAGACTCGCAACTAGTAATAGTTACAGGGGTGTTGACATTCATTCAGTGCGCTTTGCAAACTGATCTTATTTTCCCGGCAATAGCGCAATAAACAGATATTCAGAATAGGTGATGAGACTATTTAAAAAAATACATTAAAAAGTCACAAATGTGGAAGTCTTTAGCTCACAAGATTGATTAACCAAACGGAAGGAGAAACCAAAAAAAAGCAAGAATGCAAACATTTTTTGGACGGCAAATCCAGGCTTTTGGACAAAGCAAGAGACATTTTTGCATGTTTTTTAATTTAAGTATTTGGGGTTTTTTTTAATGAAAATTCATGAAGTTGGGTGCGTGTGCAAAACAGTGAGAGTGTGTGTGTGAGTGTAAGGAGAGAAGTGACATAGATAATTAATTAAGAACATTGCATTCAAGAATCTCTAGTTAATGAGGAGATGTTTAACTACATGTATAATTAAAAACTGTCTTAATTTTTGTTCCTTTTTCAATTTTCCCTCATAAATATGTCAACTAGGACTTAAATTTATTGAACGAGGTCCCGTAACGAGAAAATGGCTTCACAAATCCTTTTTTTTTCCCCCTCAAATTTATTTATTGGCTCAAATGTTTTTATTATTCCTTAATATGGCGATAAGTCTTCAGTTTGGTGGAAACGTTCTGTTCTGATGCGACAATCCTTCTTTAAAAAGATTCACATTCCTTCTGTGAAGCCATTTTCCTAATTATGTTTAAAAAAAAAAAATTCGGATGTCTAGATCAAACTTTTTGTCAATTTAAAAGAAACGGTCTCGCCCATTTTTCTCTTAAAAAAAAAATATCTTAATATAAAATATACTGGGCTTACATAACTGCAGTGAATACTCATGTTCCTACATAACAAAAAGTTACGCTAAGGATTTTTAATGAAAACCCCTCATTTATGGCCTCAAATTCCCCCAAATCATTTGACTATGCATCAGGTCAATTGTACTGCGTTACGTAGCGGTTTCTTTATTAAGTAATTTATAAAAGAGGAAAAAAAATGAAATAAAAAAAATTCAAAAAAAAAAAATTTAAAACAAAAATAAAAAAAACTGAAAAAAATAAAAAATACAAAAAATATAAAAACCACTTACTGTCTCTTCGTGTCAATTTGTCTAAAGTTGTTGCATTCACCAGTATTTTGTGATAGTTCTTAAAAAGCCAGTAAGAACATTGTTCAACGTCGGGCAACAATCTACTCGAGAACCGTGCTTGGAAGCGATGCCTGAAATTGTATTGTTTAGTAAGGGAGGGGGGAAAATGAAGTTGGTTTTGAATTGGTAATAAAAATGTGCCCACGGACACACTTTTTAAAAATTTGACTGCAAAGACTTCCAGTCTACAAATTATAAATTGCAGATATATTAGCTAGATTTGTACATTTTTTAAAATCGAAAATACCAGAAATGTAATCAGACCACAATTGTGCAAAGGTTTCCCTGTTTTCTAAAGTGTATCTAGACTAGACGACAACATTTTGGATGTTGTGGTCACGTGATACCAACTTTCAGCAAATGGGATTCAACCATTGAACCAAAGGATAAGATCGGAGTACATATTTCATAGGAGTACGATTTTTAACATGACACCGGGGGTTGTCGCATTGACGTCACAGGGCCCGTGGACGACGGTCGACCGTATCTACCGGGATCGAGCAGAAACTTCAAGTTAAACAGGTTAGTTTTTATCATGACGTTTTATGCATCATCCTTCAGATTTTGCGCAATTTTGTTGCCCAGAAATGTGCACAAAATACAAATGATTCTATATAGCTTTAATAGTTTCGGATATTTATTCTGGAAGTCGTGTATAGTTAGGTTAAGGATGTCTCAAATTTTTTACAAGTTTGTTCAAAAATTACTTTTGCAAATGACACTGACAGTCAATTCCAAAATGAATCTAAATCAGCTCAAGCATCTTTCTCCTCAGGATTAACTCATGTTTTTTTCATCATGTATTATCTCAGTGAAGGTCGTTCATTTCAAAGATTTTGAAAAGACATTAATATGGAACTGAGAAACATTTCTAATTTTGTTTGAAAATACTTGACTGAAAATGAACTTGACTCTCCATAGACTTTGTACACAACCAAAGAAGTGGCGTCTGGATACTACATTCTTTCCTTGACTTTTCCTGCTGGTGTCATCGCCCACTGTTTAGGTAAGTCTCAAAACATAACAGTGTCTTTTTGTTCTCTTATATGGAACGGGGTCCTAAACTACACGACTGCCATTGTTTTTTTCCAATGAATTTAAATGATGAACCCACCCCAAATCCTGCTCTTGCTGGACCTGAAGGGCCGGTGTGGTGTAAAATTAGGACTCCTATGAAAAACGGACTTATTGACTGTATTGCGCATGGCTCATTGATCAGAACAATGAGAACTCATTGCATGTGAGCCTTAGGAGCATACTCTATTTTGACAGTCAAAGACTGACAGAGTATATTTTCCTCGATTGAGACTTTCTGGTCATTCATTTCCCCTTAAAATTGTTTTAGTCGTGCTCTCCTGCCCACCCCCCCCCCCCAAACTTGAAAAATAGTGCAAGTCAAAGGGAATATATTTGCTTTTGCCGTAATTTCAGAAATAGATGGATTTGGTCGGTTAATATTTTATACCAAATATTGTTACACTGACTTGTTTGAAGTTTTGCATTAGCAGATACTGAAAAAACAATCATGTTTCTGTAGTCTGGTTCCCTGACCCCACTTAAGATGAAACAGACCAATTTATAGACGTCGGGGAATTGTAAGGTCAAGGAACCAGTCTAGCTGGCTTGTACCTGTTCATAGGTGTGTAATCGATTGCATACAAATGCAGACAAACTAAAATTGGTAAACTGGGGGCAGCTTTTTTAAAAAAAGCCAGTTTTTTCCAACGCTGCTCGGCCGACCAGCTTTCAAAATTGATACAAAAATACCACTTTTCTTGAAAATGACGGCACACCAGGTGCCATGATTTACAGGATGCTTTAGACTGCCATGCACTAACAGTCCAGTACAAATGTTTCAAAATAATTTGGAAGTTTTGTTTTTTGATGTTTGCAAATATTGTATATTCCCTTTAACCTTGCGCGATCCCCCTGCCTGGCATGCTGGCAGTATTTATACAGTCAGTTATTAAGCACCCTCTTCAGTGTACCTAACCAACAACAATGACGACATTTGACCCCTAGATGACCTTTGACCTCAAATGTCTCAAGTCATCTGAAGTTCCCCTACCCAAAGATTATTGTCATCAAGTTTGGTTGAGAGTGAAGTCCGACTTTTCATATGACGGCACTAAACAGTTAAACCTAACCAAAATGGAACACACAGACACACAGAAGGAATACACTATCGCAATATATATCCCGCTTTCTGGCTTAAACGCTAGGGGGATAAGACCAAAAAAACAAAACAGTTCTGCTTCCGGTTTCCCTACCTACCCTATTCTGGCAGCCCCTACCCTATTTTTTTATGGGAAAAATGAGAAAAAAACCCACCCAAAACCATCAATTTCTACCTTTTACCCTTAACTACACGCAGACGCCTCCATATGATCGTACACAAAAAAATTGGGCCCCCCCCCAAACAAAATTCCCTACCTACCTACCCTATTTTCGAATGCCATGTTATCGGAAGCAGAACTGTTTTTTTTTTGGTCTAAAAAGTACAGAGTTTTGGGAAGATGAAAATCACAGCTACATCAATATGAAACAAACTTTGTACAAAAGTCCTTTTTTATTATTTTTTAATTTTTTTATTTATTGGCAACTGTTCATAGTGAGTTGCGGAAATATATAATTTAAATATTCATCAAACAACCACAGAAGTCGGTTACAATGTGACGGGTGTTTATAAAACATGTTAACTTACAATTTGAGTACCTTTCCAAAATAGAGTGTAACTTTTTCCGGTAAAAAATGTTCTTAGTTCACAAAGACAGATCAAAACTGAAGCAAAATGGCTAGAAATCACATGAAAATACACCATTTTGATTAACGCAATTCAAAATGCAAAGCATCTATCTTAACTGTAAAACTGTAAAAGTGCCAAACAAAAACGCAATGCATAATTTTTTTTTGAAAATAGTTTGACCTTCCCATCACAACATAAACGTATGTGACTTTTCACAGAGAACTTGCAATTTGTTTTGGTCAACAACAACAAAAATAGATAAAAATAATCAATTTGTTATCTTTAAATATCTTAGAACAGGAGCAAATTCTACAATATTCCAACTAACTCTACTTTCAGCTCTTAAATATGTCACAATGTAGTCACTGTTTTTCTTAAAATAAAAATAGTTTATATATTTTTCAGCAATTAACTTACAGTAGGTAAATAGTCCTAACAATGAACACGAAAAGCAAGTCGTCTTCCATTAAATATCAACTCGATCAATATTTGTTCACAATTGTTTTATAATACACTATTCAACACAAATTTCACAACGGTATTTTTTGTTTTCAAATATAAGTTCAACAAACGAATTAGAGGATGATAGATATTAATCTATGAACATCAGATAAATGATATGGTGCATAAAGTTCTGTTGATCAAAATGTCTAAACTTCCGATTGCTAAAGTCTTACATTGTCAACGTTCGCAGAGACCACACAAAATGATTTTTAAAGATTGGATGCATTTGTCATTGCTTCTTATCTATTCAAAGCATTTTTTACATGTGTATTTCTCTTTCTAAATACATTTAGGGGAGTCAGGTTGGCATAGCGGTTCTTTCCTCGCCTTCCACCGCTGTGACTAGGGTTCGAATCCCGCCTGGGCCAATATGTGGATTTGGTTTTCAGTCCCTATCTGATTCCGTGGGTTTTCCCCAGACTATTCTTCTGGGCTTTTCCTCCCACCTCTAAAACTGTAATTTCTTCTCATTGTCTTTTCTCTAAGTTGGTGTGATGTTTCCCCCGGGATGCTTTGCCGACTATATGATACAGATATATAGTCGGCAATGTAAGTATACATTTAGGGGAGTCAGGTTGGCGTAGCAGTACTTTCCTCGCCTTCCACCGCTGTGACCCGGGTTCGAATCCCGCCTGGGCCAATATGTGGATTGGGTTTTCAGTCCCTGCCTGATTCCGTGGGTTTTCCCCAGACTATTCTTCTGGGCTTTTCCTCCCATGTCTATAACTGTAATTTCTTCTCATTGTCTTCTTTCCAAGTTGTGCACAGTCTTTTTTATAGAAAGCAATAAAATTAAAAATTAAAAACCTCACCAGAATGGCAACCGAAAGCGGTTACAGCTTGCCAAATTTAGTTTCCTTTAGTCAGTCACAACCAACTTGTAGATACTGACCTAATTACAAGCATTTTCTTCCTCCAACAAAAATGATAACAATATCATATATCTTCATGTTGCATGTTTACATCAATATATACATTCAGCAGTTTCTGTAAGCAATGCTTCTTAATAATATAATCAAAACCTCGCTGTACTTTTCAAGGCATGATAATCCATCTGCCAAGATATTCAGCATTTGTAAAGGTTCACTGCTTTTTCTTCACAAGGAAAGAATGATATGCCACACACTTAATAATATACATGTACACAATTCTACTTTCGTGGATGCACTAGTAGAAAGTAAATGTTAAGAAAAAGAGTAAAAGATTGTCTCTTTGACCAAGGCACTTTCCAAGTCTACATTTCAAAATCATGCATTCCAATCTGCAGCAAATTTCTCCGTTAACAATTGATGTGTCAAAACCACTCGTTGATAAGACATTCGTCTTCTTTCAATTTTTTTTAGTATAAACCTACATTTTTTCAAAACTAAGATTCTATTTTGTTTTTGTGTACTTACTTGTGGTCAAGATGCTCAAAGACTACACTAAATTGAGTCTACAACACTGTGTCATATATTCCTCAAAAGAGGTGGTATTTTCCAAATACATGTAAATACACAAAATATGGTCCAATATCTATAAATTGATCCATTGGTCTCTGTCCTGCCTAGTACTGCCTATCAGGTTCGTAACGCCAGTTCAGTTTAAAGGGAATGTACATCATTGGCATTTGCTGTAATTTTCAGAAATTAACTATTTGAGGGGTTAGTATAATAGATCAAATATTGTTACATTGACATGTTTGAAGTTTTGTGTTCGAAAATGCTGGAAAAACCAAGAAAAACAAAAATGTTCAAGTAGTCTGGTTCCCTGACTCCACTAAAGATGAAATGGATCAATTTATAGATGCCGGAAAATTGTAAGGTAAGGGAACCAGTTGTAGCTGGCCTGCACTCGTTCATGAACATGTAACCAATAGCAAACAAAATTTGGACTGAAAAAAATTTTTAAATTTGGAGCAGTAGTTGAAAAATAGTTAGGTTTTTCCAACGGTGGTCGGCCGACCATTGTTGGAAATGTATACAAAAATACCATTTTATTGAAAATACCAACATCCTAGTAAGGTATTTCGTAAAAACTTTGTAGTTTTATTTTTCGATGTTTGAAAATGTTGTATAATATTCCCTTTAAACCAGGCCCAATGCACATAGAGTAGCATTGGAACCATTGGAACCATTGGAACCTGAGGTAGTACAAAGTGGTGTGTTTAGCCAATGGGCGCTACTAATCAGTGGTGTACATGTACAGGGTTCCTTATGGGTAGAAAACACAATAGAAAAATAGACCCCATAATTAAAGGAAGTCTTCAGAAATCTATCTGCCCCATATAAGGGAAATGCTGTGGTGTTTGAAATTTCAGTATAGGAAAAAAGAAAATAACAGAAGAGCAACAAAGGTCTTCCCCACAAGTATGTACATGTACATGTAAGGCTGGGCGGGCCTTCGCTGCGTTATGGGGAAGTTTCTTATTGTCAGGCAAATTAGGACCGAGTTATTGGGAAATTATGCTGTCCCCACAGCGTCTTCGGTCCCCATAGTACCATGGGACAACTACAAAAAAAGTATGTGTGTTGGTTTGTTTATCAATGCGTTCAATGGGGGACATTGAATGGATTGGACATTGAATGGATTTACAGATTTATGAGGGAATGAATACAATGTAACATGATACTACAAGTGCTAATGAGCATGGGCGTCGCCAGGATTTTTTCTAGAGGGGGGCAAAAAAATTTTTTGCCAAAAAATGCTTGTATTTCTCAACACATTCTCGATTTATCAGTTTTAGAGGGGGGCAGGGACATTTTGCCCCCCCCCAACTCATTAAATTTACACCACTTTGTCTTCATGCCTCTTTTTTTTCTTTTTTTTTCTGTGCCCCACCCCCCTTGCGACGCCCATGCTAATGAGTTAAATTCAACTTTGTGTTTGTGCAATTAACTTTAAAAAAAAAATTTTTGCTAAGGAAAGGTGGGTTTTGGGCAAAGGGAAGACAAAAATGGAGGTATATAATCTCCAGAAAGGAAGGAAGGTAGATATTGTGCAGCCTGTTGGTCATATAAGTATTATATCCAATCAATGAAAGAATTAAGAATTGTGGATCGTAGATTAAATTCTGTTTTAATTTGGCATTAATTCAGGTACTAACAAGTTGACCACTACATGTACCCAGTGTAGTTGTATCTTCAGGCAGCCTGCAAATCAGAAATTCTTTGCCTGATTAATGCACTGAACATTGCGATCGTTATCGATTAACTCACTGTTCATTGCCATCTCATTGTTCAGTTGACTCTAGGTGCATTCATTTACGTTTCAACCAGGGCCCGATTTTCAGCCATTACAAAATTTTGCTTAAGCAGAAAACATATCTGCTTAACAAAAACACTTTACCGGCCAACAAATCATATAATGTGTTATGGCTTTTGACTGGTTCTCCAACTTCCTTTGGCTGAGCAAATCAATCTACTTAGCCAGTTTTCTCTGCTATACGAGCTTCATGGAATTGGGCTGACCCTCTTTTACACTCTGAAATTGGGCTCTTAAAAAGTCAGACAACCTGATAATTTGATCAAACTAGAAAATTTCTTGAGGCGTGAAGGAAATTCAGCTGTTACAAATCACAATTGTAATGACAGTTACATGTAGTTGTTATAAAATACCACAAAAGAATGGAGAACCAACATGAATATACATTATAAATGACTCTGAAAGAGTTGGGTACTTAATTTGAAATTTTCGTACAGACAAAAAATTCATTGTGGTATGAAAACAGAATATCATGACAAGCCCCGACAATAAAGCACAGGTTTAGATATGACACAGGGTTTTTGTAAATTGCAAAAAAAAATTGATATTTACAAATTAATGGTGTCAAATAGACCTGAGACCTAATAACATAATGGCTTTGTTTACATGCGCTTACCTATGGGAGCGAAGTCGGGACGCCAGACGAAGTAGGGACAGTATACCACATAGAAAAGCGCACGTGTAAACAAAGTGTGACGTCATTAGGTCTCAGGCTTATTTCTGGTGTCACATTCTGGTGCCAAACTTGGGAAAAAAGAGTTTATACTTCACATAAATGTGAAACATTTGTGGCAAACTTTGCCTGAGCTGAATTTTTTTTCATCCATTACTAATTTGCACTTGTTCTGAAACCACACAGTCACATTACATATTTGCGTCTGAGTATGATCTGGCCTCGTCAACTTTTAGTCCTGATTCTTGTAGTCACACCGCTTGGACTTGGTACTTCACTGACGACAAAATTAGAACTGTTGCATGATCATCCTTTGAGTTTAGTCTTCCAGTCGCTGGTGAAACCATGACAACGTATGGCAACTATTTACACCCGACTAGGCTGAAAAGTTAAAGGAAATACATAAAATATATAAGAAACCGAAAACAGGAAAGATGAGTCATTCAGGCATGCAAATTTTCCTTGGATCTGCTGATTTCCTCATTTTTGTTTACTTATCATGAATGCCATTACAAAGTCTTATGTGGTTTGGAATTCCTCGTTTTTTCAAAATTCCCAGTTGCATGCCCTGGTCATGGTTTGTCACTAATCACAAATTATTTTGAGTGGGGGAAAAATACTTTGATGTTATTTATGCATTATGAGCATGATCAATGGATGGATATAATGTAAACAAAGCGGTTACAAAATTGGGCTGTAGTGTTAGTTGGTTAATGGTAAACTAATAAACTACCAAAGCACAAACTAAGCAACTTCACGCATGCAAAACACAAATTTATGCAATATATATATACAAGTAAGGGGACTAAACTCCCTGTGAAATTGTTCCTTCTGGCAAGCTTTCGTTTTGAAGAAAACAATAAAAGAAGGCCTTTCCAAAGGTGCTTCTTAAGACGCACCGTAGGAAATTTAAATTAGTAGTTCGTTTTGTTATTCGGCGAAGCGCGTGCAAGCGTTGACACGACGCACAAGCACTGGCAGTTGCTATTATTCGTCGGATCAGTGCGCGACATCGCATAGCTGCAATCGGCTCAGTGTGAAATTCAGGCCCAATTCAAAACATGATTCAGCAACTTTTGATTTGAAATCGAGATCCTATAATGCTGTTTTTCTCGAAAAATACAGCTGAAGCTGAGCTGAAATTTCATCAGGCTAGTTGTTCAGTACCCTTCTTTAGATTTTGAGCACTTTTGTTGCTTCAAACGAACAAAATGCACAATTTACAAATGATGGACTATACCTTTAATGACGTCCCGCTTTTTGTTTACATATGTGGGCTTCCTAATTGAAAGCTTAAAGGAACCCGTCCCACCTGGCTCTCATGGGAAAGTGCACATGTAAACAAAGCGGGACATCATTATGTCTTAATTGATTACTGTAATTTTCCATGAAACCGCGACGGCATGCATCCATCTGTGCTGCCTATCCACTGCCTTTGGAGCATTTGTTGATGGCATATGGCTTTTCAATTCCTCGAGTGTCTTTCCATATTGGCTAGAACCTTAGGACAGAAACACTTTTTGTGTTGACACCTTAATTTGCTGGATACACTGAAAATCTTGTATAGTCCGCTGCCAGATTTGTCTGTGGACCTTATTTGGCACATCATGAGTGTACGCAGGGCATACAGGGCGTCCTGAAAAAAAATGGTGGATGTAAACCCCTCCATTTTTGCTAATTTACAACCAAAATTTTCTGCGGATGTTTTACACCATCTTCAAGGTAATAGATTTAGCTGGAGAATACCGTTTGTTTCATTGAGATTGCTTTTGTAAATCCAAAGATGTGTTTGAATAACGGCAAAGCCAAGAAACCCATTTTGTGCCACTTTCTGTGAAGCAGTTAAAATCAGTATAGTCATAGTCTAAAACCAAATCACTTTACTGTTAGTGATTTTAACATTTTTAAGCAGAGTGTGCAATATTTATTTATATTTAATTGATCTCTTTCATGGAAGTTTGAAGGAAGTGAACCTGTCTGTACTATTAAATTGTTTCAACATAAGAACAGAACCCTATATTGTCGTGTGAATGGAATGTTTGTCTTACACCCATAGGGATAATCTCATCAAAAGAGCCATACTGGCATTGTCTGATCTTTGAAGCACTCGCTTCCTAAAAGTGGCACAGAATGGTTTTTGGGCTTTGAGGTTATTCAAACATATCTCTGGATTTACAAGAGCAATCTTAATTAAACAAACGGTATTCTCAAGCTAAATCTGTAACCTTGATGATCGTGTAAACATTTGCAGTAAATTCCGGTTGTAAATTGGCGAAAAATGGCGGGGTTTACATGCACCGTTATTTTCAGGACACCCCGTACATATGGGAATTTAGTGCTCTTGTAAGTCCTCCAACATGAGAAAAAGACTCTTCCCACCTCAGAAATGGATTCTAAGTTTGTTAGCTGGATTAGTCCATACAGTCCCGCCCCTAATTAACACCACCACACACAGCACGGCACACATATACATACACAGCATGCGAGCGCGTGAATACACGGAGCCCCGCTTGGGCCACAAATCGGAAGAAACTAAATCTCCAGATGCAGGGCAAACTCATTGTCCTCTTGGTAGAAGATTATGGGCTCTTCCAGGTCGCGATGATGACTCTTCTTTGGATTCTTATGCTTCTGAGGCAAGAAAACATGCTTAAGTGAGCAAGTGAAATGAAACTGACATGTTGCAGATGATTGGAAAGATCCAGAGAGTTGTGGTGGGGATGCAGTTGGGAAAACATTTGATTTTTTTTGTTTCTTACATTTTTTCCAATGTTTGCATAAGTGTCTTTGCCAAATTCGAATTGCATCATTGCAATTTTTCAGAGTTGAAATAAAATCGTTACAAGTCCGTCTCAAGTCAATCACAAATCCGTCTAGTTTCAAGACACAAGCTGTTCGAAAGACTTGTGACAGAGTTTTCATTAGTCAGCTCTCATTCTCTGTTCCTTGTGAACTGATTTGCGACTTGTCTGATTTGTAAATCTTGTAGTTTTAGCTTTGTGATGGACTTTACAACATCGCTAGTGTGAATTTCGTAACTTAAAAGTTATGCTTTGTGTGCGCACCAAAATATGAATACAAAGTGTTCCAGCATTATGAAAGGCAATGTAATGTCCATGACAGAGCCAATTAACTGTGATATCTAATTAATGATTTAGAGAAATGATCCCAAACTCCTAGTCTGTAATCTCCTTGACCATTACTAGATGATGGATGTATAAGATTTGAAAAATACATTTTCAGGTTTATCCACTGAGCTCTTAAAAGCTTTGTCACAGACATTACATAATGCTGGAATTGCCCCAACACAAAAACAGCAAACTTTCCATGTTCTCTGTGTTTTTCAGTTCTATTAATTCCATTTTCATATCAACTGCATACATCCGTTCCCTGTCTGGATCCAACCATGACGTGGAGTCAACATACATGCAAACAAAAGCAACATTCTCAAAGCCTGGTCTCAATTTCATGGTGCTGCTATTAAAAAAACAATAACAGAACAAACGAAAAAACACTAACACTTATGCTTACGCTAAGGCCAAAAAAAAAAGTCTCCGGTTTCTAGTATGCGCGCGCGTCGCCGTAGCCATGCGCATCGGCAAAATCAAAAAGTTTTTTTTTAATGAAAGATGATGTCTCAAAACCGCCAAACTCACTGGTTTGACTGGAATCCTGCTGCTGCACAATGTTAACGTGTTTTTAGATTGGGTTATGGTCCAGAATAAGCTTTATGTGGCCTCTCTGGACTCCCATATATATTTGCACTAAGTTTAGTCGGGCACCATTCATGCCATTTGCAGTCATCAGCCGACATTTGAAGCAAAAAAATCAGGTAAAAAAAAAAGCCGCGTCGCCGCACCACTTTTTGGGCAAGCTCCATACCAGAAACCGGAGACTTTTTTTTTTTGGCCTAAGCATCTTTTTTTTTCCTCAGCAAAACAATAGTGACCAGCCAAAATGATGTGTGATACATATTGCTGTTGGCTGGTACTCCACTGATATGTGCTTGACTTGTTAACTTATTAAGCATTATTCTTTGTTTTATGGCACCATAAAATTTTACCCTGGTCTAGCACAGTTTTCATGTTAAAATGGTGTATTGGCCAAAAATAAAATATAAAAATATGTCAAATATGTCAAACTTGTAAAAAAAATATTTGGCCTTGATGCCACAGATGTAGTTTACATTTACAAGAAATTTGAACCCGCTGTGATTAGTGTGCATTTCCGAATAATTCAGGTTAATTATTGCAACTTGGACTTGATCAAATTTTGAATATTCACATCTGTTGAATATTCAAATCATAGAAAAGAAATTTGGATATTATTCGGAAGATTGATTATTCAAATATTCCGTTTAATCGGCACAGCCCCAATTAGCAAAAATACAGTACGAAAAGGCGATAAAAAAAATATAAAATTTGAGCTGCTTTGAGTTTCTTTTGAAAGCACACAAAGACGGAATGTGCAATATTTAACTGTGAAATTGGAGAGTTAACATGAACTGTGACCATGAAAATAATAAGGTCAATATACAATATTAATGAGTTGTCCATAATGTGATAAAATTGTTAGCAAATCCGAACCAAAACATAAAAATAGGCCAAAAGAGAAAATTGTTTGGTAATTAGAAACGTGTTGAACAATTATGGCCAAAAACAAAACGATGAAGATTTTCTGTGCACAATGAACAGCCAAATGCATGTAACGTGATATGATCAAAACGTGGACGGCATATGATGTCCAAAAAAAGGGTTGACTGCTGAACAATTGCAGCCAATTTCACAAAAACAGAAACTTCATCTGTTTCATGGTAACTGAAGAGACAAGAATTGCCTAACTTCAATTACAAATTTTGCTCAATGACCATGTTGTAGAACTTGTAGTTGTACTTGTACTCAAACCCCAGTACATTTTTTGGTACTCGTACTCGTGGAAAAAATTGCCTTGTACTCTTACTCATGATAAAGTATTCGTACTCGTTATCATGACAAAGTACTCATACCCATGGCAATGTACTTGTACGCATGGCAAAGTACTTGTGTCAAAGTACTTGCACTAATCATGGCAGAGTACTCGTACTTATACTCATGACAAAGTACTCATGCTCATGGCAAAGTACTCGTACTCATACCAATATACTTGTAATCATACTCATGGAAAAGTACTCGTACTCATACTCATGGAAAAGTACTCGTACTCATACTCATGGAAAAGTACTCGTACTCATACTCATGGCAAAGTACTCGTACTCATCATGGCAAAGTACTTGTACTCGTACTCATGGCAAAGTACTTGTACTCATACTCATGGCAAAGTACTTGTACTCATCATGGCAAAGTACTTGTACTCATACTCATGGCAAAGTACTTGTACTCATACTCATGGCAAAGTACTCGTACTCATCATGGCAAAGTACTTGTACTCATACTCATGGCAAATTACTTGTACTCATCATGGCAAAGTACTTGTACTCATACTCATGGCAAAGTACTTGTACTCATCATGGCAAAGTACTCGTACTCATACTCATGTCAAAGTACTTGTACTCATACTCATGGCAAAGTACTCGTACTCATCATGGCAAAGTACTCGTACTCATACTCATGGCAAAGTACTTGTACTCATACTCATGGCAAAGTACTTGTACTCATACTCATGGCAAAGTACTTGTACTCATCATGGCAAAGTACTTGTACTCGTACTCATGGCAAAGTACTTGTACTCATACTCATGGCAAAGTACTCGTACTCATCATGGCAAAGTTCTTGTACTCATACTCATGGCAAAGTACTCGTACTCATACTCATGGAAAAGTACTCGTACTCATACTCATGGCAATGTACTCGTACTCATCATGGCAAAGTTCTTGTACTCATACTCATGGCAAAGTACTTGTACTCATACTCATGGCAAAGTACTCGTACTCATACTCATGGCAAAGTACTCGTACTCATCATGGCAAAGTACTTGTACTCATACTCATGGCAAATTACTTGTACTCATCATGGCAAAGTACTTGTACTCATACTCATGGCAAAGTACTTGTACTCATCATGGCAAAGTACTCGTACTCATACTCATGGCAAAGTACTTGTACTCATACTCATGGCAAAGTACTCGTACTCATCATGGCAAAGTACTCGTACTCATACTCATGGCAAAGTACTTGTACTCATACTCATGGCAAAGTACTTGTACTCATACTCATGGCAAAGTACTTGTACTCATCATGGCAAAGTACTTGTACTCGTACTCATGGCAAAGTACTTGTACTCATACTCATGGCAAAGTACTCGTACTCATCATGGCAAAGTTCTTGTACTCATACTCATGGCAAAGTACTCGTACTCATACTCATGGAAAAGTACTCGTACTCATACTCATGGCAATGTACTCGTACTCATCATGGCAAAGTACTTGTACTCATACTCATGGCAAAGTACTTGTACTCATACTCATGGCAAAGTACTTGTACTCATGGCAATGTACTTGTAATCATACTCATGGCGAAATACATGTACTCATACTCGTACTCAATGAAATGTATTGGACTGCAACACTGCTAAGTGACCAAACAATATAATCTCCTTTCCTGCCCATGCATTTGCCCATAAACGTTGCAAAAATATGGTTATTGTACGCAGATTTGTTTGTCTGTTAAGCAACTCAATGAAGTTGGCCCCTGATTTCAAGCAATGCTAAATAGTAATTTTTTTTCAGATAATTACATGCGAGTCGCTGTAGAAATTCTCCTCCACTTCTGCCCTGGTGCCAAGTAGGGCGGAGTCTCCACTCTCATCGTAATCATCCAGCAGGTTCATCGTGGAGGATGCTGGCGCCGTCTCTAGTCTGCGACACACAGCTCAGGAAAAAAAACTCCACTCTATTCACTTCCATAATTACAAAAATCAGGCTAGGCAGTTTGTGTACACAGTTTGGAATAGGCTCTACATTTAACGTGTGCAAAATTGTATTTCTTATTTTCACTCCAAATATTATAATAGGGGAACAAATGCTTGGATGCACTTGCAGAACCAGTTAATTTTATACATTTTTTTTTTATCTCGCCAGGTCTATGTGAGCATACAAGAATGACTTTATGTCGGTGGAGGGACATAATCAATGTTGGACTTGCTCTCTTACATGCTCTCTTACGAACCATCCTCCAAATTTTTAATTACAATGTTGAGAATAAAAAACATTCAAAATGTAACTAAATACACCACTGATTATTGTCAAAGGATACTGTGGCTTGGATGAGGATCGCTTCTTCCTGTAGTTGAACTTTTTGGCCATCTGGGCAAACTTGAATCTTGTTGCTGCAAATTATTAGAAACATGCATGTACGTGTTTATGCTCTCTGTTTTTCCAAATCATACCAACATGGCACATTTGAAAGGAACACAGTGACCAACCAAGTCACGACAAAAACTCCCTGTGTACAAAAATTTCAGCTTTGATGAGTGCGATTTTGACTAGCACATGCCGGCTAGCGCCCTCTATTCCTGACTGATGACCAGGGCCCAATTCCACGGAATCAGAGAATGTTGCTTATCAACTTTACATGCCAAGCAAAAAGGGAGCAGGGAACCAGTCATGAGCGATGTACATAGTGTGACATTTGGCTGGTAATCAGTTTTTGCTCAGCAGATGTGGGTGCAGGCCATTTGCCTTTGTGGGCCAAATAATGATTTGTAAGACCGCAATTATATTGCTATTGGAGCATTTTGTGGGGCATAAACTTGAGGGTTTGTAAAAGAAAGAAGGGTGGACGCCAGAACAGGACAGCGACATTGTATTTCTGTGACATTTGGATGAAATTGGGTCCTAAGGTGCTCTATTTTGCAATGGAGCATATACATCATTTTTCAAAATGGCGACTTTTAGGGTGATTGTCTTCAGATGGAATTTTCTCACAAAAGTCAACGGATCACCCCCAAAAAAAACTGAAAAGAAAATGAAAGATGATGATATAAGTATTCATTTAATGGGTCTTGGAGAGTTGTGAGTATTTTTCCTGATCTTGAGAAGTAGGGGTATTTATCACCGAGGTCTATAGCAGTTTATTTGCTGGTCTGCAACCATAATCCTGACTCCCTTTCAGAGAATTCTGTAAAGGAAGCATGGCGAATTGGAAAGCAACGTTGACAGATTATCAAAATCAATGCACGTAAATTCTGTACACATTTGCTGTGTGGGAGCGGAAGCGCCGACACTGGGTCGCCTGATCAGAAACCTATCCAAGAATGAAGAGGTCACCCGCAGCCTTTGATAGGGCTATGGGCGCGAGGGAACCAACAGACCGGTTCTTCGAGAATCTAACCTGATTGAAACCCTTAAAGCAGATGGCTTATAAGGAAACTCAAATGCGAAGATTGCTTACTCTTGCCCATGTGCGTCAGCTTGTTCCTGAATTCCACGTCGTCGGTCGACACGCCTCCTGCTGCCATGGTGCCGCCCTCCCCTGGGGGTAGGGGGCTTGCGGCACCCTGATGGGGTGTGGCTTGGTTGCTGTGGGTGGTCGTGTGGGTGGTGGGGGTATGGGTTGTGCCTGGGGTACCGGATGCTGCTGTGTTGGCCTGGTTGTAATCTATGGGGAAGAAAAACTGACACTAATTAACAAAATGCCATTACGACATTCATATTATTATTGAGGTTTGTAACCTGATGGATCTTGCTACACTGAGCAGGATTGTCATTTTGAAAAGTGTTGCACGTTGCTGCGCTTAGCAGGGTTTCTAAGCAAAATTCTTGTGTTGCATGCGAGTTCTTACCTCTGTCTAACGCTGCGATGAACTCTGGGTTGTGTTGTAGTTCCCGCAGAAATTCCTCGTTCTGCAGCGTCAGGGCGAATCTCTCGTCCTCAAGCATCTGCTGCATCTCGACATCGTTGGCGTCCACGCTGCTCTGCTGCTGGACGTTACGCGCCATGCGCTCCTGAAGTTTAATGGATACCATCGGCTGTTTTGGGTTGGGGTGAGGTGGGGGAGAGGATGTTAGAAGAAAAAAGGATGGGGTAAGTAGTCAATAAATAGACTGTGTTTAAATGCACAATCTGCATTACCTGCATTGCACTGTTGGAAAAGTTGACATTTCGGCTCAGGTGCCCTGCGTCTGTTTTAATAGCAATCAGTTGTTGGAACCCAAGTCAGATATGTGAGGTTTTACACATCAGAAGTGTCGTCAGGGTTGTGGGCAGTGGTGTGTTCAGGGATGAGTCCAGAGGCGTGTCCAGGGATGAGGCTATGGGTGTGGTTAGGGGTGTGGCCAGGGGTGTGGCAAGGAAACTTGGTTTGATAACAATTGTTTTGTTCATTAAAATTTGTTGGCATTTTTAATCACTTTTTTACGAAGCGAAATATGTACTCGGCGTGAAAAAAACAAATACAATATGGTTTATTTTGGGGAAAAAATGCAACATTACTGGTTCTGGTTACTGGCTGATTTTGACTACCCGCCCCCATAGTAGTTAAAACTTCTTCACTATTCTATATTTCATTTGCATAACCCACCTGACTTGTAAAATTATACTGAAAGAGCAAAAGAAAAGTTGAAAACGGACTTTTCCGTAAAACAAAACAAAAACAACGATACAAGCTTCCGGACAAGAGCAAAATACTTGCCTGGCTCCTGGATCTCTGTCGATTTATACCAGGACTAACCACCCTCAGGAAATCAGCGGGTAGGTCTCCAAGCAGCGGTGGGTTCCATCGTGGGTGGTTGCGCCTGGTGAGGGGCGTGGTGGCGATGGTGGGTTGAGCAGGGGCCAGCCCGATGGGCTGACGGGGCTCTGGTTGATGGGGGCTGGCCATGGTGGTAGTGGAGAAGACTGGGGATGGGGTGGACTGGGGAGCGGAAGGGAGGGCCCCACGTTGGTTAGGGGTCGGTGGGAGCTGTCTGGCGCGCATATCCTGGAACCAAACGACGGATTAAAAGAGCTGAACTTCGAAGCATATATAGCAAGAAAGTAATGATATCTTGAGCCTTCAATGTTCCTATCAATGTTTTTTTTAATTTGCTAGCTTCATATCATACACTTTGATATTTCTGTAAGAAAACATTGACTGATGTTGAGCTGGAATAATCAAAGTTAGGGAGCCAAATATCAGTTGTCAGTAACTTTCGTCAGATTCAAATTAAAACATGAAGCAAAATTTTAACCTCATACGATCCCAGTGCATACTTGAGTCACAAAGTCATCCTTGAATTTCAAGTTTTCAAAACAAAAGCAATGAAAATATATAGACTCTTATTTAATTTTTTTTTTTAATTTTTTAAGAGCATGACAGGTAAATACAACCTATTTTATACCCGGCAATACCTGGGGTCTATCTGAGAGTGTCAATGAAATACATTCGGTAAACTAAAAACATTTTCGGAAACAGGAGGAATTCCTCCCGTTTTGGTCATGTGACATTGGCGGCTACCTGTCTTAAGATTCGTCAGAAGTACAAATGTAATCTTTTGGTCTGTGAGCCAGACTTGAACTACGCACAACAAATATTCATCTGAATGTGCCCAGACTCTCAATGTCTTTGCAAGGGTCCCAGATGTATAGTGGCAACGCGTTCAAGGGTCGTCTCTAACTCCGTCTCTCTGTCACCCTTGAGGGAGAACTACCAGCCAAAAACCAATGAAAATGGGAAACGACAGTGATCAGAACAAGAACAGGGAACACTGACGCACCTGTGAGAAGGGGCTGTTAGGCGCGGGTGGGGAGTACGGCGGGGGCTGGTCCCCTAGCATGATACTCCCTCTGGACACCGGTGTGACGGGTACCATTCCCGCTGGTGGACTGCTAAAGCTGTTGTTCACTGTATCGCTGTATTGCTGTGTAACGAAGGACCAAAGATAAGAGGATAATCAAAAGAAGACATTATAAAAAATCACAACTTTACAAATTTACTAGCTAAAGCCTGAGGCACTTCCAGCAAAAAATTAAAAATTATTATTTTATTTATTAAAAGTTACCACTTTATCCTCGATCTTAAATTAAGTTTGATTAAGAAATCATTAAGAGAAGTTACGTCAAAATCTGACAATTTGACATTGCCATTGAGTTCTTTCAATTTTCTTCATCATCAGACGAATGCAATTCACTGATGCAAGGAAAAGCCAGATTTTACCACGGGGCATCCCAAATTCTGCTAGAATAAACTTAACAATGATTTTAAAATAATAAAAGTTATATATTTTCAAGGTCAGACTTAGAATTTTAGTAGCAAATGCCTTACTTACCGTGACCCATTGTTAATACCTTTGGTTCCAATAAAGCCGTGTTCACATTGGACTTTTTTGGTAAACTAACGGAGACTGGTGCTAATTTAACAGAGAATGTTGTTAACCCCTTGATGCCGGTATTGTTCGGCCTCGGCCAGCCACACTTTGGGTGGAATGTGTACGTGCAGGCAATGGTTAATATCTTTGGTTCCTCTAAAGCCGTGTTCACATTGGACTTTTTTGGTAAACTAATGGAGACTGGTGATAATTTTACAGAGAATGTTGTTAACCCCTTGACACCGGTATTGTTCGGCCACGGACAGCCACACTTTGGGTGGAATGTGTACGTGCAGGCAATGGTTAATACCTTTGGTTCCTCTAAAGCCGTGTTCACATTGGACTTTTTGGGTAAACTAACGGAGATTGGTGATAATTTTACAGAGAATGTTGTTAACCCCTTGACGCCGGTGTTGTTGAGCCACGGACAGCCACACTTTGGGTGGAACGTGTACGAGCAGGCATTGGTTGTTGTGTATGAATGGATGCGCTATGCTGCATGAATGTGGCAATACCAGTCCCCTGGCTTTACTTTTGTCGAGCTTCGTCTATCACCATCAGCCAGCGTTAAGGGGTTAACTTAAAACCAAATTATGTCCCTGAGTGCAGCGTAGTGGAGTGTCATGGCCTAGCGATTAAGAACACCGGACTCATGCTTTAGTGTTTCAGAGGCAACAGTGGCGTGGGTTCGAGCCCGCCGGCGGACACTTGTGCCCTTGAGCAAGGCACTTAACCATTATTACTTCGTCCTTCGGATGGGACGTAAAGCCGTTGGTCCCGTGTGTTGTTTAATCCAATGCACGTAAAAGAACCCAGTGACACTCATCGCTAAGAGAAGGGGTTTGCCCCAGTGTTTCTGGTCTCCTGTATAAACTCCCACGCGGACTATTCAGGAGATGAACCAACCAAGAACCAAGACAGCCGGTAACCTTCTCAACTTGTCAAGTGTGGACTGTTGATTGTACGTTTTACAATCACTTGTGGTAACTTCTTACGAAAGTTGTTCTTTCTACCACTTCTCTCTGTTCCAAGTGACTACTTACAGGCAGTTGCGGTTGTTGTGGTGCTTGAGGGGCTTCTGGCATGTCTGCATTGAGGGTAAGCAGTTGGTCTATGGTTGCATCCACCGCTCCGTTGTTTGCTCTCAGTACTGTCTCTATGACGTCTCGGTCCATGGATGGAAACATCGTCTGGGAAAACAAAGCATAACAGCAAAGCACAGATTTGTGATTGTGAGATTATAAAGAAAAAAGTGTTGCAATCGGCCAAGGGTGCAGACCTGCAAATCGACTCCCATAGACGGAAAAAATGTTGCAACCTGACGCCACTTCAGCAGTTGTGTACAAAGTCTATGGAGAGTCAAGAAAATATTCGAGGTATTTCCTAACAAAATTGGAAATGTTTCTCAGTCCCAGATTCATGTCATCATCATTTTCGCAATGACTGACCTTCATTGAGATGATGACATATGAAGAAAAAAATGGCATCAGGTTGCAACAGTTTTTCCCATAGACCTCCGTGATAATTATGCATCCTACCAAAAATTATTAAAAATACTCACAACTCTCCAAGGTGTTTGAGACACCCATAAAATTAAAGCTTATTTCAGCATCTTTCATTTTCTGTTCAATTTTGGTTCAGCTATCCGATGACATTTGGGAGAAAATTCCATCCAAAGATGATCATCCCCCAAATAGTCATGTGGCCCATCGCCATTTTGAAGAATGATGCCTGCGCTCCACTGCAAAAGCAATTTTAGGGCCCAATTTTATGCGAACTTCACAGAAATACGAGCTGGCACTCCTGTGCACTGCTTCCATCCATGTTTTACAAACTTTGAAGTTCAAGGCCCAAAAATGCTCTAATAACAAAGAATTTGAGAGCAGGCAAATTAAATTTGGTTGGTGTAAGAGACTTGAAGGTTTGGGCTTATTTACAGGTCTACACCCCTAAAGCATAAAAACACCAACAAATAAACTAGGCCAAAAAAGAATAATTCTGCTACGGTTACCCTATCTACCCTATTTTGACAGCCCCTACCCTAATTTATTTTTGGGGAAAATGAGGGAAAAAACTCAAATATCATCAATTACCCTTGACTACTTGCAGACACCTCCATTACCGTACACAAAAAAATTTGCCAAAAATAAAATTTATCTACATTGTACCTACCTGCCCTATTTCAAATGCCATGTAATCGGAAGCAGATTTTTTGAGGGGGGGGGGGGAGGGGACCTAGCCACTTGTACCATACTGAAGTTGGAACGCAACAGTTGAGAATGGGCAGTACTAACTTCCTGTAAGTAAGGATTCAGTGCTTGCAGAAATTCTGTGCTACTTAGAGTGGTGATTATGGGCTCACAAATGTGTGGTTAGCAGAGTCAGGAACTTGGGCAGGGCTGGGTCTCCAGTTTTATGCAAACACACACTTTGACGACCATACATTTTTCCCCCGGTCAACACAACTCAGTGTTAAATTTGAATGAAATTTCTTTTTCACTGAAATGTTTTTAAACGTTTTTACAAAGCGTTTGGCTAAATGTGAACATACCTTGAAATCGGCCATGGCTTGATTGAACTCCAACTGTCTTGTGGGCACGGGAGCGGGAGCTCCGCCCACCGCCCCGCCCATCCCTGCGTTGTTGACTGTCTTGTGATCTGACGGCACGCTGTGGCTGCGATTCTTCTTGCTCTTTTTGCTCTTGCCTGAGGGCGGGTGTTGCACGTCTGGCGCGGTTGCCATGGTGACACAGTCCAAACTTTTCGAACACGTCTCTTTCTCGGTCAAACTACTGTTCGAGGGAAAGATTTTGGCGTCGACGGCCTTGTGATAATTTTGTGACTACACACAAATAATCAAGAAAATGAAGAGAATTGTTGGTTCTTCTTCAGGTTTTCATGTTCTCTTCATGCCCTTGTGAGTAGTTCAGAAATTGGGCTCTGTGATTTTTCCCTTGTTGGTTTGTGCTGAGCCCGTTTGTAGAATAGAGTCACATATGTTGCAGCACCAAAACTGTTTCAGTTCTAAACCTGTGATCAAAAACAAAACAAAACGGAAGAAAAGCAAAAAACAATAATGATTAATTAATTTAAAGCATCAATTTTTGGGTTGTTTTTCAATGTGCATGTGAATCTCTTTTTGAAAGAAATGGTGGATTTAAAAGAAACTGGTGGCGAATACCGTTTCTTGATTGACACAGCATGCTGTCCCAAAATTTTTGGAAACTACACAATTCTTTCAAGAAGATCCACGTAATGAACCATTACTAGATTTTAATGAAAACAGCCCCTTTTTTCGGGGGGGGGGGGGGGGGGTTCAGTGACATTTAGAGATGATACGGAACAGAATTATTACTTTGGACAATAAGAAAAGATTTCAAATAAGGTATGGTAGGACTTTCCAAACCTAGCTCCATACATGTACCGGTACGTTACAGTACAGAACACAGCGCAATGTCCATAAATATCACAAAAGCTCATGGTCCAATCATCGTCATGACATTAGCATCACTGCTATCACGACTATGGTTCATTAGTGAATTTTCTTGGGAATTTCCAATATTTGGGGGTCAGGGACTTCCCAATATTTGGGGGTCAGGGACTTCAGAAACGGTTTAGAACAGAATCACGACTTTTGGACAATGAATTGGAATTGACTCAAAAATTATAGGAGTTGCCCAAACCTATACTGTATAGTTGTACAGTACACCTACATCTGGTAACTCAATCAAAACATGTTTCATACACTCATCATAGTGGATTGTATCATGTACTATAAATCCTGTCAAGATGAGACTGCAAATTGTACATTAAAGGGAAAAAACATTTGCAAACATCGAAAAAATGAAACTACCAAGTTGTACAAAATACCTTACTAGGATGTTGGTAAATGACAGTCTAAAGCATCCTGTGAAATTATGGCACCTGGTGTGAAGTCATTTCGAAGAAAAACGATACTTTTCTATACATTTCCAACGGTGGTCGGCTGACCACCGTTGGAAAAACCTAACTATTTTTCAACTACTGCTCCAAATTTACCATTTTTTCTTCAGTCCAAATTTTGTTTGCTAGTGGTTCCATGTTCATGAACGGGTGCAGGCCAGCTAGACTGGTTCCCTTACGTACCGGTACCTTACAGTTTTCCGGCATTTTTTTTATTCATTTCATCTTTAGTGGAGTCGGGGAACCCCACTACTTGAACATTTTTGTTTTTCTTGGTTTTTCCAGCATTTCCAAACACAAAACTTCAAACATGTCAGAGTAACAATATTTGATCTATTATACTAACCCCTCAAATAGTTCATTTCTGAAAATGACAGCAAAAGCCAATGATGTACAATGTACATTCCCTTTAAAGGACTGTCATGTTTCTACATGTACATGTAATACGTCGTCATTAATGGTTTTAACACAAGACAGGAAGTGTAAAATATTAAAAACAAAACAGATTAATGTCATTACTTCCTCGTTTGCCAACTGACAAATAAAATTTATTCGGCCACACTCTTCATGATGAATTTCTGTTCTATGTATTAAAGAATTAAATGTGAAAAATCACCTTTTATACTCCTCAAATCAACCAATTTTTAATTGAATCACCTTTTTTTTTCAGGGGGGGGGGGGGGAAGGGGGTCTTTCCAAACAGGAAATTGCTTTCACATGTTATTCTTCATAGAACATTTAGGTCTACAAGAAAAACGCAAATTCCACTTTTCAGAAATGATATATTTCAATGATTTATGTATAAACAGAAAAATATTTTTGCAAGAAACAGTTTCAGGTACAGTTTCTCAAATTGGTTGACTTCCCCATTTAGTTGTGTAGTTTCACATTCAAGTGGGAGTGCTTTCCATTATTATATTTATTTTTGCAAGTACATGTAACTTCAAATTAGGTTTTGCCCTTCACCGACGTTTTTTAAACACTGTATACTCAGTGTGTTACCTCCCGAGTGAAAGTTGGAAAAATCACTCGGGTGGGACTCGAACCCATGACCTCCTGCTTTCGGTAAAAAACGTCGGTGAAGGGCAAAACCTAATTTGATTTATATCACCCCGACGCAAAAATTCCATCTTATACATGTAACTTCCCTTTGAAAAAAAGGTATTATTGATTAAATTAGTGAGACTCATACTGATGAAACAAACAAAAAAACACCTGTAGTTGAAAACAAAGTAGAATTTTCAATATTTAGAGTTGCTCGGACAAAATAAAATAAGAGAAAAGCAGGCCAGTTCAAAACGATGGCATAATCTTTTCAGAACTACCCGATGCAGCGAAACAAAAATGATGTGTAACAGTGTAAGGTAAAAAAAAGGGTATTTTTTACTTTTCTTTTCTTCAAATGTCGGCTGATGACTGCAAATGGTGCCAGACTAAATTTAGTGCAAAATATATGGGAGTCCAGAGAGGCCACATAAAGCTTGTACTCGATTGTAACCCCATCTAAAAACACCTTACAATTGTGCAGCAGCATGATTCCAGTCAAACCAGTGAGTTTGGCGGTTTTGAGACATCATCTTACATTGAAAAAACAAAACCTTTTTCATTTTGCCGACGCGCATGGCTACGGCGCATACCAAAAACCAGAGACTTTTTTTTGGCCTAAAGGGATTCAGCTGCTCATCAACACTTGAATACTGCATCCTTGCCATGAATAATTAATGACAATAAAATGACAACACAACAAAATTATGGAATAATGTTACGTTAACATGTACATGTACACTCCCCCCCCCCCCCCAAAAAGAGCAAATTACATGGGTACTTACAGAGATGCTATTAACATGGATAGCTGCCACATAAATGTCCTAAATCCTGTACACATGTACATGTAGGTCACAATTGTACACATATAGTACCCTATACATAGTACATTCTAGATATTTTGCTGTAAACACTGCGAATATTATCCGATGGCCAGTTTAACATGTACATGCACCAGTGATTCTCCAGACGGATTATGTGTGTGTGTGTGCAGTGCATGTATGCCCAGTGCATGTACTTGCACAGTGTATGCATCATGGACTCAAGCTGTACACATGACAATGGCAATTGTTATCTTTGTCAATTGCTCCTTTTGAGGCAGTGGCCCTGTGCAATGATGTCATCACTAAGGTTGCGCAGAGGTCAATATTGATCAATGCCAAACTGGGTGTAAACTGTCCCCAAAAAGATATGGGGGGTGGTTCTGTGCCTTTGGGAAACTCATGTTTAAAAATATCTTGTGACCGGAGTGGGTTTTATGCACATGTTTTTCTTCAAAGGCAAACACAATAAAAAAACCTTAGCTTTTGCTATGGATGTGATGACAAATATATGTGAAGTCCATTTAATTTGGTATTGTTTGGTTTGGAGGTTTCTGGTTGAACTGTGTTACATAAAAGAAAAAAATGACATTGTCGTTGAAGAAATTTTGTTTTTACTGTTTTTCTTGTTTTCCAAGTCTGTTGTTGGTTTGCCAATTACATGTACATGTACATGTAAAGCATGTGCACATGTGTCATGAACATGAACAGGATTGAGGCAGGCTGCTTTCAGCTTGATTATTAACGTTCTAAATTTCTAAAACTATTAGTGAGCATATTGATCAGTAAAGTGATACGTTGTTAATGTTTTTACAATTAATGTGTTTTTTTTGGAAAAGTTTAAAAACTTTCAATTACAAAGTTAGCACAAAATCAATGCTAACAAAATTGATCAATTCACTTTACAAAATAATTAAACATCCCCAAAATACTTGAATTACTACATAACAGGGTCATCTCAATTAAGAGAAGATTGCTTGAGGTTACAAAAGTCATTTGGGAATGTTATTTATTCTAGCCTAGGATAGATAATGAAAGAAGTATATTTAAAAAAAAAAAAAAATTCCCCTCAAATTTTTGGTGAAACATACAGTGAATTTTTTTTGAAAACTGAAAACTGAAAAAAGAAGCGTACATTGATCTAGTAAGCAAAATATTGCCCCACTGTAATAATGGATGCTTCCCGAGCCGCAATACCCATAGTGACCGTTTTAGCCGATTTTCGGCTAACTTTGACAGATTTTTTTTTTTAAATGAGTTTGACGGAAAATTTGACAGAACATTTGGACTTTTTTGGCAGATTTCTGGCAGAATTCTGCAAAAATGGTTATTTGACAGAAAAACATTGCAAATTTGCAAATTGCAAATAGGTTGGCTCACTGGGAACCGGACTTCGTCGTGACGCAAAAAAGCTGCGTTTTGCCTGAAATTTTTGTAATTTTATTACATGTACATCTTTATGTGACTAGCAACACTTCAACATCTGCATGTGATTTTAAGTGTTTATAGTGTATTTCGAGTAATTCTGGGGAATTTGGCAGATTTTTTATGAATCTGACAGATTTTTGAAGTGCAGAATTTAGCCATGACCTTACGGTCACCCTGGCAATACCGTACGGGTTGGCTATGGATTAGCTCTTTCTATAGAAATGTTATGCATTTCGCTTGGCGCATAAATGAATAATCGTCCAAATTCATATGAGTCAAGTCGTATTAGAAATGTCGAAGCTACGCATTAATGTAAACACGCTACACAGCGAGAGCCATATAAATTGGGGGCCCCAACAGACAAAACATGACTGTCTAATGACTAATCCTCAAGTCTAGGGTATAAGTGTAGGCCTACTGTGTGATTTCCAAAACTTCTGATAGTTAAAATATGCAACACAAGAAAATAGACTGGCACATGAAACAACCAGTCATGCCAGTCCATTGAGTCAGAAACAGCTTGTACTGCATCAGTCAACTGTGTCAAAAGAAACAACTGGTAACGGTCTCTATTTCTACACATCTGTCAATTCAATATTTATGAATTGAATATTATCCGTCTTTTGAACGTGATGACCTACTGGGTACTTGGTTGGTGGTCCTCCGAAATATTCCATCTAGGGAATTTAAGCTGGAGGTGTGGTTTGGTGACAGTGGTCAAGATAAGGTTTTGTCACAAAGAGCATTCTAAAAAGGAGTCTGAGTTGGTGAGCGCCACTGTTGAGTCCGGGAGGTCATTCCAATGTTTAAGTGTTTTTAGGAAAAATGAAGAAGCATATGTGTCGGTCCTGGCCTGGTGGAGTTGGAACTGTCTGTTGTGTCCTCGTCGTGATCTTCCAGTTTTTGGGGTGATGTACTTGGTATAGTCAATGTCCATTAGTCCATTCAGGATTAAAAAAAAAAAAAAAGTGTGGTGCTGTTTCTTCTTTCTTCCAAAGTTGTCCAATCCAGATCTTTCATGATAGCAGAGATGCTCATGTCACGTCCATAGGTGTTTGAAACGAACCTTGAAGCTTTCTTCTGGACTTTATCTCCATAGTCTGTAGTCCGAGTGACCTGCACCCTACAAAGCGCCTTTTTTACTTTTGACCTAGCCTAGGTCAAGGCATTCCTCATTATTTGTCCATGCGGTAAACGATCGGCGGCATATCCTCGCTATGCAGTGCATTAAAAATACAATGCGAACAGGATCCAGACAAACGCCTTGGTCCTTTCGTCCGCGAAAGCTTATGTTTTTGTTTTATGTTACGCTAGATTTCCAGCGCACGACCTCATATGCGAATATAGATAAGTGTAGGCGGGCTAATATGTGGAGTGTCCAATCACACCTTGGTAAATCCTGACGTCATCAAATTGTTTGCAGCTATTTGCATTTGCGGACGTTTCAGAAACCACATTTTTGTGCATTGGTGTTGTTTGTTATGTGTACACAACGTGTGTGTTATACATGTATTATGTACAGTGCATGTCACACGTTAGATATGAACTTTCACCGCTATGCAAGTTTCCACTTAACGATCAACCAATAAGAACTCAACTTTTAAGGTCAGCTTAGGCCAGTGGCGTAGCCACCGGGGGGGCGTGGGGGGCGACCGCCCCCCCATGAAACCTTGTCGCCCCCCCCCCCCCCCCCCCCCCCACTGAGATTTTGAGTTTCTAAAAAAATTATCATTGATCTACATGATGCCATGGGCGTCAATCCGGGGGGGGGGGGGGGGGGGGGGGACAGGGGACATGTCTCCCCCCCCCCCCACTTTTTGAACTTGTGTCTCATTTACAGGGCCCTATTATGTACTACAATGTATCTTTTGCTTAGAAAATATTGGTTAAAGTGGTCAGAAATTGCCTCAGATAGCACCACAGAGCATTTAGAATCTAAAGCTCAGAATTCTGGTAGCTGATTCAATGACTCCAACCCCGAAAACAATGTTCAAAAATTTTTCTTATGCCTTTAGCTGAGAAAACCTCGAAAATTATGTTTAAATTATTATCTTTTGTACTAAGATAATTATTGGTTAAAGTGGTAAGAAATTGCCTCAGATCACACCACAGAGCATCGAGAATCCAATTTTTTTCGGGGCCCTTAAGCGGGCCCTGAACCCCACGCCTACAGCTCAGAATACCGATAGCTGATTCAATGACTCCAACCTCGAAAACGATGTTCAAATAATTATCTGTTGCTAAGAAAATATTAGTTAAAGCATGGAGGAAAGTGGTAAGAAATTGCTTCAGATCACACCACAGAACATCTAGAATCAATTTTTTTTTCGGGGCCCTTAAGCGGGCCCCGAACCGTGATTTTTTTCTCATGCAAAGTAGATTTGATCAATTCGGAACTGATTAACCACTCCGCATCAGTTCTGATCAAGGTATGTCCGACCCCCCCTCCACTTTTGAGAAGCGATTGACGCCCCTTCATGACGCCCCCCCATGAAATGTTCCAGCCCCCCCAGCACCCCCCCCCCCCCCCCACTGAAAAATTCCTGGCTACGTCACTGGCTTAGGCTATTACATTAGCAAAATGAGCACCACCCCAAAAACCTCACATGGACGATTGGACCAAGGCGTTCGTCTGGATCCAAATGATTTGCATAAATAGTGGCCGCATGAGGTCGCTGTTTGCACTGTATTTTTAATGCGCTGCATGGCGAGGATATGCCGCCGATCGTTTACCGCGTACGGATGAATAATGGCAAACGCCTTGACCAAGGCTAACTTGGACCCTACAGATCGCTTTTTTTTAACATTGGGACATGGTTCGATGTCAAAAAAGGTGGTACAAGTCACTTGGACTACAGTTTGTCACACTGCAGCTGAGGTCACTCTTTTCGAACAGTTGGAGTATGGATAGCAACTTTAGCACATGGACGGTTAGGCCATTCAGTACTACCTTCAAGCATACATTCGCAAAGTGCAAAACATTGAAGAAAAGTCATCTTTTAAAATTGAATTGAAACTTCCGAGACGTCATACATTGTACCTGGAGTCATCGTGTAGCTGTGGGCATATTTTTAGTTTCCATCAAAATAACCTTTTCAACCAAAAGCAAACGTCTCTCAATTCTGATGACAACCTTTTTTATAATTTTAAACAGTTTCTTGAGGAAGAAATCACGATTTTCGTACGCGGTTTACCGGTGGTTGGCGCCATGCGATTCAGCACACCTTGCGCGTTCACTTCACGGTACATCGCGATGATTGCCATATTTATTTTCGCGCTGCATTTTGTCCTCGTTATCATCATTTTTTTACTCCCACATTTTCATACAAAATCCCAAACCCTGCATGTTCTTAATGTCACCAACTAGTTTGTGCCTATTGGGTACATCCCTTGTACCGTGTGATTTCAAATTTTTTTTCATACACTGCAGTCGTATAAACTCTTCCATCGAATGTTTTAGTTGAATCAAAATAAGTTGTAGAGTCTTTAATATTTGAAAAATTCGCCAACGAATGACCGTATGTTTTTGCCTAGTTCGGAATCACACGTGCACTTAATAAGACCCAACTACACGCGTGTTAATCAATTTTGTGTGACGTATGCTGTGCTGGGTCAAAGGTATTTGGTCCGTGCATGAGTTTGTGCCATTAGTTGCAGACAAAAGTTTCAAAATCATTGACGTTAATTCTCTTTTTATAATTTGCTGGAATTCTCTCGAATTAACTATTTTTGGAAAATTTAATTAGGCCCTATACTTGATCAGAAAATATGCCTGATTCGGGATGGTTCTGGCTGAAAAATTTATTTTCTCGCGTGATTTTTTTCTCATGCAAAGCAGATTTGATCGATTTGGAACTGATTAACCACTCCGGGGAAAGATTCCCATATCTGGCCATCACTAATTTTTCCCTTCAGTGACCCATGGAGGAATAAGAACACATTCCTCCATGAGTGACCTATTGGCCATCAGAAAGTGATAATAGGCCTATGTCAATAAAAGTCAAATTTAGCAGGGAAAATATGGAAGAATTAACTGAGAAAAGACATCTATATTCAAACCAGTCTCATGGTTTGTGCACAGGGTGACAACTTACAACTTACAAGTGATGGTACTTAACTTACATGTATGATCCATCAAGGTAAACTTTTTAACCAATGTCACTTGAATTCGTGGATTAGTTGAGCCTGAATGATGTTTGCTATCCGGAACTACATGTAGGAAAATGCACTGGCTACAGCTAGCTGAAAAGCCATTCGAAAACTGACATTGACATGCAAGCCCATACTTACGTACGTACGTTACGTATTCCTTGAGTTGAGAACCTCGCCGTATCTGTGAACATTTGGCAAAACAACTACGCAGTAGCGGTAGGCGCTATACGTATTTATAAGCAGATTCCTGGAAATCGACAGCTAGTATAAACCTTCGTTACTGTGAACTAGGAATAGGACATCCGGTTTAGCTCAGCGCATCATCGATGGAGATCGATCAAACGTCAACATTCCAAAGGCGGAACTATCGCACAACCAGTACAAGGGAAATTGTGTGATAATTTATGCTTACGTTGCTAGTAAGCGGGTCACATGACATCGCTGACATGAATTATTCATAGTACGCATGAGCTTATGGCGCATAGAAATAGCTACATAAATATTTACATATTTTATGTACGTACGTACATGAACAACGATTGCAACCATAGGGTCGCTCTCATCGATCGGACTGAAAAAAATGCTGCCCGGTGGCACTTACGGTGGGTGGCGGCTTGCACTCAATACTATACACATTATTTTGCCTCCATTTACAAAATTTTGAAAAACAACTTAACGAAATGTTACAACCAATTTTGTGTTAAGTATTTTAAATTTTTAAGTTATTGTTTTTTTTTTAAATTAACCTTTTGGTAGTGAAATGTGTTATGGGAAAGTTAAGGGCTCGTTTTTGATCAATTTTCCGGCCAGGACAGTGCGACCGACCGACGGACCACGAAGTGATTGGAGCTTGAAAAATTGATCCAATACAGCGAAAAAAATTGACACGAAAAACAGTAAACCATTTTATAATTTAAAGAATTTGAAACGGCACTGCATGTATATATTGCCATGCCGAGTCCCGGATTATCGAGACAGTAGGCACTGTGCCTATATAGGGCCTTCGAAAAATTCGGGGCCTACGAAAATACCGCACCTACCTATACTGGAATTTGTATCCTTGTGGAGACATCGCTTTGTGCATTGTGCATAAACACCCACACACATCTAGTGTAAATCGAGGATTTCCTGCTCTTTCCCCCTTTTGGGGGGGGGTTATTTAATATGTTATTTTATGGTGTTTTTTTTCATTTTATTGTCTACTTATTTACTTATTGATTTGTTCGATAGTTTGTTTGTTTACTTCTTCTTTGGTTCTTTTTTTTGTTTTGCTTAATGTTCATGTACTTGTTTTTTATTTGTCATATTTGTTTGTAAGATTTGTCCTGGTCGAATAAATAATAATAATGCACACGCACAGAAGAGTTTTTAAAAAGGCTTAGCCGTTTCTCTCGGAATTTTCGATTACACCAACGACGCTGTACAGCAATCATAATAGCATACATGTACATGTAGCCTCATCGTATCAAAATTTGGGTATATTAAAAGTATGTCATTCTGAAGCATGGTGCCAACCATGGGCGTCGATGTCGATCGGTGGGGGACGGGGGCACGTGTCGTCCCCCCCCCCCCCCTTGAGTATTTTGGAATAAAACGTTGAAGCCATGGGCCTACATGTGATCCTTTATGTTAGAAAAGCCGATTCACTGACTCCAAACTCGAAAATGATTTTTAAAATGGTAAATTTGTTGCTGACGGGGGAAATTGCCTCAGATCATCGCCGCAGAATCCATTCCCGTCCCGGGACCTTTAAGCGGGCCCCGAACCCTGCGCCGTTAATGCTTCGTACTTGCATCAGTTCCGATATTATTTAGGCCAGTCACCCCCCCCCCCCCCCGGGCCCCACGATTGACGCCAACAGGTTTTTACAGCTATAGGACCTATTGGCCTGGCTAGATTTTTGTACAGTGCTTGGTACTCAACATGAATTTGGTGCCGGTGCCTATTATATCGGGTGCAGTATAGGGCCTAAGGAACACTGTGCCTATGGCTTACGAAAAAAATAAGGTGAGTGCTCTAAAAAGCAAAATGGAAAGAATCTGTCAACAATTATTGAAACCAATTCAACGACTCGATCTAGTAAGAATACAAAGAATGGTTCTTAGGTTTTAAACTCGAACGTAACTTATAACTAGTGATAGCCTCCGAGTGGTTAAATTGCTGACCCACGGGTAGAGAATTGGTGGTTCGAATCCCGCATGTGTCATGTTAGTTTTCAACACGCGCTGTCCGACACACGGCGCTTCTAATTCTCAATGAGCTCACTCACGTGACCCATGAACTCACATTATGAACTCCTCCTTTGATTCGTGTTAGTGTTGAGGTCACCAATTTCGTGAAGCTGCTAAGCACAGAAATTTGCTGAGCATGAAAAGTCTTCCTTGGCAAAAACAAGACGTGTAACCACATTGCCCTGTGCATGTGATGTACATGTATTATTATGGCTAATGGTTGGTATTCAGCGTTGTTTGCTCAGCATGAAACTCACATGGAGCTTTGGTGGTAACCTGTTTTTACTAAGCCAGACTTTTTTTGTGCTAAGCACATTTGTGTGCTTAGCAGCTATAACGGTGTAGGCACGTATGTTTCAGCCGCTCATTTAGTTTGCGCGCATGCGCACTCAAAATATGAAATACTGATAATCAGCAAACATGGATGCCTGCAGTCGCAGTTTGACCCACTTAAGTATCGGTCAACATCACGCTCGAAGTACTTTGATAACTTTTTCTTTCCACGTGGACAGGAATATAAGGCAATTAAAGTCACTTTTGCAAACCTTAGCGCAAAAAAACATAGAGTATTTGATGCATTTCTTTTTGTTTTTCCGTGTCGTGTAGTACGAAAGTATTGGGTCACAAATTCAAAACACGACAGTTTAGGAGATAATTTTTCAGTTTTGCCGAGTAATTGTAAACTTGTCTTCACTGAAAAATGGTAAAGGATGCCACGGAAAGTGCGATGTATAAATATCATTTAAGTCGGAAACCGTTTCAATAAGAAAAGTAAGGTCTCACGTTATACGTTTTTTTCGTTGAATGTAACGTTATTGTGCACGTACCTGTACACAGACCCTGGAATCTGGCCGGTAAACATGGCTAGCCACGCGCCGCGGCGCTCCGTTTGTAATCTTTCGACGCGTTGGAAATGTATATATTTAACTGAAACGATTTACAACTGACTGGTTCCCGGCCCTGAAATGCAGTTAAGTACGATCATAGAGGGCACTGGGACCAGTTTATTTGTGCACGAAGCTTTCAAAATGGGTTTACTTGAAAAATGACGATTTTTATAAGCTACAGGTTTCCTTCTTACATCAAATCACCTGTAAAATAAAAATAATCTATCATCCTTTCCGATGGTACTACGGCTGATCTAAGGTAAACCCGGCAAATTGTCCAAATGTGTAAACCAAACTCAAACGTTTTTTGTCCATAATCATTGGTTTGTTTTTTTATATATTTGAAAGGGTTTTTAGCGCCGTTCCCACACTGTAGAGACAATTTATATCTTTGTTCATTTGGTCTACTGATAGTTTTTGGTTCGAATCATCTTTTAAGTACGTTTGAGAAGGATACATTTTAAGACAGGAAACCAGACAATCGTTCAGTGCGTCGTCTGCTACCGCTGTTTGCAAGCCGACGACGCGGTGGAAACCGTTGCGCATGCGTGAGAAGACAATGCACGCACGGTCTATGGGGCTGAAACATGCGTGTAGGGGAGGGGCCCTCAAGCCAATTAAACAAAATTATGTGGATTTATTTGACTAATAAAGTAGGAGGATTACTGAAGGGAAGGGTCTCAAAAATGAAACAATATCAATAACAATATCAGAGACAATGTCAACGATATTTCAATTTCCAAGCAAACCATATTTATGAAAAGAAACTATTTGATAAAACGTCCAGACTTACAATCATCTACATAAAAAAAAAAAAAAACCAAATCAAAATATTTATTCTGCAAGGAAAACCATGAAATATTACAGTGCAATATAAACAAAACTTTCTTTAGTACATGTACAAGAATCATTCAAATCACTCATGTACTTTACCAGTTAGAGAATTTTGAACCAAGTCAAACATTAGACTGCTCATGAACTTTCTAAAAGTAATCGTCAGAACCATTAAAATCAATCAAAACTCTTGAAAGCATAATAATAATATACATTTGACAAACAACTAAGTAAAAAGAAAAGCAATTCCATGACAAAATTTCTCTCCCAAGCTGGACACGCTATCCATTCTATCACGAAGGCCCCTCTCGATATAAATGTAATAGATCATGGCGAAGAGCCATGGTATATGACATGTGAGCAGATTCGCTGATTGAAGACAATCGCCTCTTGACCTCTAGATTTCGACCAATCAAAAAGAGTCCGCGGGCGCTTTCTATATCGGGTTTTCAGTAATTCACCCGTTATCGCGTCATAGACGTGATAAAAAAAAAACAAGACACTGCAAACAAAGGCTGTGGTCGCGCGCTATATATTATACGGATACTCGCCAAGCTTGCTATGGGTTTGATAAATCTATGCCCGGCCGTTTGTTGTGTTACAAAACACTGCATTCGAATTGACCAATCAAACTTATAGTCCTAATTGGGGAATGAAATGCTGTCAGGATTTAGTAAAGATGACTCCGCCTTGGCTGAGACTAGTCTGAGTATCACCCATTATCCACGGTCCTGTACAGTGAGTATAAAAAAATGCAAACAAAATATAGGCCTATATATAACGGAATGCCAAACGTAGAATGTGTAACCAACATAGATAATATAGGTATGGTCTGTCATGAGTCGGGATTAATATACATCCGCTGATGGTTTAGGAGCAAGAATTTTCTTGAGACCTTACCACAATTGTCACTATCAAATGGTGTCACAATCAAATGGTTTCTCATAAGACTGTGTGATCCGCCGATGTCTACGTAGGCTGCCACTAGTAGCCTTTGTCACAAATTTCACAGACATTAATGGTCTGTCATTAGTCGGGATTAGTATGGACCCGCTGGTGGTTTCGGAGCAAGATTTTTCTTGAGAAGGCCTTACCACAGATGTTACAATCAAATGGTTTCTCATTAGTGTGGATCCGCTGATGTAGACGTAGGCTGCCACTAGTTGAGAAGCCTTTGCCACATGTGTCGCAAACGTACGGTTTCTCATTGGTGTGGATCCGCTGATGTTTGATTCGGCCGCCACTAGTTGAGAAGCCTTTGTCACAAATATCACAAACGTACGGTTTCTCCTTAGTGTGGACCCTGTGATGCCGTTTAAGATGACCGCTTTGTAAGAAGCATTTGCCACAGATTTCACAAACAAACGGTTTTTCATGTGTGTGGACCGCGCTCTGATGTATTTGAAGGCCACCTTTCCTTGAGAAGACTGCACCACAAATATCGCAAAGGAATGGTTTCTCATTTATGGTGTGGACTGATTGATGTTGTTTCAGAATACTTTTCTGCAAGAACCCCCTGCCACAAATATCACAAACAAATGGTTTTTCATCAGTGTGGACCCACTGATGTTCCCGTAGTCTATTACTGTATCTGAAGTCTTTGCCACAAATGTCACAAACAAATGGTTTCTCATTTTGGTGGATCATCTGATGACTTCGTAGGCGACATTTCTGTGAGAAGTGTTTGCCGCATGTCTCACAAACAAATGGCTTCTCATTAGTATGGACGAGTCGCTTATGTATTGGTAGGCTACTCGTCCATGCGAAGCCCTTACCACAAATGTCACAAACAAACGGTTTCTCATCAGTGTGGACCTGCTGATGTATCTGTAGGCTATTTCTCCATGCAAATCCCTTACCACAAATGTCACAAACAAATGGCTTCTCATTAGTGTGGATCGGTTTATGTGCCCGCAGGCCAGCTCTAGATGAGAAGCCCTTGCCACAAATGTTACAAAGGAATGGCTTCTCACCCGTGTGGACCCTCTTATGTGACTCTAGAAGGATACGCTGAGAGAAGCATTTGCCACATGTCTCACAAACAAATGGTTTCCCATTAGCGTGGGCCCTCTGATGTATTTTTAGTGAAAATTTTCTTGCGAAGCTCTTACAACAAATGTCACAATCAAATGGTTTCTCTTTAGTGTGGACCCTCTGATGCTCTTGGAGAAGACATTTAAATAAGAAGCGTTTGCCACAAAAGTCACAAGCAAATGGTTTCTCAGTCGCGTGGACCCTCCCGTGAAGCTGAAGTTGACGTTTCCGTGTGAATTTCTTTTCACAAATCTCACAGGCAAATGCTTCGTTATAGTTGACTCTCAGATGCTTTTGTCGGTTGCTTCTCGTTTGTTTGACCTCTGGTTGAACCTTTTTCTTGTTGCTTTTATTTGTGACACTCATTGTAGCTGTTGCAGGCTTTCAATGATGATATGCAGCTTAAAACACAAGTGGGATCTGGAATGCAAAAAAAAAAAGATAAGTATGAACGACAATACACTTCCTCTTATACGCAGGGACAGTTGAATGTTGCACCATTTTGAACAATTTATTTGACTACAAAGTCATAAAATGGGATGTTACTGGTGACATGCAGGCCACTGTCAATGCCACCCTCAGCTCAAGGCACACCAGATGGTTCTGTGAGAGCCGAAACACGGCAGGAAGAGGCAGGCCTATGTGGGGGCGCTGAAGTAAGACACTGGAGTGGAGACGGCCGACGAGCTTGCCACCCTTATGGCGTACTGGAGGGAGTGGGGGGGGGGGGCAGTCGTATCGGAGCCCGGTTGTGCCCGACTTGGTGATGATGTAACAAAATATCAAAACCGCGTTCTTGACACGCTTTATTCAATCATGTTTCTGGTGCCTTTAAATGATTTTTTTCCTATCATCGTTACTCAGATGAAGTGATTGAACCTGGATGTAGAGTTTTCCCAAGTTGCAATTCCCCCTCCTCCACACCAAGAGCAACACTGGTTTCTTTATGGTCCAGCACTGCCGCCCCTCCCCCACCACTAAAAGGCATTTTCTATTTGGGTTTTTCCAATCCTCTGAAAAAGAGTCTATTAGATCTACCCTTGAAGTGTAGGCTGGTCATCAGTCACAACATTATTGATTCTGGAAGGAGTGGGAACCGAATGTTTGCCGAGAGAACAAATAAAATAGCAAGTTTGCAATAACAACTTTCGTATCGTTTCAAAAATCGCCAAAAATAAATAAGGTGGTATTTTTTTAGGGAGAAAGTTGACTGGGCATTTAGTTGAGACAGAACCGCTTCGTAGGCAGCCAATCTGTAAAAATACCCGTTCTTGCGAAAACGAATTTGTGCTAGTTTTCAATTTTGCAGACGTCACGCGCAGCTGAGAAACAACTTGCCGGTTGTTTTTTTAAGCTCTGGCAGGAGCTTCCCGTCACTTCGCGGTCGGTCGGCTGGTCAGTTGATCCCTAGAAAAATTGACCCAAAACGAGCCCCCTAAGTTTCCCATAAAATACCAAATTCTATTTTTTTTTCAAAAAAAACCCCACAACCAACAAACAAACAAAATAAATGAAATACTTCACAAACATTGTAACAATTCCAGAGGTTGTTTATGACAATTGCTGTCAATGGAGGCAAGAAATGTGCAGTAATGTTATAGTCACGTGGTACATGTATACAGCGTGGTATACAGCGCACTATGGAAAGCACGCAATATTGTATGCGAAACTTAGGGGGCCTATTATGGTCAATTTTCGGGGACCTATTTTGGTCAATGGACCTATTTTGGTCAATTTTCGGAAACAGATTAGCGCAGCGTGATTTTCGCGTGGGATGCCTCGAGGGTGCGTGCAGGGACGATGCCCGGGCTCGTAATCTCTGGTCAACGTTACATATACAAATGTACTTTCATGGAAGATGGCCACAGCTTGTCCACTCGCATTTGTTTAAATATAACTCCGGCACTAAGATAGCGCCGGCCTACTGTACACTGATTCGCCTGATCTGTTCCATGCTTTATATCATAAACACAGAGGAGGTATCCACCGTGTGGTTGCGAAGGCCGATTTCTAAAGGTTACATAATACTTTATTTTGAATGAAATTATTTTGAACGTGCACGAAGTGTTTGAAAATTAGTTTCTCCCATTTGAAGAATTTTCAGGGTTTTTTCCCTTTATAATGATCCAACTACGTGCTAAAAATCGTTTTGATCAGTTCAGTACTTTTCGTTGAAATCGGAAAAAAAGGCCTGGCTACGTGCATTTTTCAAAGTTGTAACATTCGTGCTTGCAATAGCTGTCTATCCTCACGAATATTAATAAGGTACCTATCCATTATGTATTTTGGTGTGCAGTACAAATTTGCAGACTAGCCTCCTTCATAATTCACGAGTTATTAATTAATAAAAAAATCACCGTTTTTGCCGGCTTACATTTGTCGATACCGAGACCCACGCGAAGTAACGCCGAGCGACGCTAATAAAAATGCTGATAATTATGCGCTTCGTCATTGTTGCCCCAAAATCGGCCAATCATGCATGCCAACCCGAAAACCATGCACATGAGTTTGGTCTGCAATAATCCTTGTCAAAATTTTGCTTCAGAGATAGTTCATGGTGTAACACAAGCGTTTGCAACAACAGACTAAGCTGAAAATCGGAATACACTCAGATGATAATTATGCAACAACTCTTGAAAATTGAAATAACTTAAGGAGATTCCTAGAAATTGAGATAAATAAATAGATTTGGGGGCGTTTTCGAACGATTTCTTCCCGACTTCAAGGTCATCAACTTTACCAGTAACCAGAATTGACGTTTCGGCGTAGATGACGGCGATTGTTTTTCACTGCCATAATTTAACATTTCAATCATATACTGATTCAAAAGGCCATGTTTTGGGGGCGCATGAATTTCACTGCTCTCAGATATAGCGTCTCACTCTCAGTACAAGCACGTATAATCGGATTAAATTTGCTTATCAACGGCTGACACTTGCACACGGCTGATACAAATTATGTTTGCCATTAAATAGAGCAATAACGGCGTGGTGTTGCTGAAGCCTTTCAATAGCACAGGAAACTTTCAAAAATAAATGCCAGGGGTTTAATGGACCGTGACGCGGATGCTGATGCTTGCAAGTTGAACAGTTCATAGGGGTTGTACAATGTACAGAATTTGAAGAAAGAATACTATGCACTGTACGCAGCTCGGATATGCAGCGCTATGCTTCAGCGCAGCATATCCGAACTTGGTAGAATGTAAACCACTAGTTTAAAAAAAGGAAATAAACTGTGGCTGTATTAAGCCGTAGCATGTTTAATTCAACGCAAACATGTTATTGGTACGAAGTCCAAGGCCCCATAAAAGAAAAGATAAAATGTGGTTCAAATACTGCAGCATGGGTGGTATGGGTATAGCCTGGCTCAACGGAAACTTTACACATGTACATGTACATCATGTACTGTACATGTACATGTACATGTACCTTGCTCTGTGGTAGCATGGAGGTAGGAAATAGTAACTACATGTATGCCAGTGCGCGTACTGAGTAGTGTTCGTTCGGCCCGTTCAGGGAATCAAAAATCGGGACATTTGTTAAAACTTACTCCATGTTCGCTATAAAAGCTACTTACTTCGTTTATTACCAGGAACACTAATACATTCCGTAGATCTCTAGACGTCTGTTCATTCTGTAATTTCCTACAGAAATCTACAAAGAGATTGTCCCAAATCTTCCACGTTACGTTTGTGCATATAACGACTGCCTTTCGAGGTCATGGGTCGAGTATGGCACGCCAAAGCGGAATTTATTCAACCCTGCACGGCAACTGCTAACATTATAAAATACATCACAACTTTTTTAAAAAGTATGTCAACATTGTAAAAAATATGTCAACATTTTAAAAAATATGTCAACATTGTCAACAATATGTCAACATTTCAAAAACGTATGTCAACATTTCAAAAAATATATGTCAACATTTCAAAAACGTATGTCAACATTTTAAAAATATATGTCAACATTTCAAAAATATATGTCAACATTTTAAAAAATATGTCAACATTTAAAAAAAATTATGTCAACATTTTTTAAAAATATGTCAACATTGTAAACAATATGTCAACATTTAAAAAACGTATGTCAACATTTAAAAAATATGTCAACATTTCAAAAACGTATGTCAACATTAAAAAAATATATGTCAACATTTAAAAAATATATGTCAACATTTAAAAAACTTATGTCAGCATTTAAAAAAATATATTTGTTCTGATTAATTAACTAGAAATTACATGTCAACATTTGCCAAAACTACCTACTACTTGTTGACAAATATATGTCTCAACCCATCCTGCGACAAAGTTCCACTGATCTCTATATAAAGACTGGATAGCGGATATGCATACAACATTCACACAGTAGACTTCGCATATTGACCAATTCGCCCCCGGTCTCACGAAGATGGCCGCGTATAATACGAACGTTCTACGCGTAAATACGCGCGCGTCGTATCAACAGTTGAAGCGCATTTTGGTCACGTACACATATTATGATGTTCTAAAAGGGACACATTTCCGTAGTGATTATTATTTCAAAACGCCGAAAAAGTTATATTTGCGGCATTTTAGTAACCACGACGTTAGAAAAATTGTAGTTAACCTTGGTCAGTGATGGTGGTCAAAATATAAGTCAAGTGAACCGCGACGTTACAAAAGAAATCATGCTGTCTATAAAACGGCAACTTGTCCTTTGTAGATCACCAGCCGGTCTCACCAATATGGCGTCAAATTCGTACATTGTGCGGCTCTGTATTAGCTATCCAGTCTTTATATAGAGATCAGTGCAAAGTTCACTTAAAATACGTGTCAACATTTCGTCCAAAAATATGTGTCAACACTACCCGATGAAAAATATATGCCAACACGTGACCGCCACGACGGAGTACATGCGCGAAGTATGCTGCGCTAGCACCCGGTGTCACGGTCTCACTTCTCCGGCGTGCTGGATTCTCCGGGTGAATGCGGCGGATAATTGAGCACGTTACAGTGCACGGTACATGATGAGCACGATACATGCTCATGTGTCCGCTGTGCTTACTTTTCCTCGGGTGGTGCTATGGAGTCTACCAAATCCACCCAAGAGGGTGCAGTGAACTAATTCAAGAGAGAATTTCTACGCGAGCTGATTAGCATAAAAAGTGACCCCACAGTTTCTTTTGAAAACGGAGACCGTTTGGCTTAAAAAACGGTGGAATTGTGTAAATGTAGCCAAGGATCAACTCCCTGGTTTTTGGGCTTCCATCTGAGGGCAGGCTTGATAAAATTACGGTTGAAAAATGGGTCCTATTTGCCTGAGAAAGTGGAAGGATGCCACTTGTAAAACGGCTACATGCAGGCTTGGGAACTATCACTTTTCGGGAGGTGATTTTGTACGGCGTTCCACGAGTGCCATCCACTTCTTTATTTACTCAGATAATTCATCACGTCATGTTGACATATCGCCGAGAGTAAGGCGATTTAATCACATAATTGTATCGCCCAGTCGACTTACCGAAGTTGACTTGTCCAGATGCATAATCTCTCCAAGTCGACTTCCAGAAGTCGACATGACGACTTTTCCAGAGGCATTATCTCATTATCTCTCCAAGTCGTCTTCCATAAGTCGACATGACGACTTGTCCAGATGTATTATTTCGTCAAGTCGACTTTCCGAAGTGGAGATGACGACTTGTCCAGATGTATTATCTCGCCAAGTTGACTTCTCGAAGTCGAGATGACGACTTGTCCAGATGAGATATCTCGCTAAGTCGACTTCCTGAAGTCGAGATGATGACATGCAAAAATCTCGTTCTGCATGGATATCCCGTTTTTAAAGCATTGTCGTGGATTCTTTCTTGTTCGTCGGTGCATTTCAGGTTTTCCCCACCCGTTCTTATATGAACAATAAACTGGCAGAGGAACAAGAGATAAACTGTAGGGTATATTGATTTGATCTGGGTCGAAGTTGATTTGTGTTTTTTTATTTTCATCTTGTTTTAAATTACTCCCCCAAGCTTCGTAGGAAATCACACCTCTGCCTTGTTTTCCCCTATTTATCCCGTTGAAAAAGTAATTCGCTTCACGTTAAACATTAACAATCATAAATTCACAAAAATGTCTTTATTGACAGGTTGCATAAAACTGGTTGCTTTCTTAAATGACACTAACAAATTCAAGATTTGCTTTTAATCATATTGAGATCATATTTAAGATAAAACGACTCTCATGGCTTAAATTGGTATCTTGGAAATTTAGCAAAACTCTTGTCTGATATATTACGAGAAATGATTTGATAAAGATATCACTATAAAAACTCTTATTGTCAACACTAAATCAATGTTTTATAAAGGACATTAGCTTATGATTAGCCTTAGCACACTAAAATCACACTGTGATCATCACATTATGACAAAGTTCTGTTCCTAGCAATATAGAAGTTGTTCACTTTTACAATGAGACATCGGCCTCAATATTACTGTGACGTTATTCTGATGTCACGACAGAGTTGTAACGAGTCACTGATTTTTGTGACTCGAGTCGAGTCGAGTCATTTTAAAGAAGTGACTCGAGTCGAGTCGAGTCATTAGGTCAACAAGGTCGAGTCGAGTCGAGTCGAGTCACAGAGTGTGGTCGAGTCGAGTCGAGTCGAGTCAAGTATTTAGCTCGAGTCAATTCGAGTCACAAATATTTGAACACTAAATTACAATAAAAAGCAACAAACACAAGAGAGAAAGAATACAAGGCACCAGTCTATTACGGAAATCCAAAGACATAAAGTATGCTGTATGGTACCCAACCAACAGTTTCCATTGCTAGCTCACGTCACAGATAAGAAGATGTGAAACTTCGGTCTTATAACTGGTTTGGCTTCGGGTCTAGATTTTGTTGTTCGCTGATCGCTGACAACGTAAAAACCTAATTGCATTATACAAAACTGTTTCTGATTATTTAAAGGTGGGCCCGTCCGTATCCATTTTTTTGTGTGAAATCGGGACATGAATTTAGCCAGCGTTCCACCAAGAACTTCAAAATCGCCCGAAACCAATGATGAAACCACGGATTGAGAAATGCGTTTTAAGTCTGGTTCCGGGTTTAGCATTACATGCTATAGAACCACAAGGTGGGAGTCCGCGACACGGTGTATGTTTGTTGTTTCATTATGGAGGAAGGAAACAGACTGCCGCTGTATATAAACGTACATTATTCGCGAATATTAACGTGACGTGAACAAAAACTGGCAACGCGAACGGCGCAGCGTAAGTCATTGCAAATATTTTTCGCAAGTAAGTTTTTTGCTTTTATTTTGGGACTCGAGTCTTATTAGCCTTCCTCGAGTCGAGTCGAGTCATTCTGATGAGGGACTCGAGTCGAGTCGAGTCATTTGCTCGCAGTGACTCGAGTCGAGTCGAGTCATTTACCCGTCGGGACTCGAGTCGAGTCGAGTCGCCAAAAAATGTGACTCGAGTCGGACTCGAGTCGAGTCATTGACTCGAGTCATTACAACTCTGTGTCACGAAGTATGGAATTACAAGCGATTTTAAATCACAAATTGACCTAAATCGTTAAGGCTGAGAAAATCCCTCGGGAAGAATGAAATTTTGTCAAACATGTAATTCAAATTCCCAAGAACCTAAACAATTTCCCTATTAATAAGTTAATGATACTTTTCTCCTTGACGAAAGACACCAGGTGGAAGACGTTAAAACAGAGTACTTGTTTGTTCATAGGTAATAACAGTCAGCGGCGTGAGGTTTAACCTAATTCCGGTGGGGGGGGGGGGGGGGGGGCACATGCGTGCACACAATTTTTAATGGGGCACTGAAGGCAAATGACAATTTTTTGTTCATTTCAAGATTTTAAACGGGGAGCGCCGGGCGGGGGGGGGGGGGGGTATGGCACGGACATTTGTTGTGGGGGGGGGGGGGGCACAACCCAGTTACGCCACTGATAGTACCGGTATGTTTTACCTTTTTTTTCAAGAAATGAAAAAGAATTATTACTGTAAATATATGTCAGCATGTTTTTTAATATCCTTCCTTTATCACCATGCAAACGCCGGTCATATTTTACAGCATAACCGGATAATGCGACAATATTATACTTTTATCACACCTGCCTGTGAGTTGCGCAAAAGGAACGTTTTCCCTTTGGAATGTTGTTGTCAGTCTCTCTTTTTGGAAAAGCCGAATATATTGGTTAATAGGACATGATGCAAACCGTCATGCGAGTGGTCGGTCGGTTTCAGAGTACAGGTTACTGATGAGGCTACCGTGTATACAACCATGCATGCGGTGCTCAACCGATACCGATTCGCAAGGCTTTCTACCGGCTTCTCCTTGCAGGGGAGTCAAAAAAGAAAATGACTGAATTTGAAAATATTAAAAAAAATTCTGCTTGCTCAATTTCATTATGAAAAAATGATCAAGTACATCTTATTGACTTTTAACTGTGAACATTTCACGTCATTTGCATACTTTATTCCCATGTTATGTCTAAAACAAGATAAGTTTGCGGTAGCACCATGTGAATAAATCTCTTTTGTGAGTATGTGTGGTTCTGAAAAGAACCGAGGGACTCAACGTTTCGAACAGTATATGCTCTGCCCGTCGTCAAGAGAATGTTATTCACATGGTGCTACCGCAAACTTTTCTTGTCTTAGTATCTTTCCACCATGCAGACCTTCAAATCCCACGTTATGTCTATTTGAATAAAAAGATCACAAAAACTCGGCTGTCCACCTCTGATAATTCTACGAACTGGTTAATACACATTGAGTATTATGAAACATGGACGTTTTTCCACCTCGATGAATGAACGAGAACTTACAAAGGATTTTTATATCGCTAACAACATTTCAGAAGAAAAAGAGTTGACTTGTTCTTCATATGCAAACCATTACAACTGACAGTAAAAACAATGGTTTTGATTTCAATTATTAATATCTCATTTTAATGAATGCTTGTGTGTATTATCACTACGCTCAATGGCACTCCAAGGAGAGCTATAAAAATGCTTTCTTTAAGTAAAACATGCATAACTTCTGTTGGCATAGATCAATATCAGTAACTGCTTTTTTCAGATGAGTGGAAGAACATGCTCTTATTAGACATACTTCATTGTATCAAATTTGTGTATCAAATTTGATTGCATTTGGATCACCTTGTAGACGAAAATAATTGCCGTATATGCACAACAACAATCGGGGGCGGAACCAGGAATTTTTGTGGAGGGGGGGGGGGTTCATCAGCAAATCAATACTAAAATGTAGACAGGTTTTTTTTGTCCGGACACTTGGCTCCTTAAAATCAATAGGGCTCCTTAAATCAATAGGGGGGGGGGGGGGTGGCTCGTACCATACTTTCAAAGCGGTCGCTGTTCAAATCCGAAGATTATTAACAATATGTTACGGGATATGTACAAATACCCCCTAACCCAGCAGGTTCTGTCCGTATGTTGGGGAAAGGCGTATAATACCAGTATAATTTTTTCGGGGTGTCGGAGTAGGGGCGCTGGGCAGTACTATTGTACAGGATTACCCCGTAACGTCACACGAATGGGCCATTGTGTACACAGATGCATGCAAAGGCCTCAATTGAATAGCCATTTGGAACCAGTTGAACATAATTTTTTTTATGATTTGGGAAAAGCTTTGCTAGGCTTGACTTGTCTTTTTTATTGCCACAAGAACATTTAGTTTTACCTCAAAATAAGTCATCAACTATTATTTACATGTACATCATTATGATGTTATCAAAATATAAAACAACAAACCAAAAAATTCGACGAAATTTATTTCTTTGTAGATTGTGTTTATCCAGCTTACAAACTCATGGGGCATCGAACCGGGGACATCTGTGGTTTAGTCGAGTAAACACACACAAAGACATGTAAAATTAGAACTAAAGGAAAGTTGAGTGTCAATACGTTTGTGGTACATTTTGAAACGTGTAAATTATTTTCGCAAACGGGCTTGATATTTCTTAATTATTAAATAGCATTCCTAGAAATTAATACCCGACGACACCGAGACTGAAAATTTGATCAAAATGCGGCGTGCAGAGGCAACTAATGGTTGTGTCTCTTTTGTTGATGTTCATAAAAAATGCAAAACGTCTGCTCGTCTATTTCCTTTCCACACATGAAGCGGCACAAAGACGGATGATTAATGATGTCATTAGAGTTGTTTTCATTGAAAAGGTATTGTTGCTTTGATGCAAAGCGTTTGGGTATTATCATCTATGGAGAAGCTATTAAGCTTGACGAACATGCAACGCATGATTGTATAGTTTTGGGAATTTGAAAGGTTATTGTTGGTATAATTATATACAGACTTTATGTTTGTTATAACCAGAATTTTGTATTAACAGAGTTTTGTACTAACGAGATTCGACTGTACGTGCTTTTTCAAAATTTCGATTTTTCTTTTCCGAACGAAATGTAAAAGAATATAATGTCCTGCAACAAATGCCCCCCCCCCCCGGCGCTCCCCATTTCAAATCTTGAAATTAACACAAATTTGTCTTTGTCTTCAGTGCCCCAGATTTAATGTTGGCAATAAGAGCTTTTATAGTGACTTTTTATTAAATATATCAGACAAGAGTTTTGCTAAATTTCCGATATTCCAATTTAAGCCGTGAGAGTCGTTTTATATGATCTCAATATGATTTAAAGCAAATCTTGGATTTGTAAGTGTCATTTTTAGGCAACCTGTCAATAAAGACATTTTTGTGAATTTATGATTGTTAATGTTTAACGTGAAGTGAATTACTTTTCAACGGGATAAATAGGGGAAAACAAGGCAGAGGTGTGATTTCCTACGAAGCTTGGGGGAGTAATTTAAAACAAGTTGAAAATAAAAAAAACACAAATCAACTTCGACCCAGATCAAAACAATACCCTATACAGTTTATCTCTTGTTCCTCTGCCAATTTATTGTTCACATAAGAACGGGTGGGGAGAACCTCAAATGCACCGACGAACAAGAAAGAATCCACGACAGTGCTTCAACAACGGGATATCCATACAGAACGAGATTTTTGCATGTCATCATCTCCACATCGTAAGTCGACGTGGCAAGATAATTTATCTCGACAAGTTGTCATCTTGACTTCAGGAAGTCGACTTAGCGAGATATTTCATCTGGACAAGTCGTCATCTCGACTTCGAGAAGTCAACTTGGCGAGATAATACATCTGGACAAGTCGTCATCTCGACTTCGGAAAGTCGACTTGGAGAGATAATGCATCTGGACAAGTCACCAAGTCGACTTCGGTAAGTCGACTTGGCGAGATACTACATCTGGACAAGTCGTCAAGTTGACTACGGTAAGTCGACTTAGCGATACAATTATGTGATTAAGTCGCCTTACTCGCGGCGATATGTCAACATGACGTGATAAATTATCTGAGTAAATAAAGAAGTGGATGGCACTCACGGAGCGCCGTAATTTTGTTTTGGTGTGAATATTTAAAAATGTAATCGGCTAGTCTACCCAAAATCGAAAAGAAATGAAAAGATGAAGTACAAGACAATAATTTAATTTTTGTTTGAGAAACTCCAGTGATGTCGGCTTGCATGTTATTTGGCCCTGAGCTTTGTTGATTTTACACTGTTTTCAATGGGGCTTGAATTGGTTCAGTGCACCCCTAAGGGAATTTTTGGAACCAGACTAAAGTTGCTGCAACCTCATTCCGCCGAGAGCTAGAGGTAATCGAACTCGTTGGTCCGTTATCTCTTAATATAGCTTGTATTCATAGATTTTTTAAAATGTTGACATAATTTTTTTTAAATGTTGACATATTTTGTTTAAATGTTGACATATATTTTTTAAATGTTGACATAAGTTTTTGAAATGTTGACATATTTTTTAAAATGTTGACGACATATTTTTTAAATGTTGACATACGTTTTTGAAATGTTGACATATATTTTTTAAATGTTGACATACGTTTTTGAAATGTTGACATATTTTTAAAAATGTTGACATAATTTTTTTTTAAATGTTGACATATTTTTAAAAATGTTGACATATATTTTTGAAATGTTGACATAAGTTTTTGAAAGGTTGACATATATTTCTTAAAATGTTGACATATATTTTTTAAATGTTGACATACGTTTTTGAAATGTTGACATATATTTTTTAAATGTTGACATACGTTTTTGAAATGTTGACATATTGTTTACAATGCTGACATATTTTTAAAAATGTTGACATAATTTTTTTTTCAATGTTGACATATTTTTTAAAAATGTTGACATATATTTTTTAAATGTTGACATAAGTTTTTGAAATGTTGACATATATTTTTTAAAATGTTGACATATATTTTTTAAATGTTGACATACGTTTTTGAAATGTTGACATATTGTTTACAATGTTGACATATTTTTTACAATGTCGACATATTGTTTACAATGTTGACATATTTTTTACAATGTTGACATACTTTTCAAAAAAGTTGTGATGTATTTCATAATGTTGGCAGTTGCCGTGCAGGGTTGAATAAATTCCGCTTTGGCGTGCCATAGTCGAGGCCAGGTATGGAACGCCAAAGCGGAATTACATGTAAATTCAATCAAAACCCATTTTTTTTTGTCCAACCGTAAACCGTAGACTAAATTTCTTTTCATGGATGACCAACTGTTTCGTTCAAGACCCACACTAATTTCGTCCAAGATCCATAATTATCATGAAAAACCAATTTTTTTGTGCAAGACAAAAATTGTAGTGCAAGACCAAATTTTTCATGCAAGACCAAAATTTACACACAAGACCAAATGTTTCGTGCAAGAATTTTGTGCAAGACCAACAATTTCGTGCAAGACCAAAATTTTGTGCAACACCGAACATTCGTGCAAAACCACAATTTACATGCAAGACCAAAATTTTCGAGCAAGACCAAAAATGTCCTTCAAGACCAACATGTTGCACAACACCAACAAAATCGTACAAGACCACATTTTGTTCAACACCAAACAAATTCATACAGCTACATGCAAGGCCGAAATTCTTTTGCATGATCAAGTTTTTGTGCAAGATGCACGTGACTGTTCAAGATACACATGATCAATATTAAGGTCAGAATAATTACAAAATCATCTTATTTAGAATGAACATACATATCTCCCTTAATTATTCGCACATTTACAAATACCGAAATTCAATGGCCTGTATAACTTTAACTTGGGTAAATTTATGTTTAAATTTAAACATGAGTTAGTTTCAGTAAATTTCGATATGTTCACTTTGTCTTCATCAGTACATTCACTTGGCACTCGTGGGACATCCAAGGGTAATTTCTACATCAACTACAATCGATCGTACCTCAATATCAAAGAATAAACTGACATCAAATGGTATATTGCTTTGGAACGATTTAAGGGTAGATTTGAAGAAGTCAATCACACTATACGTCCCACAGATGTTGGTAAAAGACACTTTTGTGTGAGTAGTCTTTGTCACAAATCTCGTTTCTCATCAGTGTGGACCCTCTGATGTATTTGTAGGAGCCAATGTTGTGAAAAACCCTTTCCACAAATGTCACAAGCAAATGGTTTCTTTTTGGTGTGGACCATCTTATATCTTCCAAGGTTGCTACTGGTTGAGATGTCACAACGAACTACTAGATGGTTATGCCGTGAGAAACATTTGCCACAATAGTCACAAGCAAATGCTTTCTGATTATTGTGGACCATCTTATATCTTCCAAGGTTGCTACTGGTTGAGATGTCACAAGCAAATAGTTTCTCATTAGTGTGGTCCCTCTGATAGATGTTTGGGTGTCTTAACGGGACCAAGCTTTGCCACATATACCACAAACACAGGTGTGGACCCCCTTATGCCTTCGTAGGGGGCCATTTTGTGAAGAGCCTTTGTCAATGTCACAAGTAAATGGTGTATGTTTTAGTGTGGACCATCTTATGTCTTCCTAGTTGGTTACGCCGAGAGAAGCCTTTGCCACAAATATCACAAGCAAAAGGTTTCTCATTAGTGTGGATCCTCTGATGTTGGTGAAGGTTGCTTTTCTGTGAAAAGCATATTCCACAAATGTCACAAGCAAATGGTTTATGATTATTGTGGATCATCTTATGTCTTCCAAGGTTGCTACTGGATGAGAAGCCTTTGCCACAAATGTCACAAGCAAATGGTTTGTCATTAGTGTGGATCCTCTGATGTTGGTAAAGGTTGCATTTCTGTGAGAAGCATTTTCCACAAATGTCACAAGCAAATGGTTTCTGAATATTGTGGACCATCTTATGTTTTCCAAGGGTGCTACTGGATGAGAAGCCTTTGCCACAAATTTCACACAATAATGGTTTCTCATTAGTGTGGACTCTCTGATGTTGGTGTAGAAAACCTGGTTGTGAGAAGCCTTTGTTACAAATGTCACCAGCAAGTGGTTTCTTTTTAGTGTGGACCATCTTATGTCCTACTAGATGGTTACGCCGAGAGAAGCCTTTGCCACAAATGTCACAAGCAAATGGTTTCTCATTAGTGTGGATTATCTGATGTTGGTGAAGGTTTCCTTTCTGTGAGAAGCATTTTCCACAAATGTCACAAGCAAATGGTTTATGATTATTGTGGATCATCTTATGTCTTCCAAGGTTGTTACTGGAAGAGAAGCCTTTGCCACAAATGTCACAAGCAAATGGTTTCTCATTAGTGTGGATCCTCTGATGTTGGTAAAGGTTGCTTTTCTGTGAGAAGCATTTTCCACAAATGTCACAAGCAAATGGTTTCTGATTATTGTGGCCCCCCTGATGTTTTCCAAGGGTGCTACTGGATGAGAAGCCTTTGCCACAAATGTCACACAATAATGGTTTCTCATTAGTGTGGACTCTCTGATGTTGGTGTAGAAAACCTGGTTGTGAGAAGCCTTTGTTACAAATGTCACCAGCAAGTGGTTTCTTTTTAGTGTGGACCATCTTATGTCCTTCTAGATGGTTACGCCGAGAGAAGCCTTTGCCACAAATGTCACAAGCAAATGGTTTCTCATTAGTGTGGATCCTCTGATGTTGGTAAAGGTTGCTTTTTTGTGAGAAGCATTTTCCACAAATGTCACAAGCAAATGGTTTCTGATTATTGTGGCCCCCCTGATGTTTTCCAAGGGTGCTACTGGATGAGAAGCCTTTGCCACAAATGTCACACAATAATGGTTTCTCATTAGTGTGGACTCTCTGATGTTGGTGTAGAAAACCTGGTTGTGAGAAGCCTTTGTTACAAATGTCACCAGCAAGTGGTTTCTTTTTAGTGTGGACCATCTTATGTCCTTCTAGATGGTTACGCCGAGAGAAGCCTTTGCCACAAATGTCACAAGCAAATGGTTTCTCATTAGTGTGGATTATCTGATGTTGGTGAAGGTTTCCTCTCTGTGAGAAGCATTTTCCACAAATGTCACAAGCAAATGGTTTATGATTATTGTGGATCATCTTATGTCTTCCAAGGTTGTTACTGGAAGAGAAGCCTTTGCCACAAATGTCACAAGCAAATGGTTTCTCATTAGTGTGGATCCTCTGATGTTGGTAAAGGTTGCTTTTCTGTGAGAAGCATTTTCCACAAATGTCACAAGCAATTGGTTTCTGATTATTGTGGACCATCTTATGTTTTCCAAGGGTGCTGTTGGATGAGAAGCCTTTGCCACAAATGTCACACAATAATGTTTTCTCATTAGTGTGGACTCTCTGATGTTGTTGTAGAGCACCTGGTTGTGTGAAGCCTTTGTTACAAATGTCACCAACAAGTGGTTTCTTTTTAGTGTGGACCATCTTATGTCCTACTAGATGGTTACGCCGAGAGAAGCCTTTGCCACAAATGTCACAAGCAAATGGTTTCTCATTAGTGTGGATCCTCTGATGTTGGTGAAGGTTGCTTTTCTGTGAAAAGCATATTCCACATAAGTCACAAGCAAATGGTTTATGATTATTGTGGACCATCTTATGTCTTCCAAGGTTGTTACTGGAAGAGAAGCATTTGCCACAAATGTCACAAGCAAATGGTTTCTCATTAGTGTGAACCCTCTGATGGATTTGTAGGGTGTATTTACGGGAGCAAGCTTTGCCACAAATATCACAAACGTATGGTCTCTCACTGGTGTGGACCTTCTTATGCCTTCGCAGGATGCCATTTTGTGAAAAGCCTTTGCCACAAATGTCACAAGCAAATGGTTTCTCATTAGTGTGGACCCTCTGATGGATTTGTAGGAGGCAATTTCGTGAAAAGCCTTTGCCACAAATGTCACACAAAAATGGTTTCTCATTTGTGTGGACTCTCTGATGTTGTTGTAGAGAACCAGGGTGCGAGAGGCACCAGCAAGGTGGTTTCTTTTTAGTGTGGACCATCTTATGTCCTACTAGATGGTTACGCCGAGAAAAGCCTTTGCCACAAATGTCACAAGCAAATGGTTTCTCACTAGTGTGGATTATCTGATGTTGGTGAAGGTTTCCTTTCTGTGAGAAGCATTTTCCACAAATGTCACAAGCAAATGGTTTCTGCTTATTGTGGACCATCTTATGTCTACCAAGGTTGCTACTGGATGAGAAACAATTGCCACAAATGTCACAAGCAAATGGTTTCTCATTAGTGTGGATCCTCTGATGTTGGCGAAGGTTGCCTTTCTGTGAGAAGCATTTTCCACAAATGTCACAAGCAAATGCCGGTTTCTGATTTTTGTGGACCATAGTTGCTACTGGATGAGAAGCAATTGCAGTCACAAGCAAATCAGAGGGTGGCCCCCCTGATGTTGTTGAAGGCATTCTGCAATAGAATACAGCGCAATTAAACAGGTTTCCTGGATTGTAAATAAAAAAGGCATTTCTTAGTCAAGTATGAATGGTATAATATACACGGTATCTTTACGCAGATATTATGCCATCGATCGATGGCGGCACCACGACGGATGGCCACTCCATGAAATATATGGACTCAGTAGTATTGCGCATGCGTACGTGCGATAATATGCTATTTTTAGGATGACATATAGAAGAGAGAACTGTCACGCGTGAGGGATTAATCAAATAAAAGGGAAAAGGAGTCCGATTTTCACAGGAGTCGGATTTTCATACGACAGCAGCACGATCGACCAATAGCACATAACGCGATCGATCACACTGATCGTGCCCAACAGCAAGGAACTTCTTCCATGGAGGAAGGAAAATGTTCTTCCCCAGGCCAAGGAGAGCGGAGCGGATTTACGGGATCGACCGATCGCACAAGTACATTTCTGCGCGGTTGAGTGATACTGCAGATCCACCGATAGCGCCCAACACAATGAATTTACATAGACATTGGGCTGAATACATAGATAAAAACTAGCAATTGCTTTTTCTATGCTTTTGCTTACATTTCTATACATAATAATAAGCAAAATCTTCTTCGTTTCAGCAAAACCAAAAGCTTGTTTCTTGCAGGCAAATGCTTCCCAGATTAGCAATTGCTTAAAAGCGGACACATAAAAACAAGCTTTTGCTTTGTCATTAAGCATATACTGGTAATAGTATCGCGTTCACCCTTTTCCTTGCTACTTGACACTTCTGTGCAACTCACAAAGTGTTTTTTTAATGATGTAAACCAACACTACACTCAGTTGTTGGTCATTTGACAGCAGTATGACCAACATCACTCTCTGCAGCCATTTTGGAAAGTGTGTGGGAATAAAAGCAGAACATGCGTCCATAAAATATCAGGTTGACTTACGAAACAGAATAAGTGGAATTTACGAAAGGTTGCTCCTTGCTACCTAGGCCCTAAGCTATATGTTTTCACTCTCAGTTAATTTCTGGTCAGCTCTCACTCAGCTCGGCTCTCCACGATAACTGATCCAGCGCACGTACAAATACATGTACGTAAGTACATACATGTACATGTACATGTATGTACGTGTACAGTACGTGCAATGCATTTTACAATGCAATGTGCATTTTACAGTGTACGTTGCCTAGTTCACAACCCGAAAAGCGTAAAATGTTGCGCACGCGCCTTGGTGCGCACGAGTTTTGAGCTGTGGGTGGGGCTTAATAACGACGACTGAGTCTCCCTTTTTCTTTTTTATAGCTAGCTAGGTCCAGTCTTCACTTTATTTGTTTCACCATTATCATGTGACACGGGAGTACTAGTACCAGCTAATTAAATAACCTGGTACTCACGTTGCTATGATTAATTACGTTTCTAGCGAATAGTACTTTTCATAAATTATCATGTGTACCCTTTCTCTGGTTGTGCACTGGAGCTACTTTACTGTTTGCTAAAACTGTCAACAGAGGGCGTTATTACAGTCTGCCTCTAGCTCTCAAGCAAGGCCGGAAATCATAAGCTTGAAAACACACCTGACGAGGGGAACCAGACACTACTAAAACAACTGTTTTTCGGCTGTTCTGCGCGCGGTGACACTGCACTGATTACAAAAATGACGAGTTTGAGTCGCTTAGAAAAGTTGGGTACCATTTTCACAAGGTGAGAGCGTAGACAAAACCCATACTTGTCATTTATTATATACGGCTCAGCCTAATTAGTTTAAATATAATAAAAATGTATCTAAAGTTTCATTTAGTGAGCTGGATTTTTCAACCAGTCCCCCCGTCCGTGGCGCTACTCCTAGAACTATGAGGCTCTACGTGGAGCCTCATACATAGTTCTAGGAGTACCCGTGGCGGAGGCGGAGCCACGCGGTTTTAATTTTAAAGCGGGTCGTGGTCGTTTAAAGCTCAGTCCATCATTTGCAGCCATCCGAAAAAGTAACTGGCAAGTGGCGTATTATTGTTGAAAAACATACGTGGTTCAAAGATAGTAAGTGGACTAACCTCCCTGTGAAATTAATCAACGAAAGAAGGCCTTTCCAACGGTGCATCCCAACATGGAGGAATAAGAACACAGTATTGGTATTTCCCAAATTTTTAGACTTGTGCCCCAGCCACATTTGCAGAACTTTCAATTAACGTCATCCCAATTGAAACAGCCAACTGTTAACTTTGCCACAGGGTGCGTGACCTGATGCGGGCAGGTGTCATGAAGGAAACAGACAAGCCGCTCTGGTACGACGTCATGGCCGCGTTCCCGCCCAGAGATGCACCAACGTTCAACCAAGATTACAAGAAGGATTTCCTGCCTGAGATATTATATGAAGAGGATGCCGTTCGATCGTACGCAAATGCTTCTTTTCTTGTTTTTTTTCTAGCAGTGATTGAAGAGGCACTTTCAGTTGTGAATGATTTCCAGGCAAAAAGCTTTGAATGTCACACTTTGCAGGAATGACATTTTCCGCATCTGTAGTTGATTATAATTTCCAAATAAATCTTTTATTTCCAAACAAATATTGTCTTTAATATCTGAGTATACAGTGTTTCTGTCAGTGAAGGGAAAAGCCCGATATGGAATTCACATCACCCTGGCTGAAATTCTATCTTGTGAAAATGTGGGGTTTTTTTCTCCAAGATTTTGGTATAGATTTACTTGTAACTCCCTATGTTTGGAACTGGGGCTACAGTCATCACATTAAATCACATTCAGCATTATCTTGGCAAAGTGACCCTTATATTTTAGTATGTTGTCAATGGTATGTCATTTTTGACCCTGTAGTACGGTACTCGCTTCGTCTGTTCACATTTTAAACCTTGAGAGAAAGGTGACCTTTTCAGGACAGAGCCATTGTGATATGCATACTTAATTTGCCATTATTTTATGCAAGGAATAAGTTGTTGACCTCTCACTGATATTTTTTTTTTCATTTTTATCTTGTGCTTTTTATCGCAGGCAGTTTTACAAAGTCTACAGTAACCAAACGGCCATTGATTTGACCAAGCACGAGGACATACAACTCTCACCGTGTCACAGGTACATAGAAGTCTTATCACAGAATAACAGGGTTTGTTAGTCTGACCTAGACGCAAAATGAAGTTGGTAATTGGCTGGGTTTAGTTAACCTACGCCCATGATCCTGCTACGTACCACTGGCATATACCCTGCATACCATTGCCATCCCGGGGTTCAAGTATTGTGCGGGTTTTGCACATGTGGGAACGTTTCCTGCCTCCTTGGCCCCAAAATGCGTGTACCTCGAATCCAGTGTCCCAGTCCTTCTGTTTTGAGGCGTGCGATCACACCCCCACGCCATCACACGCCTAAATGCTTCCTGAGAAGTGCGAATAATCGCACCCCTGAATCCCTCAGCACCGCACACCTCGGCATACATTTACGGCATAATAATACTTCTTAATTTTTGAAAAATAAAGTACGTCGGTGAAGAGAATATGGCTTTATTGTAAACCAAGATGAATATTTTGAAAAACAATACCAGATTGTTCAGTCCAGCTTGGACCACAGAATCACACGCCTAGAAAAATGGACCACAGAATCACACGCCTAGAAAAATCACACGCCTAGAAAAATCACACGCCTAGAAAAATCACACGCCTAGAAAAATCACACGCCTAGAAAAATCCAGGTGTGCGTTTTCCACACGCCTGTGATTTTCAAATCAGAAGTACTGATTACCGACTTGAATAATCTGAGAATTCATATAAGATCGAAATTTTAGCATATAGAAGAGCGTTTAGTCTTACTGGTGATTTAGATGGGAAAAGAAAACACTTCTTCATTGGTTTTGGTTGTCTTATGCCCCAGGTTCATCACCAAGTATCAGGAGTTGCAGAGGGAAGGCACCAGACTACCGGAGGAGTTGTTTGAGGTCACAGCGGCAGCCTTGGCGGAGGAAGGCCTTGTCCTTCGAAAGAGAAACGAGAGACGACAGCCAAACAGGGAAAAGGTGAGTGTCCCGTCATGTCCAAGACAGCTAGTGATGTCTTATTTGTTTAAGCTCTCATTGAACAGATTTGATTTAGCCAGTGGTCTGAGGTTCTGTAGTCTAAGGAATATCTCCTTGCACAGTTAGAGGCTATAATATGTGAGCAGATGTGGCTATGAAGTATGCAACTAGACTGCGTCTTGACCTCGTGATTCTGACCAGTTAACCTGCACCTTCTAAATATGTGACCCACTCCAGGAAAAGGTGATATAAATTGTAAAAAATAAAATTCAAGTTATATTACTACAAATATTGAATGCTTCGAGTGGTGTAGTAAAACTAGCCTCCCGAGGTGATAGGAAAATAGAATGGTCCATGGATCATCGAGGGAGGCTAGTTTTACTTCACCACGAGATAAAGCATTCAATAATTGTTTTATAACACTTCACCCACAGATTCTGCTTGATTTTAATATTTTAAATTATTTAAATCTGAACACAGTTGAAATAAACTTCAATTTCAATACCAAATTGGTGGAAAATGTATTTCTCTCTTCCAAACTACCCCTTCACGAAATGTTTGAACCCAAGTCTGCGGCGCGCTTCTCTTTGGAACAATACCCGCTATGCGCAACGCGCACACAGGCATCCATTTGCACACAAATACCGCGCCGTGGAAATAGCACTTTGGTTGCCAATGGTATAGTACTTTGGTTGCTACGGGTATAGTACTTTTGGCCGTGCACAGAAAGATAGCAAAATTAGAAAGTAAAATCTGACTCGCTCTTGGCCAATCAGGACACAGAATCTGTGGGTGAGGTGTTATAAACACGACTGGAAAGCCCACAATGTAAGCTTTCATTTGGTATATGACACAGCTCTATAGCCCTTCTCGTTGTGGAGATATGACGATTTGCATATTAATTAGTTCCATGGAGTTCAATTACACAACTGAGAAAACAGGCTTTGAAATAGCTGGCTCTGTTGTAGATTTGGGCATGAAAAGCTCACTTTTGATATCTTAGCAACAAACATGTTCCTGTTTTACTATCACTTTGGATATTGATTCTACAAAGATTATTTTCAATGATTTTTGAAAAAAATGGACTTTTTAAAACCAGATTACAATCTTTTAGCCAATTTGCATATTGATTAAAATTATAAATTTTGGAGTAAAATAAAGAGAACAATGCACACCAAATAAGGTTATTTTTTCCCCTCTATTCATCGAAATGAATCCTTAAACTTTAGGTATGAAAGATGTTATTTAAGACAAAAAAAGGAATTTGGATTTTGACAGAAAATTTCACCCTCTCAACTTTCAGCGGGCCATTACACGTAAAGACACAGCGTGACTTATATCACCAACCAGCGGGTCACATATGGTCTTCGCGCCGCAACCTGTTGAAATTTTAATAGTGCGCATAATGCGATTGCCATCTTGCGCGTTCAGGTCATGCCCGCGATGAGTTTATGAACGTTGTTGTGATAAAAGAACATGGCATCCAAGTTGACTAATCAACAGCTGAGTTCAAAGTTCTGAATGAAATGACGTCGTAATTTTAGTAAGGCCAAAAAAAAATTAAAATACTCGGTCGCTGGTCAGACCAAAGTTCCGGAATTGATGCGGCGACGCGGCTTTTTATTTTTTTTTTTGGCTTTTTTTTTTCAAGCTTGGATTGTACAGACAAGGTGGGGTACTATTTTGCTTTTTTAGGTGTCCTCGTGTACATTGGTGTCCTCCATAATTTGCCTTGGTGCCCTCGATCACTTGCCTTGGTGCAATTTCCCAATTAGCTGTTGGAGCTACCTCGGAACATTTTGGAAAAAAAAGGTTGACGCGCATGATTAAAATCGACGCGCGCGCTGACCAGAGACCGACTATTTTTTTTTTTTTTGCCTAAAGTCAACTGTGATTAGCTTGCCTGAATGGTCGCATAAATTGTCATGCTTAGATACATCAGATGTTAATCCAGAGACAGAGAGGGCTCCAGAGACAACAGGTGAAACTCAAGATGAGAGGTTCACTGTTTGTAGTCAGAACAATGTGGAGTACTGTGGCTTCGTGGTTAAGGGCATAGGATTCGTGGTCTGCGGGTAAAGCTGCAGGTTGTGGGTTTGAGTCCAGCCTGGGGTCATGGTGCGTGTGCCCTTGAGCAAGGCATTTTGTCACTCATTGCTTCTCTCCACCCAGGAGTAAATGGGTACCTAATAATAATCTTATATAGCGCACATATCTATCAACAATTAGGTACTCATAGCGCTGTTTAATTATGTCTATTTTTTTAAAGACAGGTATATGAAGTTTTTATGAGAAATATGAGACCCATTAGGTAGCACCTTTTATAAAGGGTATACAAGGTGCTGCGGTGCATAATGTAGCCACTGCCAGAAACACCGGGGCAAACCCCTTCTCTTAGCGATAAGTGTTACTGGGCTCTTTAACGTGCATCACACAACACACGGGACCTAGAGCTTTATGTCCCATCCAAAGGATGTAGCAATAATGGTAAAGTGCCTTGCTCAAGAGCACAAGCACCATGTTCCCTGTTTCGAACCTGTGTACCACTGCACTCGAGTTGAACAACGTAACCATTTGACCACAGCCCCCATACCTGTGAGGGCAGAGGTGGTTAGTGTGGTTGATTTCAGCTGCTTTGCGCCGAAATGGCAGCATCGAGCTGTATACTCCCCAGGGAGCTGAGATGGTGTTAAGAATGTTTCATGGGCCCAATGAGCAGGGTAATAATGATGTAGCGCCTTGAGCACCAGTCCTGGTGGATACGCGCGCTTTAACTATCATGTATGGATTGTTGCCATGAAGCTTTTATCTTTTTTGGGGTCCTTTTTCCCTCTCACAGGAAGCATTACAAGACGGAAGGCCCGTCACGAAAGGATTAGCACAACTCCTCAAACAAGCCTTGGACAACCAGAGCAAGGAGACAGATACCTCTTCCACAACAATAGGTGGCGCTTCGACAGAAGACAAAACAAACAGATGACAGGGTTTTATTCATTTAATATTTTGAATGGGATATTTCTGTAAAAAAAAAAAAGGCTCTTTTATTCAGTCAGACCAAAGTTCCGGAATTGATGCAGCATGCATTTTGGGTTTTTTTCCCCTTTGTTTTTTAAAGCTTGGATTGTACAGACAAAGTAGGTACATGTAGTATTTTGCATTTTTTGTATGCTCATTTACCTCGGTGTCCTCCATCATTTGCCTTGTTGCCTTCCATCATTTGCCTTTGTGCCCTTGTGCTCCTTGGTACGAAAATTTCAGGCGGTGCAGCAATAAAAAGCGCTGTTGTAGCTACCACAGGCAATTTTGAAGGAAAAAAAAGATAAGGCGCATGATCAGAGTTGACGCGTGCACTTACCAGAAACAAACGAGGCTAAGATGGATCTTCGGCATTTAAGATGCTTCTTAGGTGTAAGAATTATCGAGATGATATATGTGAATTTTAAATTTGTATGGAAACCTCTTTTGATGGTAATGGTGGAGATCGTCACCAGAGTCGCATTTGCTACACACTGAGGGCTGTATCTTAATAACTGCTTTTTGAAATTTGTCGATGGTAGAAAACTTTCTTGAAGGAAACTTTTGCTGTTTTGTGCAGAGGGGTGTACGGTTAGTGACAGTGGAGTTCTCGCTTGGACAGTTTCAGCATGACAGTTAAGCAGACTGGCATAAGATAACACAAATGTCGACCAATGCATTTGGTACGTTTTCAGGGTAAATTTATGACAAAACCGAAAGGAGAGTGTTTGGTTTTCGAGAACTTTATGTACATGGTTGGACATGTCTTTACTTTTTCCTTGCTCAGGTAACACTACCTATCAATAAGTATTCCAAATGTTTTTTCCTCAGAGTATATGTGAACTTAGTTTTAAGGTTTCACAGTTTTGCCCCCCAAAAATGAGCGTTTTGTGTGAGCATTTGTTTGGTATCGGTACAGGTGTCTATTTTTGATTTTGCCTTTTTGAAAATTTGCCTTCCGAATTAAAATTTATGCTTAATCTGTTACGGAATTGTTTTTAACTTTTTGCAAAATGACAAAAAAAAATGAAAGACAGTGAATGGCCTTCAATTAGATCACCAGCAGGTCCCATTAAAAAAGCAAAAAGTCTACTTGTGTTTTTCAGTGTATTCATTTGTTGTTTCTGGAAAAAAAACCTGTGTTCATTCGTTTCAAATAAAGGTTCTGCAACACAATTCTTTCCTTGTTGAGTTTCATTTTTTTTTCTTTTACTGCTTTAAGATTATGCTGTATTTTTATTCCTCCTTGGTTGTAACAAACTCAAAAGGAGAAGTTTGCCAAGAAGGCCATTTTGCTTAAAGTAACATAAACATTTGATTTCAACGTCAACAGAGGGCGGCATGTATCTTTAGCAGTGATGTCCTCTGTCAACAGAGGGCGGTATTCCCATTTTGATTTTGGAGGGCGCGGTTAAGTTGCACACGTACTACATTGTACTATGTAGGCCTATGTCGTGTCATGTCATGATCATGATGTAGAGTTCAAGTTGGAAATTGTATGAGAAAACCCTTCAAATTGACGGATATTCTGGAATTTACGGATATTCAGCAGGAAGTTAGAGATGCCATGGTGAGATAATCTTATATAATTAATCTGTTCGTTTTGTTTGGTTTATTTTATCTGATAAACTAAGTGATAATGAATTAAATAAATTAGAAATTTGCTTTCCAAAAATTAAGGCATGTAAAATTGTAAGGGCAGTGGATATTTTGCCGTAGACGGCAAACCTTTAGTAAACGTTAGTTTGCCGGATATGCACTGAACATGCGCAGTTACCAGGTTACTGTTTTTTTTTTACTGAAAGTGAAACATTTTCCGGTGACAAATTTGAGTGTGGCTCCATGCCAATATTATCATTGTAACTGCGTATTCACAAGATAGGAATCAGAGTTTTCAGACCATTTATTTTTATAATTTCGGACTTTATTTCCCTTTAAAAAAAAATCCTCCAGAGCCACAAATCTGAAGAACAAAATTGGGTAATCCTTATCTTTAGGACACCTCTATGTTTCATGTTTACGAGTTCTGTTCAAAACTGACTTTTGCAGGTGACTGTTCAGTACCGAAGTGACTTTTGCAGGCTGCTTTAGCCTGCAAAAGTCACTTCGGTACTGGACAGTCACCTGCAAAGCAGTCTTTTTTTCCTCAGATAAACTCATGTTAGTTCAATTAGTTGTCATTTTGAAAGCACTTTCAAAGAAAATGTGACTTTTCTGCCTTTTTTTGCAGTTTGCCATCTTGCTTTTTCTATTTTCTGTTTGTCATCGTCGTCTTTAACCCCTCATAAATCAAAGCCTGCCCTCTTTTTTCAAAATTTAACCTGCTGATATTCAAGAGGGTGTCATTGCCAACTGTTCAAAATCAAATGTGTCAAGAAACATCAGAATGTCACTTTTGAGTGTCATTTAGTCAGCTGTTTTGGTGAGTCTTTTAACCTTATATAGGAACGGGGTCCTAAAAGTAAAGATTACCCAAAATGTAATACTCTGCAATAAAATGTTTGGGACATGTTAAAATAATAAAAGAAGAATATTCTTATTTATTTTGGGATGGAAAAAAAAAACCTTAGAAATGTGGCAGGGATTGGGATCGAACCCTGGTCATCCCGCTCACGAAAGCCGTTGCAAACCACTAGTCCACTACACCAAATGTGGGAATTTAATACATCTTATAATTCAGCCCTATCTTAAAGAGTACAGCGCCCTCTGTTGATATGGATTGCTGCCGGCAAACCTTTCCTTTAGTAAACGTTAGTTTCCGGCCTTACCTCCGGCAAAATATACACTATCAAAAATTAATTTGCCCATAAATGTGGCTCAAAGCTGGACTTTCTCCATACAACTAGTAGGGTCTGTACGTTCCTTGCTCTTTGCAACTACTGTGCCTGTGTGACCATTTTTTCGCGCACTTGGTACTTTGACCAATTTTTTCTTGCATATAAACTAAACCCTACACATTTATTAAGAATAGGGTAGGTAGGTAGGGATTTTTTTTGGGGGGGGGGGCCAAAAGGTAAAAATTGATGGTTTTTGGCGTTTTTCTCATTTTCCCATAAAAAAAAATTAGGGTAGGGGCTGTCAGAATAGGGTAGGTAGGGAAACCGGAAGCAGAACTATTATTTTTTTGGCCCCATGGAGGTACTAGGATTACCTACTTAAAAAATGGCCGAGAACGATCTTATACTCAGTGGCGGTTCTACGGTAGGGGGGGGGGGGGGGCCAACTGGGGGCTTTAGGCTCCCCCCCCCAAAAAAATTTGTCTAGCCCCCCCCCCCAAAAAAAACCATAACAAAAAAATGCACTGGCAAAATGTAAGAATCTGCATCTTGGCGAAACAGATCGTAAAATATTAACCTGATCAGATATATATCTTATATATATAAAGGCGCACATCGTTTTTCGTGCTCCTTGAATACGACCTCTAGGCTATTGTTTTGTGAAAGTCGACAGAAGTTGTATTTCGCGTTTCAGAGCTGGACGGCGACACTGATTTGAAATTTGTACCGGTAAAATTTCAGTCAAAACTTTTGCTCTATCTAGGACAGGCGAAAAATCGAAGTGCGCCACGTTAGGGTACATCAACAAAACTGGACTACAGTGTACCTCCGTATTAACAGCCACAAAATGCCATACATGTATGCCCTGTGCGTGGAAGGTGTAGTTGCTTGGGGATCCGAAAATCAATTTGAAAACGCAATTATTTTGGCACTTTGTACTCACACAATGCCGTCTACAAGTTACAACTGCTTAATAGCAATGAAACCTTAAATTCTGTTCCTGATATCATTTGAAATTACTGCCAGCTGCAAATACATGCCGCGCGGCTGCCGGTCAAAGGTTGCGTGCAGAGCGTGCCAATTAAAATTCGGGAAAGAATGTTGCAACCTGACGCTACTTTTCAGCGGTCCGGTTGTGTAGACAAAACAAATTGTCGAGACAATTTTCAAAGTATTTCCTAACAAAATTGGAAATGTTTCTCGGTCCCAGATTCGTGTCTTATCGTCATGTTTGTAATGACTGACCTTCATTGAGATGATAATGAAGAAAAAAGCAGGGTCGGTGCAGGGTACCGGAAACCCCCGCTCTCTAAATGGTACTGTCCTGCCGAGTGGTCAGAGGGCTGACCTTGTTGGCTTTGATTCATGGCAGGATATGCATTGAGTTGGCAGCAAAGCCAACATTGTTCTCACTCAGCCATCTCTTTCCAAATTGCAGGTATGTTATTTTATAGATTGAGAAATGTTTTGTAGTTTATTCTGAACCCTTCAGCTTCCTTGAGTTCTCTTGACTGTTACCAATGAGTAGATTACTTTTAAGTTTTAGGAGTAATTGCAGAATACCCCGCCACTCGGAAATACACCCCTAAAATCACTGGCTACGAGGTTGGAATCACTGCAAAAGAAACAATTCAAGTCCATTGCCAGCTATGCGGATACTGAGTGGGGGTCCATTATTTGAGAACGAAGCAACACAAAATGAATGGGAGTTGCTGAAAATTTTTTAAGTCCAAACCAACCACCCTGTTGGCGGCTACAAGGCTACGGAGTGGGAGTCCCCTTGAATATGCTTGAGAACGAAGCAACACAAAATGAATGGGAGTTGCTGAAAAAATTCTATTAAAGTCCAAACCAACTACCCTGTTGGCGGCTACGCGGTCGTGAAGTGGGAGTGCAATGGAGCATGATGCATAGTACATACAAGTAGCGCTGAGAATGTTTATTGAGGTCAACCAACCGTGACCTCGTAGCCGGCTACGAGGTGGATAGATCGAGTGGCGGGGTATTCTGCAATTGTGCCAAGTTTGAATAGCAACCTGAATGTGGGTGAATGATATTTTCCAACTACATCTACTTTTGCGTTTTCACTAAATTTCAGTCATGTCTGTCAAAGTTTAGCTCTGTGTTTCCATGATTATACATTTTACGTTTCAATGATGATTCAGAGTTTAATGGTCTGTCCACAGTGATGGTCAATTTCATAGTATGGATTTTGGTTGGAGAATTCTTATTTAATTTGGGATTTAGTAACTGAGTTTTCCCCAATTCTTGGCGTCGGAATCTGAGAAAAGGTTTCCAAATATGTATTTTCCACTTTTGTTTAACTACATCTACATGTATAATCATCTTGTAACTTAGTGAATTGTAGCATATAGCAAAAATATAGATAGAAAAGTTTGTTCATTGTTCATATTCTATAAACTTGGGATATTGATGCTTACGTGCTGCACACTGTGTCCTTGCACAATGTGGGCTCAGACATGTTTGGCACTTGAACTTAAGTCAACATTCCAGAGACATGTGTTCGCTCCATTATTTGGCCCAGTGGGGATCTGACAATGGGTCTGTTTGTTAGAGGGAGTAGGCGCTGGGGAAGTTAGCTTGGACTAAAGTGTCTTATAGCATTACCACTCCTCTTGGTGTTTATTCCTGGTAGGCAAGTGCCAGGCTAAGGCTTGTTGCTATGGAAACAACATTGGTGACCAAAGTGATCTTAAAATACTGTTTCTATTGAATATGTATGGCCACCAAAATTCTATGCTGTGTTTCCACTGGAATGCGTAATACTAGTGTGTCTTGTTACACTCACAGTACTGAATGGGATTTAGTTTATTGAATGAGATGACATGCTTTGATAATTATATCAAGCAATTGACTTATTTATTAGCGATTCATGGCAGTATATGCATTGAGTTACCAGCAGAGCCAACATTGTTTATTTATTTATTTATTTCTTATTTTAACTGGGTAGCCCATTCAGTGGAATCCACTGATCTCCCATGGGTCCCAGTAAAGAGAAGACACTGTGAAGAAATTACAGTTTTAGAGGTGGGAGGAAAAGCCCAGAAGAGTATTCTGAGGAAAACCCACGGAATCAGGTAGGGACTGAAAACCCAATCCACATATTGGCCCAGGCGGGATTCGAACCCGGGTCACAGCGGTGGAAGGCGGGGAAAGTACCGCTACGCCAACCTGACTCCCCTGCCATCTCTTTGGCAATTGTTCTCCCTTTGCCATCTCTTTCCAGAATGAAGTCCAGATCAGTTAGAAAGTATGTCACAAGAAAGTGTTGAAGTCGTTTCTCTTGCTAGTTCCTGTACCCCCTTCACCGAACCCCTAGTAACCACCTCCTACATCACGTTGCAACATTCCTTCCAAAATTTGTGTGCGTTGATCGATATATGGTCTGCAAATGGCTCCGTGGTCCGCTGGAGTGTTTTGCAATTAGCATTTAAAACTGTAAACATGGTCAACTTTCGACAAGGGCTTGGACTAAAAGGATGGGAAGAATGATCCGCCGTTGCAAAAAAAAATTGGCATCTGACAGTGTAAAAGTGCCACAACTTTACGATAATATAACATCACAGTCGTTTGTGTATGATTATGTGCACAGTTTTTTTTTGGTTTTGGAATATTCAAACCAGCAAAAAGCAATATCGAATTTGCGGTTGATGATTGTATATTTGGGACAACTCTAATAGCTACATGTAGGTTAGCTAAATATGGTTATCGAGGCATTGTTTGTACCATTTTTTCCTCTTTTGAATCAAAGAAATGTGCATGGGCAACTTTCAAATGAAATCTCTGCGTATGAGGTACATGTAGCGTATCAACACTCATACCTAACTAATCAATGTTTTTTTTTACTCTCCAGATCCCACTATAGTGCTTTAAGCTGTATTAAAGTTATCATTGAAAGCCTGCATCAACTACGATGAGTGCCACCAGAAAAACGAACAAGAAAGAGGTTCATCCAGAGGTCAAACAAAGGAGAAGCAACCGACAAAGACATCAGAGGGTCAACTATAATGAGAAAGCATTGGCATTTGAGATTTGTGACAAAAAAATCTCACAGAAACTTGGTCAACTTCAGCCACACAGGAGGGTCCACATTATCAATGAGAGACCATTTGTTTGTGACATTTGTTTTAAGGGCTTCTCACAAAAAGGTACCCTTCAAAGACATCGGATGGTCCACACTAATGAGAAACCTTTTGTTTGTGAGATATGTGGCAAATGCTTCTCAAGGAAAGGTCATCTTCAAGAACATAAGCTGGTCCACACTAAAGAGAAACCATTTGTTTGTGACGTTTGTGGCAAGGGCTTCTCAAGTTCCAGAAAGCAACGAAGGCATCAGATTGTCCACAAAATGGAGAAACCATACGTTTGTGACATTTGTGGAAAAGGTTTCTCAAGGAAAGATCACCTTCAACGACATCAGAGGGTCCACACTAATGAGAAACCATTTGCTTGTGACATTTGTGGTAAAGGCTTTGCAGCAAGTAGCAACCTTCGAACACACCTGAAGGTCCACGCTGATGCGAAACCATTTACTTGTGACATCTGTTTTAAGGGCTTCTCACAGAAAGGCAACCTACAAAAACATCTGAAGGTCCACACTGATGCGAAACCATTTACTTGTGACACTTATGGGAAAGACTTCTCATATAAATGTCAGTTTAAAAAGCATCAGAGAGCCCACACGTTAAATGAGAGACCATTTGTTTGTGACATTTGTGGCAAATGCTTCTCACATAGTAGCAAGCTTCGAAACCATGAGAAAGTACACACCAATAAAAGACCATTTGTTTGTGACATTTGTTTTAAGGGCTTCTCACAGAAAGGTACCCTTCAAAGACATCAGATGGTCCACACTAATCAGAAACCTTTTGTTTGTGAGATATGTGGCAAATGCTTCTCAAGGAAAGGTCATCTTCAAGAACATAAGCTGGTCCACACTGAAGAGAAACCATTTGTTTGTGACGTTTGTGGCAAGGGCTTCTCAAGTTCCAAAAAGCAACGAAGGCATCAGATAGTCCACAAAATGGACAAACCATACGTTTGTGACATTTGTGGAAAAGGTTTCTCAAGAAAAGATCACCTTCACCGACATCAGAGTATCCATGCTAATGAGAAACCATTTACTTGTGACATCTGTTTTAAGGGCTTCTCACAGAAAGGCAACCTACAAAAACATCTGAAGGTCCACACTGATGCGAAACCATTTACTTGTGACACTTATGGGAAAGACTTCTCATATAAATGTCAGTTTAAAAAGCATCAGAGAGCCCACACGTTAAATGAGAGACCATTTGTTTGTGACATTTGTGGCAAATGCTTCTCACATAGTAGCAAGCTTCGAATCCATAAGAAAGTACACACCAATAAAAGACCATTTGTTTGTGACATTTGTTTTAAGGGCTTCTCACAGAAAGGTACCCTTCAAAGACATCAGATGGTCCACACTAATCAGAAACCTTTTGTTTGTGAGATATGTGGCAAATGCTTCTCAAGGAAAGGTCATCTTCAAGAACATAAGCTGGTCCACACTGAAGAGAAACCATTTGTTTGTGACGTGTGTGGCAAGGGCTTCTCAAGTTCCAGAAAGCAACGAAGGCACCAGATAGTCCACAAAATGGAGAAACCATACGTTTGTGACATTTGTGGAAAAGGTTTCTCAAGAAAAGATCACCTTCACCGACATCAGAGTGTCCATGCTAATGAGAAACCATTTACTTGTGTCATCTGTTTTAAGGGCTTCTCACAGAAAGGCAACCTACAAACACATCTGAAGGTTCACACTGATGAGAAACCATTTACTTCTAAAACTTGTGGGAAAGACTTCTCGTATAAATGTCATCTTAAAAAACATCAGAGAGTCCACACTATAAATGAGAGACCATGTACTTGTGACATTTGTGGCAAATGCTTCAAACATAGTAGCGACCTACGAAACCATGAGAAAGTACACGCCAATAAGAGACCATGTGACATTTGTTTTAAGAGCTTCTCACAGAAAGGTAACCTTCAGAGACATCAGATGGTTCACACTAATAAGAAACCTTTTGTTTGTGACATTTGTGGCAAATGCTTTACAGCAAGAAGCAACATACAAAGACATCTAAGGGTCCACACTAAAGAGAAACCTTTTGTTTGTGAGATTTGTGGCAAATGCTTCTCACAGAAAAGTCATCTTCAAGAACATCAGCTGGTCCACACTAAAGAGAAACCATTTGTTTGTGACGTTTGTGGCAAGGGCTTCTCAAGTTCCAGAAAGCGACGAAGGCATCAGATAGTCCACAAAATGGAGAAACCATACGTTTGTGACATTTGTGAAAAAGGTTTCTCAAGGAAAGATCACCTTCAACGACATCAGACGGTCCACACTAATGAGAAACCATTTGCTTGTATCATTTGTGGCAAAGGCTTTGCAGCAAATAGCAACCTTCGAATACATCTGAAGGTCCACACTAAAGAGAAACCATTTACTTGTGACATCTGTTTTAAGGGCTTCTCACAGAAAGGTAACCTTCAAAAACATCAGATGGTCCACAGCAACCAGAAACAATTTGCTTGTGAGTTGTGAGGGAAATGCTTCTCACAGTACAGTTGAGGCTTCAACAGCATCGGAGGGTCCACACTAATGATAAACCATTTGCTTGTGACATTTGTGGCAAAGGCTTTGCAGCAAGTAGCAGCATGCAAACACGTCTGAAGGTCCAAACTAATGAGAAAGCATTTGCCTGTGATATTTGTGGCACATACTTCGCAGCAAGTAGCAACCAATGAGCACATCATAGGGTCCACACTGACGAGAAACCACTTGTCCGTGTTATTTTTTGGGCGAGACTCACGAAGCAGAAGCCTAAGAGCACATCGGAGTTGTCCACGCTACTGAGAAACCACTTTTTTGTCAAATGTTTCAAAGGCTCTCCCCGTAAATGCACCCTACAAATACATCTGAGGGTCCAGAGTAGTTAAGAGTAAAATCATGCGCCTGTGATAACAGACAGTGAAATTCATGCACCCCCAAAAATATGGCCTTTTGAACGTTGTGTTTCTCAGAAAATATGCTAAATTATACTGAAAGAAGACATTGTAAACGTAACGTTTGATGCCGAAACGTCAATACTGGTTACTGGTAAAACTTACCTCAAAGTCGGGACGAAATCGTTAGAAACGTCCCAAAATCTATGTTTTTATCTTAATTTCTAGGCATCTCCTCAAGTTGTTATTTCACGAGGAGTTATAGTTGAACACTTATATCATCTAAGTATATTCCGAATTTCAGCTTAATCTGTTGTTGCTAACGCTTGTGTTACACCCTGAACTATCTCCAAGCAAAGTTTTGAGGAGCATTTTTTGCAGCCCAAACTCACGTGAATGGTTTTCAGGTTGGCTTGCATGCCTGACCGAATTTGGGGCAACAGTGACGGAGCGCATATTAGCATATTCATTAGCATCACTCGGCGTGACTTCGCGTGGGTCTCGGTATCGACCAATAGAAGCCGGCAAATAGGGTGCAATAACTCGTAAAGGAGGCTATTCTGCTAATTTTTACTGCACACCATAGTGGCTAGGAACCTTATTAATAATACATGTACACCAGTGTTACAATTTTTTTTAAATGTTCGTCACCAGGCCTATTTTTCCAAATGCAACGAAAAGTACTGAACATATCAAAACGATTTTTAGCACATACATTGTACATGTAGTTGGATCATTGTAAGGGAAACAAACTCTGTAAGTTGCATGAAGATAATTATGGTTTTCAAAACGGGAGTAATGCATTTTCAAAGATTTCGCCCGCGAACGTGTGCATGTTGTTCGTTCGAAAATAAAGTATTACGTAACCTTTAGAAATCGGCCTTGGCATCCATACGGCTGAAATGGTTGACCAATAAGCCTGTTATTTATAGCAAAAAGCTTTAAGTTTTGGTTCAATCCTGGTTTCAATTGTTCCTTTGATCATTATATTTACAGGTAGATGGCTTTTAAACCTAGAGCTAGAGCTGTTCAATAAACGATTACTTTTTATTATTTTGTTGGTTAGAGTTCTTGTTTCTATTTTGCAGTGTTTTGTAATACCGGGCGCCATATCGCGTAACGTGATACAAAGTGCGTGACAATTTATTTTTTTTATCTATTGTCTATGGCGTGCACCGGTGACCGGGAAACATTAAACCCGCTATTTGTATTGTTAAAAGTTGCCAGATTGAGGCTCTGCATGCTTATGACGGAGCGTGCAAAAAGCGAAATAGCGCTCCATCCTGGCATAATGGATGGAGACCAGTGCGGGGGAGGGCGACATCAATCCAACATGCATGTAATTTTATTAGAACAATGGACTTCAGTCTCAATAGAGGGCGATAGACAAATGGAATTTAAATTCAAAAAAGGGCGGTATTTCTTGGTGCACAAAATTAATCCGAAGCATTTTGTAAGCTCAAGAGGGCGCTGTGTACGTGCGGCATTTGAAAACAGAAAAGAGGCATGTTTTACAGATTGTGATTTTGTCTTACAAAATGATGGATATTCTGGAATTTTTGGATATTTGGCAGGAAGTGAGAGGTGCCATGATGAGATAACCTTCTTAAAACTGTTCGTTTTGTTTGGTAGTCTTTTTTGATGGAGTATAGGCGCGCCTATCCTGACGGCGTTACGCCACTTGCGCAGGGGCGAATTTTTCTCTCCCAAACGGCATCCGCATACATGGTTGTTTAGCGCCCTCTACGATACCTTTATGATACGTACGCAGGTATATAATTATTTGTTTACCCGCGTTTTGGTGAGCAGTGCGACATCTGAGTCGATAGAGGGTAGGCCTAGGGTTTTGCACCGCGAGGTTGTGGGTTCGATCCTTGGTTTTGCACCTGAATTATTTTCCTTTTCTAACCTGAGGCTTTGGAGGATTTTGTTGGAAAGGGAAATAAAGTCCGAATTTCATAACATTTAAATTCCCTTTTTTTTTTCATTTCATATTTTCTGCTCGTGTTTTTATAAAAGTGAAGTCCCAAATGCCATAGCGTACCTACATGTATGCGAATGTCGTCTGGGAGAAAAGAAAAAAAATCGCGGGGGGGGGGGGGGGGCTCCCTTATCTCCCTGGCCCTACGGGTCAGTCCATATAATGCAATGAAGAAGTCGTCCAACCTGGGGGGTGGGGGGGGGGCCACGTACCATGGCTAAGGTTAAGGTCTTTAAGAGAGATTTGTAGGCAAATGTGTGACCAACTTAGTGAATTAGTACTGTCGCGTGTCGGTTGAGGGCGTCAACATATGTGAAATGTAAAAATCACTTAAGTTGGCCACTCATTCGCCTGCAAATCTCTCAAAGACTTTGTCAACCTATTCCATGGTAAAATGTCAACAAGTTATTTTCACCGGACACTTGGTCTCGGTGAAATCAAGTAGTGTTCACCGGACACTTGGTCTCGGTGAAATCAAGTAGTGTGTGCGTGTGTGTGTCAGTTTGTCTTTAACAGTCACTATGTGGACAAGTGAACATAAGATATCCACATAATGCAGGTTGTGTTGACGTTATGTGGACTAAGCCGTGTCCACATAACGTTTCGCCCTCTCTGGAAAATAGGTTTAGAGGCATTTTCGGGTTAATAGGGTTATCTGTCGCAGAATGAAGAGAAACATTCAGGGAAATAAAAAAAAATAAAAAATTGGGGGTTCAAAGAGTTTGCACAGTTTAAGTAAACTTATTTTTTGTACCAAGTTTTCTTAACTACACAAAAACAAAGGAATGTTCACATAGAGTATGTAAAACAAACGTGTGTAGGGAGGGGGGGGGGGGCTGGTACCATCTTCCAAAACAGGGGGCGCTCTTCAAAACTGGCCATTATGCAAACTACGTATTATGTGCCCATTTGCAGGGAGCATTGTAAGGGTTTTGGGGCTTGGTTTTCATATTCCTCGTTCATATCAGAACTCTAAATACCATTTTGGGAAATGGTTACTGACAACCGAATTATCATAAATTGTAGGGCCTTTTTTCATAGCAAGGGGGCACATTTATGTCCGCAAGAGGGGAACTTGGGTAAATCTGGGGGGAGCAAGTGCCCCCCTGCTCCCCCCCCCCCATTCTGCCGCCCCTGTATTTTAGGTATTGCATTTTAAAATATTGTTTGTCATGTCCCTGAAATTATTTTTTTTAAATGAGACATCTTGTTTAGAGGCTGAAACTGATTTATTAGGGCCAAGAACCAGCCCACCCCTTTCCCACACACACGCCCCTTTCCCACTCATACGCCCCTCCCAATCTTAGAGTGCAAAAGGACAACACACTGGTCCGGCTCTATAGCTAAGTGGGATTATTGAGACATTGTTTGTTCAATTTTCAAAGCAAATGTATGCATTGGGCACGTGTGGTCTAGCGGTGGAGTACAGGATTCATGATCATGAGGTTGTGGGTTTGAGCCTTGCTGTGGCCATGCGTGTTGTGCCCTTGAGTAAGGCGCTTTACCTCAATTACTCCCTCAACCCAGGCGTTAAATGGGTACTGGCATTATACAATGCTGAGAAGGTAACAGACTCGCTGTGGAGGAGGTGTGGCGATCCCCCACAGCAGCATATGAGTCCGGCCCAATCGCTAAAGAAAGAAAGGTGGGCACTCCGTTACTGTTAACACAGGTTTGTCCCCCTTATGTATTGTGCCACTCGTATACTAAACAAATGCACTTTATTTTTTACACGCCAGATCCCACTAGTGGTTTAAGCTGTATTGCCTCCTTGAAAGCCTGCATCAGCTACAATGAGTACCACCAAGAAAATGAACAAGAAAGAGGTTCAACCAGAGGTCAAACAAAGGAGAAGCAACCGACAAAGACATCAGAGGGTCAACTATAATGAGAAGGCATTTGCATTTGAGATTTGTGACAGACAATCCTCGCAGAAACTTGGTCAACTTCAGCAACACAGGAGAGTCCAAACTATCAATGAGAGACCATTTGTTTGTGACAGTAGCAACCTACGAAAACATGAGATGGTCCGTACCAATAAGAGACACTTTGTTTGTGACATTTGTTTTAAGGGCTTCTCACAGAAAGGTACCCTTCAAAGACATCAGATGGTCCACACTAATCAGAAACCTTTTGTTTGTGAGATATGTGGCAAATGCTTCTCAAGGAAAGGTCATCTTCAAGAACATAAGCTGGTCCACACTAAAGAGAAACCATTTGTTTGTGACATTTGTGGAAAATGCTTCTCACTGAAATGCAACCTTCACCGACATCAGAGAGTCCACACTAATGATAAACCATTTGCTTGTGACATTTGTGGCAAGGGCTTTGCAGCAAGTAGCAGCGTACGAACACATCTGAAGACCCACACTGATGAGAAACCATTTGCTTGTGACATTTGTGGGAAATGCTGCTCTCAGAAGGGTAATCTTCAACAACATTATAGGGTCCACACTGAAGAGAAACCATTTGTTTGTGACATGTGTGGCAAGCGCTTCTCAAGTTCCAGTGTGCGACGAAGGCATCAGATGGTCCACGAAATGGAGAAACCATACGTGTGTGACATTTGTGGAAAAGGTTTCTCAAGGAAGGATTGCCTTCACCAACATCAGAGGGTCCACACTAATGAGAAACCATTTGCTTGTGACATTTGTGGCAAATGCTTCTCTTCCGGTAACAAACTTGGAGGACATAAGATGGTCCACAATAATAACAAACCATTTGCTTGTGATTTGTGTGGGAAATGCTTTTTACGAAAGGGTAGCCTTCAACAGCATCTGAGGGTCCACACTAATGATAAACCATTTTTTTGTGATATTTGTGGCAAAGGCTTTGCAGCAAGTAGCAACATGCGAACACATCTGAAGCTCCACACGGGTGAGAAACCATTTGCTTGTGACATTTGTGGGAAAGTCTTCTTATATAAATGTAATCTTCAAACACATCTGAGGGTCCACACTAAAAACGAGAGACCATTTGTTTGTGACATTTGTTTTAAGGGCTTCTCAAAGAAATGTGACCTTCAGAGACATCAGATGGTCCACACTAATGAGAAACCTTTTGTTTGTGAGATATGTGGCAAATACTTCTCACGGAAGGGTAATCTTCAAGAACATTATACGGTCCACACTAATGAGAAACCATTTCTTTGTGAGATATGTGGCAAATGCTTCTCACGGAAAAGTCATCTTCAAGAACATTATAGGGTCCACACTAAAGAGAAACTATTTGCTTGTGACATGTGTGGCAAGGGCTTCTCAAGGTCCAGTGTGCGACGAAGGCATCAGATGGTCCACAAAATGGAGAAACCAAATGTTTGTGACATTTGTGGAAAAGGTTTCTCAAGGAAAGATCACCTTCGCCGACATCAGAGCGTCCACACTAATGAGAAACCATTTGTTTGTGACATTTGTGGCAAGGGCTTCTCAAGTTCCAGTGTGCGACGAAGTCATCAGATGGTCCACAAAATGGAGAAACCAAATGTTTGTGACATTTGTGGAAAAGGTTTCTCAAGGAAAGATTGCCTTCACCAACATCAGAGGGTCCACACTAATGAGAAACCATTTGCTTGCGACATTTGTGGCAAAGGCTTTTCACAAAATTCCGACCTGCGAAGGCATAAGAAGGTCCACACCGGTGAGAGACCATACGTTTGTGATATTTGTGGCACAGCTTTTTCCCATAAATACCACCTACAAATCCATCAGAGGGTTCACACTAAGGAGAAACCATTTGCTTGTGACATTTGTGGCAAATGCTTCTCTTCCAGTGACCAACTTGGAAGACATAAGATGGTCCACAATAATAACAAACCATTTGCTTGTGATTTGTGTGGGAAATGCTTTTTACGAAAGGGTAGCTTTCAACAGCATCGGAGGGTCCACACTAATGATAAACCATTTGTTTGTGACATTTGTGGCAAGGGCTTCTCAAGTTCCAGTGTGCGACGAAGGCATCAGATGGTCCACAACATGGAGAAACCAAATGTTTGTGACATTTGTGGAAAAGTTTTCTCAAGGAAAGATCTCCTTCGCCGACATCAGAAGGTCCACACTCATGAGAAACCATTTGCTTGTGACATTTGTGGGAAAGACTTCTCATATAAATGTAATCTTCAAACACATCTGAGGGTCCACACTAAAAACGAGAGACCATTTGTTTGTGACATTTGTTTTAAGGGCTTCTCAAAGAAATGTGACCTTCAGAGACATCAGATGGTCCACACTAATGAGAAACCTTTTGTTTGTGAGATATGTGGCAAATACTTCTCACGGAAGGGTAATCTTCAAGAACATTATACGGTCCACACTAATGAGAAACCATTTCTTTGTGAGATATGTGGCAAATGCTTCTCACGGAAAAGTCATCTTCAAGAACATTATAGGGTCCACACTAAAGAGAAACTATTTGCTTGTGACATGTGTGGCAAGGGCTTCTCAAGGTCCAGTGTGCGACGAAGGCATCAGATGGTCCACAAAATGGAGAAACCAAATGTTTGTGACATTTGTGGAAAAGGTTTCTCAAGGAAAGATCACCTTCGCCGACATCAGAGCGTCCACACTAATGAGAAACCATTTGTTTGTGACATTTGTGGCATGGGCTTCTCAAGTTCCAGTGTGCGACGAAGTCATCAGATGGTCCACAAAATGGAGAAACCAAATGTTTGTGACATTTGTGGAAAAGGTTTCTCAAGGAAAGATTGCCTTCACCAACATCAGAGGGTCCACACTAATGAGAAACCATTTGCTTGCGACATTTGTGGCAAAGGCTTTTCACAAAATTCCGACCTGCGAAGGCATAAGAAGGTCCACACCGGTGAGAGACCATACGTTTGTGATATTTGTGGCACAGCTTTTTCCCATAAATACCACCTACAAATCCATCAGAGGGTTCACACTAAGGAGAAACCATTTGCTTGTGACATTTGTGGCAAATGCTTCTCTTCCAGTGACCAACTTGGAAGACATAAGATGGTCCACAATAATAACAAACCATTTGCTTGTGATTTGTGTGGGAAATGCTTTTTACGAAAGGGTAGCTTTCAACAGCATCGGAGGGTCCACACTAATGATAAACCATTTGTTTGTGACATTTGTGGCAAGGGCTTCTCAAGTTCCAGTGTGCGACGAAGGCATCAGATGGTCCACAACATGGAGAAACCAAATGTTTGTGACATTTGTGGAAAAGTTTTCTCAAGGAAAGATCTCCTTCGCCGACATCAGAGGGTCCACACTCATGAGAAACCATTTGCTTGTGACATATGTGGCAAAGGCTTTGCAGCACGTAGCTGCATGCAAACACATCTGAAGGTCCACTTTAATGCGAAACCATTTGATTGAGACATGATTCTTATATAAATGTCATCTTCAACAATGTCGGAGGGTCCACACTAATGAGAAACCATTTGCCTGTGATAATTTGTGGCAGAGGCTTCTCACGCAGCAGTAGCCTAAGAACACATCGGAGTCGTCCACGCTACTGAGAAACCATTTGTTTGTAACATCTGTGATAAGGGCATCTCGGAGAAAGGTCAACTTTAACAACATGAGAGGGTCCACATATGAGAAATCATTCGTTTCTATATTAGTAAAGAAAAGTAAACATTCAAGAAAAATCATGTACTTCTGATGTATGTGACAAAATAATGACCTAAATGGTTGACCAATAAGGCTGTTTGTAGCAAAAAGTTTTATTAAGTTTTGGTTCAGTCCTAGTTTCAGTTGTTCCTTTGATCATTGTATTTACAGGTAGAAACTTTTAAATCTAGAGGTTTGATTAAACAGTTACTTTTCATTATTTTGGTTGGTTAACAGTTACTTTTCATTATTTTGGTTGGTTAGAGTTCTCGTTTCTATTACCTCTTCATTGCTATTTCTATTGTTTTTACGACCCTTCCCTTCAGTGATCGTCATGATGTTAGTCCAGTAAATCCGAATACAGTGTTTATTTGGCTCGACCCCCCCCCCCCCCTTAACACCGTGTCATATTGTTCTAGGTTGCTTGGGATTTAACCTTGTGTCTGGTGCAGGATCATGATGGACCGCATTGAGGATGAGATCGCCGAGTTCGGTGACCTTTAAGCCTGATTTCAATATCGACGTTGAGCTGACAGCACTCGGAAATGTCGGCAAAGTTGAACCAAGTTCAACTTTGCCGACTATCGCCGTCCATGTTTGCATCAGTTGGGAAAGTCCCCGACAAGACGTTTCCATATGTCGGCATAGCATCGGGGGCCCATCGGCGACGCTGTCGGCGATTATAGAGATTACAGTGTACGGAAACCAGGCTTTAACAAGAATCAAATATAGGGGTATGTTATTTCATGTAAGGTCATGGGTCACGACAATGGGTAACTAATTGAGAAATGGGAGCGCTGACATCACGAACAGTACTTTTTTTTTTGCAGAAAGTTTTGTGTATAAATGTACATTTGTATGTACATGTATTTATTAATTTATTTATTTATTACATTAATTTACCCAGGGTATGCCCAAACAGTTCAAAACTGGTTTCCATTGGGGCCCTGCATGCATGTAGTAAAAAATGACTACAAACATGTACATGTATACGAATACAATACATTACAAATACAATACAGTACAATGGGATAAAAGCATTATTGGATTAATGCATAATTTGTAAGCAAATATTATAAATACTATATATTGTAAAGCTATTATAACTACATGAACGGTGTGAAACAACATCGCTATACATTTACTATACGGTGAATTCAGTGAACACAAAGATTTTGGATCTATCTTGTAACATCAAGAAAAAATTTTGCTATAATTATATTCGCTGATTACGAGAGGGGCGAGAAACCCTTTTAGGAAAAAACACGGGGAAATTCCCATCCAGCACCTTATTATTATGGCAAGTTTGTTAACTCCGTAGATCATCATATATTTAGATTTGTATAAGCAGAGAAGACGGCGACAAATACTCGCCTAATTATTTGCAGAAATATTACCGACTGAACGTTTTACGTACGTAGTTCAGATTTGAATGAGGAAAGAGAGGTCATGGTTTTCAACTGTACATGCAAACTATTCCATATTGTTAAACCATTGCTATGACGTCACACTATTGTTAAAAGTGTGGATTCGGAACTACGAATCTGTTACGCTGGTCACAAAGTGTGGATTCGGAACGAAGGATCTTTAGTAAAGTGTGGATTCGGAATTACGAATCCACACTTTGAACACGTCAGACAATTGTTCTCTATAATGAGCATTAATAGGACCGTATGCGTGAAAATTTCCTTCCGAAATTACCAATGCATCTTCACTGTCAGATTCTCCGCCGTCACTACAAAACCTACTTTGAGTCGGAAAGAAATCATCGTCTGAACTATCAATTTGTCGACGGAAGGAGCCGGGACAAAATAAGTTGCAACCTGACGCCACTTTTTTTCTCCATATATCATCTCAATGAAGGGCATTCATTGCAAAAATGATGATAAGACATGAATCTGGGACTGAGAAATATTTCCAATTTTGTTAAAAATTACTTTAAAACAATTCTTGACTCTCCATATACTTTGTACACTGTCGCGGAAGTGGCGTCAGGTTGCAACATTTATCCCAAGTCTTTTCATCTCCACTCACTGTTAATGCCAAAACTTCTTTTGACGCAGTGGTTTAAGTCGAAGAATACACTCGCAAGTGTGGATTCTTAATTTACGAATTCACTCGGCGCTTCGCGCCTCGTGAATTCTTAAATTACGAATCCACACTTTCTCGTGTATTCTCCTTAACGTATACATTTTGTACTCCTTAATTTCTGGGTTCAATAGACCCCTCTCATAGACAGCCATCGTTGTAGGAAAATTACAACTGCGTGTTCAACGCCAACAGGTGCATATGCACGCGTGTTGCTCGAAATTTCTTCGAAATACGGTGCAGCCAATGCGCGTCACAAAAATTTGACGCCCAAATTGCCGATGCACGTGATAATCTGCAGGAAGGGACGTCATGTGATGAGAGACCAATAATTCATTTGTCAAATGTCTTTTCCAAACTTACGTTAACATGTGAGAGCCCCTATAAAATAGACTGAACCATTGACTTAGAATCTCCAAGCCAAGCATCAGCACCAGTTATAAGAGCCGGGGGCGGGGGGCGGGGGGCGGGGGGCGGGGGGCGGGGGGCGGGCGGGGGTGTAGACGGCCTTGACCTGGGCATTGCATGCAGGCATTACCACTAATGTCATACATGGGCTACTACACCATTTTGTGCGGTGTCCTGAGAAGAAAATAAAGGAAACCAGTTTTTCGGGGCTCAGTACTCGGCAACCAATAAAATGTTTCTGGTAATGTTAAGCAAAACTCGGCCGTCCTCCGGGTCTTTTGACACCAAGAAAGTGACGACACACGCACAATTATTGGTCATGACTCTTCTCACGCTTTCTCGAATGAAAACTGTCGGTGTAAATCTGAATTGGGAAGGCTAATTGCGCATGATAACGATCCTGCATGCTGCCTCCCGGACATCGCAGAGAAGATAAAGAGTCTTCGAAAGGATATGGCGGACTCCAGATGTGGCGCCTCCTCACCTCAGAGTGACCATGCGAGAAAGACTTGGGCTCTTCAATGACATTGTTATTGCAGTAAATCACCCATTGAGTGGCCGTCCAGGTCATGAGACCTCAACCCTTGCTTTTTTTTCATGTGGGGTTATTTTTCAAAAAACACGAGGTTATTACCTCTCGACTTGAAGAGGACATTGTGACCTCTCAACTTGAAGATATTGATGACCTGCATGAGAGAATTGTCACGGAAGTTGAGGCGCCACAGCAGCAGAGGAACATTAAGTGCGGGCAATAAGAACCAGAGCAGAAGCTTGCATGGAGAGAAATGGGGGCCATGTTGAAGGACACTGGGGCTAACTTTTGACAGCTTATTTCGCAAAGTTGTGTTTATTCCAATGCCGAAATGAGTCTGGACATTATAAACAACAGAAGTGTTGTTCTGCAACCCTATCTGTACACAGCTTACATAACACAGCACTCATGATTAATTGGAAAGGAACTTGGTCACTGTGTCCAAAATGTTGTTGTGATCAATGATGTGTAGTGGTGTGTGACTGAAACATAGAGCTGTGATTTAATATAGCTCTATGGACTGAAATTTAATAAAACTCGTCGGGGTTTAGGTCAAGGATAAAGAGTATCTACACGAAGAAAACAATTTTAACATCGACCGTGGTTTTGTATATAGTTCTTTAAAATATAGTCGCATGCACAGACACTCTTTTTGGGGCATACTATTTATGAAGCAGTTGATCTTAAACTACATTGTAATTGGTGATCATTGTTGGAAAAGAGGTTCGCCAAGGATGCATTCTCTCGCCAGATCTCTTCAACATCTACTCTGAAGGAGATGATGGTGCAAGTATAGCCGGACTTACGTCGCATAATGTTATTTTAGATTTGCTGATGATGTTGCACTGACATGGTCACCGTGGATGAAGACCTTCTGTTGAAAATCACTGGTATATGAGCCATCAGTATATTGTCTTAAGTATAAGTCATAACCTGCTCAAAAATATTCAGCTAAATAATGTCAGAATTCACTAACTTTGTACTTGGGAGCCTCTTTAAACAACTCTGCGGGTGGTTCAAAGGAAACCGTCAAGATAAGGGCTATCGCAAGGGGAAAATTCAACGACGGGTATTTGCAGTACACTGAAGGTAGGCCTACAATCCTTAAAATTCAAACCAATCTTAAACCCCTTCATGCACTGGTTTTGCCCATTGCTAATGTACGGATGTGAGGCATGGACGATCAAAAAAGCGGACGCCCATATGATAGGAATCAACTCTTGAAATGTGGTGCTTCACACGTTTATATTACAAGTCCCATGGACAGAGAGAAGGTCAAACGAGCTCCATTCCATATCTAGGTGATCTCAGAAGGAGAATTAAAGCTTTACTTTGGAAATAATGGCCAGAGGGAGTGTAGGGGAGATAGGAGTAATGGATCCTTGAAGGCAAAATGGAGGGGGAGAGGCCGACCGACCTAAAACCACTAGCTCATCGGACAGCCACGCTAATTGGAGGGATGCATCAGAAATGGTTACCACCAATGCACCAACTGGTATGTAGATTGAGGAAGGCACTGGGTGATGATGGTGTTGATGATGACGTCAGCTACTTGGTACTTGGTACTTGGTGGTTATCCTCTTCAGAACTCCTCGAGGAAGTATAACTAAGAGGCTTGGAGAGTGGCATAATTAACTATATCAAAGATTTAAATTGAATGTGGTTTGGGGCATTGATGACATCTCCCCTCAGGCGTAATTATCACAAGTCCCCTTTTACCCAGTTGCATTAATAGTTCCGTCTTTAATGTTGTGCGAGCATACTCCTGAGGATCATGTACGTATACAGGAAGATGATGATGATGATGCTCGAAAATTTGCTCGAAATAATTTTAACTGTAATGACTGTTTTGCGTTATCCCTGCTTTTTCCACTGTATGGGGATTTTCTCTGTTTAATTTCAATTTTTTTATACGATTTTAGATAATTTTTGTTGTGTTTTGTTAAATCTTAACTTATATTAAATCTGTATCATTATTGTGCGGAAAATCACGTGTTTGTGTGCTATTCAAATTTACTTGTGGATCACAAAATATTAACGAGCTCGCGCGCAGCTTTTTGGTGGCTTGCACCCATAATAGAGGACGGCATTATCGAAATTTGCTCGTACCCCCGCCCTGCAAACATGGCGCTGAGACACGCTGATGAGCTTCACCGAATCTTGTGAAGGAAGTGGGGGTGACATCCTGGGTAATTGATCATGACCTATGTTTAAAGACATCTGGCTGTAGCCGTTTAAGACCGCAGTTAGCCAATGCGCGGAAATGCTATCCGAAAACTTTCTAATACTAAATGCATGCATGCCATATACCGGATGTGGTTTCTTTTTTCATTGCGGACCATGCTGTGGACAAATTTTGAGCGTCGCATGAAAATATACAAATTTGACCGTTCGTAAATTCGAAACCCAGGGTCATGGCCGTGATAACTTGCAGGTCACAGGTCACGCTAAATCTATATAATCGGAGCGTAAATTCATGAGCGTGTCCCATCCAGCGCCCGTTTGCAGGGCGGGCGTACGAGCGAATATCAGAAATATTTTATGTCAGCGGAGGGCATATGCAGTATCTCTATTTTGATTTTGATGTGTAGAGGGCGGTTTCGCTCGTACCCCCCGCCCTGCAAACAGGACGCTGGGATACTCTGCTGAATTCACGCTCCTATTGGTTGGATTTTGCTATACCAGTGACCTGCGCGTCATCAAGGTCATGACTCTGCAAGGTTTGAAACGGCCGTTAAGACTGATTCATTACTCTTTTATTCCAGTTTAGAGATTTTTTTTTCTCGTTGAAAAGCGTATAATAATGTAGGAAATTATGTAAAACTTATCTGTGTTGTAAATGTACAATTCCCGTCACTCGCTCAGGCTCTGTTTCGAATCACGAACGGTCGGATTGCATTATGCGACGCTCATAATTTTTGTCCACATGGTCCGCAATGAAACGGAAATCACATCCGGTATGGAATGTGCGCAATTCTATGGGAAGTTTTCGGATAGCACTTGGGCACATTGTCTAACTGCGGTCTTGAACAGCTGCCGCCTGATGCTTTATACATAGGTCATAGGCCACTTCCTTCACAAGATTCTGTGAAGTTCATCAGAGTATATCCCAGCGTCCTGTTTGCAGGGTGGGAGGTACGATTCCTCGTACCCCCGCCCTGCAAACAGGGCGCTGGTAATAGGGCTGATGAGCTTCACAGAAACTTGTGAATGATGTACAGATTGACCTTCGCATGCAGCTAGCGCGCGCTACGCATGATTCTACGTCACAGGTCACGCAAATCTATCCAACGAGAGATCAAATGACGTCAGTCCTGACCAGCGTCCTGTTTGCATTGCAGGGCGGGGGGTACGAGCGAAGAGGGCGGTAGACAAATTTAATTAAATTTCAACAGAGGGCGGTATTTTTTAGTCCACAAAAATTCCGCGCGCATTTTGTAAACTCAAGAGGGCGCTATGTATATTCGCGCCATTTGAGTTCAGCGAGGTGCGCGCATGTTGTAGAGATTGAAATTTAACTTTACAAAATGACGGATATTCTGGAATTTTCGGATATTTGGCAGGAAGTGAGAGGTGCCATGGTGAGATGATCTTTAATCTTAAATCTGTTCGTTTTGTTTGGTCTTTCTAATTCTATTTAAATTCTAAAAACATTGACAAGCCATTGTCTAATCAAAATAGTTTCCTAAATCATGTAAATACACAGGCTACATCATCATGACGGTAATCCTTACTTTTAGGACACCTCTATTTTTTTACGAGTTCTGTTCAAAACTGACTTTTGCAGATGCCTGTCCAGTACCAAAGTGACTTTTGCAGGCTAAAGCAGTCTTTTTTCTTCAATTAAACTCATGTTAGTTGTAATTTTGAAAGCTTTTTCAAAGAAAATGTAACTTTCCTACCTTTTTTTCACAGTCAGATGTGCATGTTGTAGTTCTCACAACACAGTGAAAGCCCTACATTATGAAAGCCCAATGCTGATTGGCTGCTAAAAAGAAAAGAAAAGATGTTAATTTTTTTATCAGCCAATCAGCATCGAGCTTTCATCGCATCAAGATTTTACGTTTGCCATCTTGGTTTTTGAGGCTGTTTTCTGGTTGTCATCGTCGTCTTTTACCCCTGAATTTCCCTCATCATAAATCAAAGCCCTGCCCTCTTTCCACAAAATTAAATCTGCTGATATTCAAGAAGGTGTCATTGCCAATTGTTCAGATGTGCCAAGAAGTATCAGAATGTCAATTTTGATTGTCATTTTGTCAACTGTTTTGGTGAGTCTTTCCCTTCCTATATAGGAACGGGGTCCTAAAAGTAAGGATTACCCCTATGACATTGACAGAGTGACAGAAGTCATTTCAATTGTAATGCATCCATGTTGACAATAAAATACCATCCATGAAAGATCCAGGCAGATTTATCGTATCTTTTGGGGGATTGTGTAGTTCACATGGTTGACATGGTTGAGAACCCCGTTCCTATTCGTAGTCGTACATATGAATAATTATTTAAAAACTTGTTTTTTTTTAACGCGAAATGTACGATGAGTTTGTCGATTAGTGTTGGCCACCATCTTGTTTGGATGCGCTGAACACTTCACACATGCATAGTATGGGCAGTTGGCTCTGTACACTTCACGCATGCATAGTACGGCTAGCTTCACGTTAACAAAATGGCGGCCACCCCAAACTCGACAAACTTGTCGTACATTTCGTGTTAAAGTTTTAAATAATTTCAACTCTGATATGCAGAAGATGTTCTTTATTGTTTTTTCTACCATATAAAGCTATTTTTAATGTTTAAAAGCATATATACAAAACTTGTTGATGCTTGTTGAGACTGATGACGCTTGTTTACGCTTGTGGACGCTTGTTGACGCAGTTTAGTAGGACTGGTTCAAAATGTAATACCCCACATCACAGCAGTCAACAATTGTTAAATATTAATACTCCATTGAAGGGCAAAACAGTGATGCACCTGATATCTATGACACTTTTTTATTTTATTGTATTTCTTATTTTTGTTCATTAAAAAATGTTTCCATCTATTTAGAATGGCGGCCGGCTCAAGCTGAACAGGCAAGGCGTATACTTCAAAAGCAACAAGACCGGCAAAGTGGAACAGGTTCAAGTTGAGGACTTGGCCGAAACCAACTGGCTCAGGGTCGCCAGAGGTCATGAGCTGAAACTCCGCCTCCAAAATGGAACCATCTTCAAATACGATGGCTTTCAGGAATCGGTAAGGGGAAAAGTTCCGTACTCGATCGTCAATTTATCTGCTGCCAAACATCTTAATTGTCACCTCACCTTGTCATTTGAACCAAGAGAAATCCAGGAAGCTGTGTAAAGGTGAAAAAAATTTACTCAAAATGTGTTTTTAGAGCACATTTTGGATGCATACGTCGTGCAGAACTAACTTGAAGCAGCCGGTCAAAACTGATTGTAGTGGCTGAAAGACAGCGGTACGTTATACGCATGACATCGACAACCATAACGTCGCATGAGCCTGCCAATGATAGTGCAATACGTCATTATGAATATTTATTTTCTCATGAATATTTGGTTTATTTCAATGGATACTTCAAATACGTCCAAAGATTGATCATTGTAACAGCGATCGTGCGCGGCCTAGCGGTTAAGAGTCTCGTGTATCAAGCAAGCATCAGAGGTTCGAATCCTGATGAAGTAACTGACTGATTAATAAATAGAAATTAAGGAAAGGAGAAGGTGAGAGTAGAGGAGGGAAAGTGGAGGAATAACCTTAAAAGATGTAACTTTTGGCGATAGAAAATTAATTGAAAAAAGTGGCGATCGAGTACGGAACTTTTTCCATCAGTAAGGGAACCATAACATGATTATGTTTGGGATGGGGGAATCAGATAGGAAACGTAAAGGTCATATGAGCAGGGAAAAGAAGATATAAAAATAAAGCTTGGATCAAAATGTAATGTTTACATATGTAGCTCAAGAAATATCAAGCTATCAGTATCACATGCAGAAATATAATCCACTTTGACTGGGCACATCCCTTTTTGTTTGGACAGATGTCCATAATCGGATTAGGCCAAAACAAATTGTTCTGCTTCCGGTTTCCCTACCCACCCTATTCTGGCAGCCCCTACCCTAATTTTTTTGTATGGGAAAAATGAGGGGGAAAAACCCAAACCATCAATTTTTGCCTTTTACCCTTGATTTCACACAGAGGCCTCCATACGATCGTACACAAAAAAAATTGGCTAAAAAGAAATTCCCTACCTACCGGTACCTACCCTATTTTCAAATGCCATGTAATCGGAAGCAGAAGTATTTTTTTTTTTGGCCTGAAAAAATTTCCTCCCCCCCCCCCAAAAAAAATAGGGTAGGGATTGTCAAAATAGGGTGCATGTAGGTAGGGTAACCGGAAGCACAACTTCGCCACAACATAACAACACCTAAAATGACTGTGCAAGTTATGCCGTAATATATTAAATAATTCACAAACTTTTAATCTATGTAATGTTTGTGAAATTGGCATAACTGAAATGTTGCGCAGCGTGAAATGTTAGGCAACTTGTGCAATTGCCGCGCAAGTGGACTTTTGCCATTGCGTAAAGTTTCATAAAAATCAGCTGCAGAAGTTCGTATCGGTAAATGTTGAGGTCCATGTCTTTTGGGTTTTTTAGGACCAAGAGAAACTTGCGGAATTCATCACCAATAACTACAACCTGAGCCTGGATGAGGTAGAACTAGCTGTCAAGGGGCGGAACTGGGGCTCAGCCAAGTTCAACGGTGAGTGGTTTAAGCTATTTAAATTTTGACCCTGTGATGCATGTCATACTATAAGGCCATGTCTAAATCCCTTGGCTACGGCCATGCAATATCGCACGAGTCTATGAGAAGTGGCTACTGCCGCTAGCCAGTGGCTTCCATAGGTGCCCGTGTTATACATAGCCATAGCCAGGTGATTTGGACACCATCTTAATTTCTCTTTGATGGAGATGTGTTATATTCTCTATCACTTTGAAGGATGTGACGTTTACATGTTTAAACATTTCAACAAAAACAATTCTAAATCCGTTTACAAATTTTCCAATAACGTTTAACTCTTTCACTACGGAATTTAATTTCCCGATTTTTTTCACGTTTGTACGTAGTAAATCGCTGGAAATTCCGCCAGGTGTCGATGTGGACGCCGCCATCTTGAAATGTCTCTCTGTAAACAAACTGCTCAAATAACCTGCAGCAGACCCCGGCGAGACGGAGAGCCGCTGGCAGTAGCTCAAACTAGGGTCAGAGGTTATACGATATAAATTATGTAGATAAGGCACACGTCATGGCATGCATGGGGATACCCTGTTTATTCACAGCGACGTCACCGAGCCGCTGCCAGCGGCTTGCCGTACGACATGTACAATTTGTGTGTGGCGCTGTCAGCGGCTCGCCGTAGTGTAAGAGTTAAACTAAAACCGGAGTTATAAAAATGGGGTCTACGTTCACCGTTCGCGCAGTCTTCTTTTGAACTAAACCAGCATAGCACAGATAATTAACAATGTTTTCAAATAAATATGATTTACAAAACCTTTGAAGCACTTCAATACTTGATTCCACATTCGGGACACACGTAGTTAAGGTTTCTTTCTTTTTCAATAACTGCCATTGTTGATTTATGTAAATCAGTCCGGTCTGAACATTTACAAAATTAAATGTAAAGTCAAATTCTTCATCACTTTAGTGTATTTTTAACCTTTTGATTTAGCATTTTGTGCGTACATGTACGTGTATGTATTCAAAGCAGTTTGAGGTTGTTGCTGTTTAAAGCAGTTTTGACGTTCATGTTAACAATTTGTCTCTCCAACCGTCCCAGGCCCTCTGAAATTCACCAGAACATTTGTGTTGGATTTGACAAGATCGAAGGCCAGTTCATGCTTAGCACATTAAGATTTCTTGCTACGAATTCCCAGAAATGAAACTCATTTTGCTGTCATTTTTTTTGGGGGGGGGGGGGTGGGGGTGAAATACAATCCACCACTTATGCAAGTAAGTGTATTCAAATTTCACAACCAGGAAGATCGGAAGATTTTCACAAAACTTGAATTACTTAATTAACCCTAACCCTTCCGGATGCGACATGTGTAAAAGTCTGTTAGACCTAGAGTCTGTTAGAGCCATCAACACCAGTGCATAAACGACCAATTCTGAAACAATGAGAGCTATCCCATTGAACAATGCCACAGTTGTATCCTGCTGTAATTGGTGACCACAGACTCTGAGGCAGTTTGGTCTTGAGATTTGTGACTTGAGAGATCTTGCTATACTGAGCAGGCTTGTCATTTTGAAAAGTGTTGCGTGTTGCTGCCTTCAGCAGGTTTTTTAAACTTAGGGGTTAGAGATTTATGGAGATTTTGTTTGTTCTGACAGGCACGGAGCTTGCCTTTGAAGTTGACAAGAAGCCAGCTTTCCACATCCCTCTGGGTAATGTGTCCCACAGCACGACGGCCAAGAATGAGGTCATTCTGGAGTTTCATCAGAACGACGACACAGAGGTCTCGCTAATGGAGATGAGATTCTACGTGCCTCCCACGGAATCAGACACCAAGGCTGCTGAGGTAACTTGGAGATAAATGGCTGGTTGTCACGTAACGTTTCTTTTTGTTATAACAATTATCAAAGTTGAAAGTTGGCACGTTTTTGCCTTGACCAGTTCGTGCCAGATGACGTGTATGCCCACAAGGGTTTTGCCGTATTCGGAACGGATGACGGATAAACACGCAGGGAGCAAGGACGGAAATATCTGTCAGCGACTCCAGGCAGCAAGTAAGGCCGGAAATATGAGTGTGCTGCCCGAGGGTGATGGCTTCAACCCGCCTGGCTTGAGGTCGAGTGAGAAGTAATCCCGCGCCTCTTTCCCTTCTTGTCAAAAATAATCTCGGCGTGAACTGGTTGAAGGACAGAATTCAGTAGTTGTGACTTGCGCTGTAATAATCGTTCTCTTTCAGGCATTCCATGAGAAGATTTTGGCAAAGGCGGACATCATCCAAGCAACTGGAGAATCCATCGCATCGTTGGAACAAATACCGTGTCTCACCCCAAGGTAATATCCTTTAATCCTTCCTTATTCATTTTCTGCCAACGAAGTTCTAAGTGGACTATTCTCTTTTAGGGTCAATTTTGTAACAAAATATTGATGAGGTGGATGTTTTTCTCGAGCACAATTTGAATAAATCTTTTAACATTTTTTTCTTTGAATTTTCATGTTGCAGAGGTCGCTACGACATCAAGATTTTCCCCACCTTCCTGCAACTCCACGGCAAAACATTTGACTACAAGATTCCCTTCACCACTGTACTGCGTCTGTTCCTGCTGCCCCACAAGGATAATCGCCAGATGTATTTTGTGGTAAGCAGAGATGAAACTTTTCCAATTTTAATCGGAAAACCAACTTTTTGAATTTTCCAACGAAATTTCCGATTTTTTTACAGTGTGTCCCACAAAATTAGATTTTCTGATGATTTATTCACAAACAGACAAAATGTCATTTTATTTCAATCATAATTTCGAAGAAAAGTCGATGGAAATGGCGTGTTAAAATCATCGCGAACGTAGTTTTAAATCTCTTTCACCAGTCGTTATTGGAGAGTTTCAACGGTAGAAACACAGGGCATAACACTGATCGGAGCCTTCTCCGGCTGGACAAAAGGTTTAACATTGACAGGTGACATGGAAAAATCACTGTGTCGCACGTGCGTGCGAATATACAATGGTACCAGCGTACGTACCGCACCACCGTACCGTCCGCTAGCACGCACATGGCTGGCCGGGACGGGTAGCCTTGTGAAGGATCCTGTGGATAAAATCATTATGTTGTGCGATATTCGGAGGTTTCAGATTCAGTTGTACAAAATGCAATGCTTTAAAAATCATGATGATTATCTCGAGGATAGCGAAGAGAGCATTAGCGAAACATTTCACTGGCATTTGTTGGAAGAGAAAGACGATAATGCCTGATATTTTCCCATGTATGAATGCAAGTGGTTGAATCATGGACATGATTGAAGCACCATGAACGGAGCCCTTGTCTTTCGGACTTTTCCCTCGACTTTCTCAAGTAAGAAGTGAACTTCTTTATTGATGACTCTATTACTCTAACCGTAATTCAGGCATTTTATGCAATGAAAACACTAACCGTTTTTTTTTTCATCGTAAAATTTTGTTTGAATCAAAAATAAAGCAGTTGGTGTCCGGAAATTGGGCATGGAGTGTATTGTACATGCATGTATATGTGTGTAATGGCAGCGCGGCCCAGATTTCGGACACGTATTTTTGTTCGGCCTATTTTCCGATTTTTTTTGCCACATGCCAGTTTCATCTCTGGGTAAGACACAATAATAAACTGTGCGTATAAAGCGCATTTCACACAAGGTCCCAATGCACTGTACAAGAAGCATCATTTCCCCTGCTCATTGGGCCCATGAAACATTCCTAACACCATCTCAGCTCCCTGGGGAGAGTACAGCTCGATGCTGCCAAGTTGGTGCAAATTGACTGTCACCAACTAAACTGAAGTTGAAAAACTAATTTTTTCGCGAAATTAACATTAAAAATTAGGATGTTGTGTTACAGTGAATAAACAGTCAGATGATTATAAACAATTTGAAAATAAGTTTAAAGCCGTTTTGCTAGAACAAGAAAAATCGTTCACCTGAAAAGAAAAAAAAAAAAAAATGGACCACCCCTTCGAAATTTTGGCTTTGCCCCACTGTACTGCAAACAATAATCTCGGACTTGACACTCATTCCTGGTGACAGGACACATTTGTATACAAATGATATTAGATTTTTGTACTAAAAGTCAGAATTTTGCCTACTTTTGTTGCTCCAGATCAGTCTTGATCCACCCATCGTGCAGGGACAGACTAGATACCATTTCCTCATCTTGAGCTTCAACAAGGAAGAAGACATGTCATTGGACCTCAACCTCACAGAGTAAGATCCATAACCCTAACCCCCTAGTAGTTCCTCAGGACTACCCTGCTAAATCCAACAGAGTCCAACCAGAGTTTCCTGCTCAATCCACTGTGCCTTATTTTCAGTTGTCTGCTGAATCAAACTGAGTCCAACTTGGCATTACAATGCGGTTCAGTTGCCTGCTGAATCCAACATTTTGCATCAGGAATGTACCGTAGGGGTTTACTGCTCAATCCAGCAGGCTCCATCGGGTATAAGATATAGTTATTTCCTGTTGGATTCAGCAGGGTTAGATTCCTGAAGTAAAATTCCTGAAAAAAAATCCAGAAAGTATGTGAATTGTACGATTTACTGTAGGTTCACACTTCACAGTTTGAATGCGAAGTAGATTTGCTGTCACAAAACAGTCCTCAGCAAAAGTTGAAACGTGTTCATTATAATTGCAAAAAAAATTGTGTTCTTGTTTGCATTTGCACCATTCCAGAAGATGCATTCGCCCCGTGCTGTTTTTAATTTCACCCCCCCCCCAAACAATTCAATCGTTTTTTCCTAGCAATATGAAATTTATTCACTTTTGAATGAGATATGTGTATAGTTATTGACTTCTTTCGTTGCAAAATTCAAATAATTTGCGGCCCAACTGTAATTTAGCTCTGGCATTCATTTATGTGCAAAATGAAAGGCCTTTTAATAGATGGTTGCAGATGCCCAAAATCGGGGGGGGGGGGGGGGGGGGAAGGAATATTATGATTTTTTTTAAAAGCACCGGCAAAACATCTTTAATAATTCACTTTGTCATATTTTCTCTAGGGAGGAAATTGAGGAGAAGTACAAAGGGAAGCTGCAGAAGCACATGACCGGGCCGTCGTTTGAGATCGTCAGTCGGTTGATGAAGTCACTCTCGGCACGCAAGATCACCATTCCAGGGTCCTTCACTGGGTGAGACGGGAAAAACTTAATCCTCTTTCAAACGGTGACTGCTCTATGTTCCGACACCCCTATGTTCCGACAACCTAGATTGTGTTACTCCCGGTTAGGGTTAGGGTTAGGGTTAGGAATAGGAATATGTGCAGTCGGAACATAGGGGTGTCGGAACATAGAGGTGTAACCCTTTCAAACAAGTTTCAACTTGTTGGTTTACTGTTCGTGAATAATTCGTGCTAAGTATAGCAGAACAATTCTTTGCTTATATATGTTATGGTTAGCGCATTTCAAGGGTATGCATAAAGTAAAGAATGTTTGGCTTGTGTGCCTGCTTACGTCACATAACTAAGTAATGGGTGCATTCGATTAGCTCACTCGGGTCAACTCGAGTTATTTCAAGTTTATCGTTTTTTAAACGTACGTAAAAACGATATAAAAACATAGGAATTCTGGGAAGGTTTCAAACCACCACGCACGATATTGTGGATGTTGTGTGGTATGCAAAAACGATGTCATCCGTGCGCACGCGGCCGACCACGTTGACAGGCAATTGCACGCACAGTGCCGCACTCTCCATAGACTTTGAGCACAACAGCTGAAGTGGCGTCTCGATACTGCATTCTTTCGGTTTGTTTTAGCGGCAGTGCCACCTGCGTAAAGGTAGCCGCGTATTCGGCCAGATACTCCACCGCGGATTAAAAAGTACGGAAGCCAATAAACAACACTATTGCTGTGATTAATTTTTGATGGTTTATGCGGATTAATCTACAGGCATTAACTACTGTTTCATGTTTTGTCTTGGCGGCTATTTTATGTAATGTTTCGGCGGTCTTAATGTCAAATGTTCATAGTTGTTTCTCTTACATTCTTTTGCCGATCTCAGCCACATTTAGCAATGATCACCTTGTGGTCAGTGCGAGTCAGTATTCAGACAAACCGATCAAACGGCAATTTAGGCTGATATCCGTGCTTCGGGGAAGCACATTAGCTCTAGTTAATTGTTTTGTTTTGCTTTTTTTTGCCAAATTTGTTTCTTTTAGACTTTGAATAGCTAAATATTAAAACATCATCTCTATGAAAACCCTTCAAAACGTGTCACTATTTTTCAAACATAATGTTGATGATGAAAAATGTGGCAAAATACCCTTTCACTGTCGATCGTACAATTTGTATGATATGAATACATTTTGATACCTAACTAAAAAAATATATCATTTGAGGGCGCGCACTGATCATTCGTAAGACACCCAGCTAGCAGAGCGCAGCATCCCGCTAGTGTCCAAAAATATTCTTGATGACACCCACACGTGTCATGCTAATTTAGAAACTGCCCATTTCAGCTTTAAACACTGAACGTTTCCACAGGGAATGCTCATAGTTCCAAATCAAGTGTTTTGAAAGAAACTGGGAGTTTAAAGGTGTTCTCTTATTTATAAAAAAAAAAAAAAAAAACAATTAAGGGGTCATTTGGCATACTTATATTCTGACGTTAAATCGATTTATTCCTCCTCCAGACGATCAGGAACGCAGACTGTCAGCTGTTCCTACAGGTCCAACAGTGGCTTCCTGTACCCCTTAGAGAGAGGCTTCATCTACGTCCATAAACCCCCCATCCATATACGCTTTGAAGAGATCGCCTGCGTCAACTTTGCGCGGGGCACCGGCAGCTCCCGGTACTTCGACTTTGAGATTGAGACCAGGAACGGAAACGTCTTCGTTTTCAGCAGCATAGAAAAGTAAGAATGTCCAATACAATTTTTTTTTTCAGGATTTAACATTGTCACACTGGTTTTTTTTTTATGTTTGTTCCATAAAATTATGCAGGGAACTATAGTTAAAGGGAATATGCAACATTTGCAAACATCAAAAAACAAAATTATCAAATTGTTGTGAAAAAGCTTACTGGACTGTTAGTGAATGACAGTCTATAGCATCCTGTAAAATCATGGCACCTGGTGTGCTGTCCTTTTCAAGAAAAGTGGTATTTTTGTATCGATTTCCAACACTTGGTCGGCCGACCAAAGTTGGAAAGAACTGGGTTTTTTTCTACATATTCTGCCCCCGAGTTTACCATTATTTAGTTAGTCCGCATTTTATTTCCAAACGATTATGAACGGTTACAAGCCAGCTAGACTGGTTCCTTGACCTTACCATTCCCTTACGTCTATAAATTGCTCCGTTTCATCTTCAGTGGGGTCAGGGAACCAGACTACAGGAACATGTTTGTTTTCTTGGTTTTTCCAACATTTATTAACACAAAACTTTAAACAAGTCAGTGTAACAATATTTGTTATAAAATACTAACCCCCAATTCCATCCATTTCTGAAAATCACAGCAAAAGCAAATGTCGTATATTCCCTTAAAAAAACGAACTTTATTCTTGTTACAGTTAAGAAGACGTCTGAGAAAAGTGTTTGTAAGTTTCCAACCCCTAACTTTCTTCACTCTAATAAACAAAGAACTGATTTATTTCCTACTTTGAAATGTCTCTTTGAAGGGATGAGTACAGTCCTCTATTTGACTTCGTCAGCAACAAGAAGCTGAGAGTCAAGAACAGAGGTGGCAACATCAAAGATGTAAGTTAACTTAAAAGTAGGCTTTGTGCATACATGCTTGTGCATGTATACATGATCTGATACACTGTGCCCTCTGGAGACATGTGCACAAAAGGGAACAAAAGATTGTATACGTCTCCACAGAGCAATTTCTATAGGTGGATACGTCTCCACAAGGTTATCACGAAATAGATATGTGGATTGTACTCAAAAACTAGGAATTTCCAAGGTGTGTCGCATATTGAAGTATTATATGTAAGGGATGTTAAGTCCAAATTTCAGCCCAGGAAATTAATTCTGTATCGTTTCGGTTTGCGGTAACACCATGTGGTAATAACTACTGCTTAGAAGATATTAGTTCTGAAAAGAACTTGTCCTGCTTATTATCAACTTTGCTAAGTAGTTTTTTGTTCTGTTAAGAACAGTCCTGCTGTAAGTTCTAAACGAACTTGTCTTTGGTCTCAACGTTTCGACTAGCCTGCTCTAGTCATCGTCAGGAGACTGTTAAATTAATTCTGGTTAAAATAGAAGCATTTTGAAAGTACACTTTCTCGAAAACTTTAGTACATGAGGACAAAGAAATGACTCCACAAGGATACAAATTTCAGTATGTGTGTTTGCGCGTGTATGGCTGAAGTAGGCACGATTGAAATTGGTCTCATTTAAAAAGTTGAAGTCCAATTGGAACCAAACTTGAATCATAGATGCAACATGGGGACCTTCATATGATAATGATGTGAAAGGTCACATGCCAAGGTCAAAGATCATATGAGGTCAAATGGGCTGAAAATTTAAAAGTGGTCTCATTTGAAAAGTTGAAGTCCCAATAGGAGCCAGACTTGGGTCATAGATGCAACATGGCAACCTTCACATGCTAATGATATCAAAGGTCACTCACCAAGGTCAAAGGTCACTCACCAAGGTCAAATGTCACTCTTTAAATATAATCACGAAAGCAGACGAGACGCGCGGTTCGAGAACCACCTTGTTTGCTTGAAGTTAAAAGTTTTTTTTTTTTTAAATACGTTGTTGCAAATGTGCTTCTCAAGCTAGACTTCGTAGCTTTTGTTCAAGTTGTGAAGTGGAAGTGAACGTTTTTTGCCTAAAGTTTATGACTTAACAATGTAGACCATTTAGATTCAGTAAGCCCTGCCCTGTGGTTTTCCGATCAATCAAAGTCCGACATGTTTACATGCGCGCGCATGACGTGTGCAGCTGGAACGTGCAGTGAGGCGTTGGAGAGGCTCGCATGTTGTTCAGAGATGAAACTTTTCCGATTTTAATTGGAAAACCGACTTTTTGAATTTTCCAATGAAATTTCCGATTTTCTTACAATGTGTCCCACAAAATTTGATTTTGTAATGATTTTTTTCACAAAATGCCATTTTATTTTAGTCATAATTTCGAAGAAAAGTCGATGGAAATGGCACGTTAAAATCATCGCGAATGTAGTTTTAATCTCTTTCACCAGTCGTTATTGGAGTGTTTCAACGGTAGAAACACAGGCCATAACACTGATCGGAGCCTTTACCGGCTGGACAAAAGGTTAAACATTGGTAGGTGACATGGAAAAATCACTGTGTCGCACGTGCGTGCATATGTACAAAGATGATATGAAATGGTACCATCGTACGCATATGTACCGCACTGTCCGCTAGCACATGGCCGGTTGGGAACGGGTAGCCTTGTGAACGAATCAACGATCCAGTGGATAATATCATTATGTTATGCGATTTTCGGAGGTTTCAGATTTAGTTGTACAAGATGCAATGCTTTAAAAATCATGATGATTATCTCGAGGATAGCGAAGAGAGCATTAGCGAAACAATTCACTGGCATTTGTTGGAAGAGAAAGACGATAATGCCTGATTTTTCCCCATGTACGAATGCAAATTGAGTAGTGGAGTTGTGTGATTGAATCATGGACATGATTGCCCTTGTCTTTCGGACTTTTTCCTTGACTTTCTCAAGTAAGAAGTGAACTTCTTTGTTGATGACTCCATTACTCTAACCGTAATTCAGGCGTTTTATGCAATGAAAACACTGACCTTTTTTTTTTTCATCGTAAAACTTTGTTTGAATCGAAAATAAAGCAGGAGTTGGTGTCCGGAAATTGGACATGAAGTGCATTGTACATGCATGTACATGTGTGTCGCGGCCCAGATTTTGGACACATATTTTTGTTTGGCCTATTTTCCGATTTTTTGCCATATGCCAGTTTCATTTCTAGTTGTTGCTCACGTGGGCAGTGGGCGTTGCCTATTGAATCGGTCTGGTAATAATCTCAAGGTACAGCTAGTTTTTAAAACATTTTCTTTCTGAATCTATTTTTCCGTTGAAGGGAAAGTCGGTTAACTACGAAGACATGGTGGACAGTGATGACGATGAGGATACCCACGATGCATACCTGGAACAGATGAAAGCCGAAGGCAGGGAAAGAGTTGTCGAGGAACCAGACGAGGATTACGTGGTTGACATGGACTCTGATGCCTCAGGTAAGGGTACCCGACTATTGAAACATAATAAATCTTACAACACAAGTCGATGCAAATGAATCTTATTATTATTATTATTATAAATCAATTCTGGTAATTATGAAACCAAGGATTCCTCAAAAGCGCCCTAGGCACTGTAGCTCGCAAGCCGGAAGAAACCTGTGGAGAGAAGTCAATGAGAAGAAATTGCAGTTTTAGAGGTGCGAGGAAAACCCCAGAATGATGTTTGAGGGAAAACCCATGGAATCAGGCAGGGACTGAAAACCCAATCTACATATTGGCCCAGGCGGGATTTGAACATAGAACTTTCTGACTACGCTTTCAGTGTTTGGTGAAAAATTCACATGAAAAGTGATTTCGACGTCACCAGACTTGCAGACTATATTTCAAGCCGGGAATATCAACGCAGCACACACAGATTTTGACTAAACTGATAATAATTTGTTTTCTTTGTAATTAACAGACAGTGATTTCAACCCCGGTGAAAGTGGAAGTGATGTAGCCGAAGAGTAAGTAAAAAAAAAAACAGTGTGTACTATACAACGCCTTAATGATCACGTTTCATTTAACCCTTTCCGTACCATGGGCGAATTTTGTCGACAAGAACTACCCCCCTGCTGATTCCCATGGGCGACTTTAGTCGACCAGGAAACCACACACAGAACACGCTTAAGACAGATATATTTACTACTTTTCAGTAATGTGGCATGTTGATATTTTTTTGGCCGCCCATACATCAACCATATACCAGATGAAAGAGTGTTTTTGGATCATTCTAATGGTGTAGTTTATTCATAGTGTTACCATTACCAAAAAATGAGAAAAGTGCTTCAGAAGTATCCACGCACTATTTGAGGTATGGAGTGCCATTTGGTCATGTGGTGAAATGGCTTGCAGTTTGATAAATGGGACCAGATGGACAAAAAGGCATAACAATCTTATGTTTGCACGCATGGACTTCATTTTTACATCACATAAAAGAGTTTGTTCAAGGAACAAACTTTACACACAACACCTATGATTTTAATCACTCCTTGGCAGTGAAAATCTGGGTTAAAAAAAGTGAGTTTTCGACTCATGCTTATTTTGGTCACGCTCTAGTCATTTCTGCATGACTGAGCAAACAATTTGGTCCTGGGGAGAGCCAAGTCAATAAACAATGTGGTAATGAAAGGGTTAATTAATTGTCCCAACCCACGGCCTGGCCGCACCTCAAAAATAGAAGTTCAATTCCATGGTAAATCAATGTTTTTTTTTATTGTTTCCCATGATTAGATATGACAGCAATCCCTCCACCAGTGACTCGGACTCCTCTTCGGGCTCAGACTCGTCAGAAGTTGAGGAGGGAGAACTGAAACGGAAGAAGCACCGCGATAGTAAACCAAAGAAAAAAGTCAAGACAGTGGTAAGTGACACAAACCAGCACCCTTCAAAGAATGTTTGAATATTTTGTTTTGTCTTGCACTAATGTGACATAATAGGACTATCAACCAGAGTTGTAATGACTCGAGTCCATGACTCGACTCGAGTCCGACTTGAGTCACAATAACTCGACTCCAGTCCCTATGGGTAGATGACTCGACTCGACTCAAGTCACTACGAGCAAATGACTTGACTCCCTTATCAGAAGACTCAACTCGACTCGAGCGAAGGCTAATAAGACTCGAGTCCCAAAAATAGACGCAAAACTTTGCGACAAATATTTGCAATGAATTATGGTGCAAAGTTAATGTTCATGAATACAGTACAGGTGTAAGCCATTCATGTGCAAAAAATTTTCCGTAATTTTTATTATATCACATAAAAAAAAAATTTCCCAAAAAATTAATTTAGTTTCTATTTATGAAGAATCGCTCATTTGACCCCTAAGCAGTCTGGGTTCCTCCTACAAATTGGTTAATTTTTTGTAAACAGTCGGAGAGACCACGCAAGAAGAGAAAAGAGAAGAAAGAGAAGGACCCCAACATGCCCAAGCGGCCCAGCTCGGCTTACATGATCTGGCTGACGGAGCATCGGGAGCAGATCAAGGAGCGCTACCCGGGCATCAGCGTGACGGAGGTGTCCAAGAAAGCCGGGGAGATGTGGAACAAACTGGAGGACAAGACGGAATGGCAGGAGAAGGCGGTCATAGCCAAGGAGGCTTACACCAAGCAGATGGCTGCGTACAAGGAGACACTGAAGGAAGACGGACCCCCTGTCCAGAAAAAGACAGCGACGTAAGTACAACCCTAGACTTAGAACCAGTGTTAGGCTTTGTCTGAAACGGGCTTCCAGAGCTACGGCTATTGGCAGTATGTCCCCGCATATTTTCAATGGAGGCAGACCTAGACCTAGCTCTAGACAGCCGATTCAGATGCAGCCTTATAGTCAAGTCCATCACAAGTCCATCACAAGTCTGGCAACGAGTAATAGGGGGATGAACAATAATATGGGAATGCTTCATGTCATAGTTCATTTTAACAGCTTGTGACTTGGCTGATTTTGACAAGATGGCTTGTGATGGCCTTTGGAGGACTTGTAATGGAGGACAAATCTTCACCCTTGTGTACAAAATTCTCACCACTCAAGCTCCATCATATCTGGTTGACCTATTACATTCCCATCACTCATATTTTCCTGATGCCTGAGACACCGACTCCGCTCATCATCCGATCAGACCCGGCTTTCTGTCCCTAGAAGTAGGAAGAAGGCCGGAGATAGCTCTTTCGTTGTGGCTGCCCCTCGCATGTGGAATGAGCTTCCTTCCTGTCTGAGAGAGGCGGTCTCGCTGCCTGAATTCCAACGTCTCCTTAAGACATACTTGTTCCAAGTCCAATTGTCATCGTATTGTGTCTGTTTCTCTTTCTGTTATTTTTTTGTTGTGGATGTGTGTTAGGCGCTTTGTTCTTTGTATTAACCCTTACTCTCTGAGGGTAGTTTACTGCATGTCAGTTGGTTATGCCAATGCCCTCCAGCTGCAGTTATTTGGCAGATAACAAGTCTTAACAGTGAAGGCTCCAATTGGCAGGAGTTGGAGGCCCTGGAGGGTGCCTGATACTGACCAGCTGGGGGCACTCACTTTGTTATCAGAGGACTCTCATTGTTCTCTGTGGCATGTATTGGAGTGCCTGTCCAGTTACCCTTGAAATGACATGGCAGATATTGGAGGGCCATGCAAAAAACATAGGAGATTTTCTTGAGGCACAATTGGCATGCATTGGAGGGTCAAGTAGGGTAAGGGTTAAAGCGCTATATAAATACTTTGTATTATTATTATTATCATAATGGACTTGTGATGATGAACTGAACTGCAACACTGCTTAGACTCACAGGCGGCAGAATGTTTAAAAAAATTTAAGCTCTGGCAGGAGCTTCTTCATGTCACTTGGTGGTTGGTCTGTCTGTCTGTCTGTCTGTCTGTTCCCAAAAATTGACCAAAAATATTTGACCAAAAATTGAGCAATCGCCATGTCGTCATCAGTAGATGCACTCTTAATGAAAGTTTTCGGATCACAGGCTTTGTCTCGATCGATGCGCATGTGCGTCTATGTCTGTCCCTGGAAAATTGACCCAAAACAAGCGCCCTAAAGTTTCCCATAAAATATAACTACCAAATTTTAATTTTCAAAGAAAAAGCAAACAAAAGAAATTAAATACTTTTTACAAAAAATTGTTTATGAAAAATTTGCAAATGGAGGCAAAATAGTGCTGTAATGTTATAGTCACTTGGTATGTTGTGTAGTGCTTGGACGGTATCCAGAAGGAGGAAATGAAAATTGACCAAAAATATGGTGTTCGATATGTGCCATCGGCGTCACAGCTTATTGTGCACCCGCACTTGTTAAGCCATGCATGAAGGTTTTTGCTAAAGGTTAACCAAATTGAATGTAGATCTTCATCCTTATTACATATCCACATTCCTGCAAGGACGTCCATTGGTACGAGTTCTGTAGGCATGAAATCTTACCTACGATACTTTGCCTTTAGAACAGCCTCGACTCCAGGGACGCGTGCTCTGCCTCACACTAACCCCTGGCTGTGATGATGACGTAAATGACACTGAATGGCTATTCACAGCGTACTGCGCGGGCATTTCGAAGATTGCACGCCGGGCGCGCCGCACCCATAATGCGCTCGCGCTTGCGCTTGCACTTGCGCTCGCATGCTTAGCTTTGCACGTAACGTCACGTACAAAAAAAAATTATGATTCAAAAGTCGCGAAGCGTGTACGATATGGATTATGTCAGCCGCGTTTTTCGCTTAAAAAAAACCTGTATCTGTGGTTGTAAATGCACGAAAGGGGTACGTACATTTAATACAAATCTTTGCTAATTAACACAACGTCCAAACGTTGTGTTTGAAAGGATTGATTCTTCAAAATCACAACTTTTTAACATTTTAAAGATGGCGTCGGCACGTAAAACGGATAAACTGCAGCCCTAATTATGATGTACCATATTTTGGTACATTTAAATTACACAATTCCAGGGGTTACGATCGCGCAAGGCATGATGGGAAACAACATGGTACTGCAAGATTGTACCCATGGGGCACGAGGTTGCCTTTAGAAGAACTATCATAAATCTACCAAATCCTGGTGTGTGTCTAGATAACTTTGTTCTCTTCAGGTGGTGGGGTGGGGCTACAAAATGCTTAATTTGATTTCCATACAATTTTGGAAGTTGCTTAAAACTGAAAAAGGGACTGGGGCTAACAAATTAAAAGCCAGAGTCCATCATTTGCAGCTATCCAAAAAGTAACTGGCGTAATTATTGTTGAGAAAAATACTTGGTTGAAAGATAGTAAGGGGACTAAACTCGCTGTGAAATTAATCTTTCTGGTAAGCTGTCATTTTGAAGAAATCAACAAAAGAAGGCATTTCCAATGGTTCTTCTTAAGACGCACCGTAGGAAATTTAAATTAGTAGTTCGTTTTGTTATTCGGCGAAGGGCGCACAAGCATTGGCATGACGCACACGCGCGCGCGGTTGCATGACGCACACGCGCGTGCAGTTGCTGTAATTCGTCGGATCAGTGCGCAACATCGCGTAGCTGCAATCGGCTCATTGAGAACGTGTCTCAGATGCTGAATTCAGGCCCAATTCAAAACATGATTCAGCAACTTTGGATTTGACATCGAGATCCTATAATGCTGTTTTTCTCGGAATATACAGCTGAAGCTGAGCTGAAACTTCATCGGGTTAGTTGTTCAGCACCCTTTTTTGGATTTTGAGCACTTTTGTTGCTTCAAGCGAACAAACTGCACAAATTACAAATGATGGACTATACCTTTAACAAAGATTGACAAAGGAAACAGGAATTCTTTTTTAAACCATGCATCGAATAAATGTATTACCTCAAATCAGAACATGCATTTAAAAAGTCTGCACTCTAAGCCAATTGAATCATTGAGTATATAGGCTTTTAAACTCTAGACTGCGGATAAAATATAAAGTAGTGGTGGGAGAAGTCAGAGATTTAAAAACCAATTACCACATTTTTTTTCAAACCGAATATCGGTTATCTGATTTCACCTGAAGTTCCCATCCAGCTCACAGTCATGCCAACAAAAAGTGACGAGTGAGGTGCCGCATGCAATGCCCTCCCAATGACTGGGTATAGTTTGCAGGATTCAATGACCGCTGGGCCTGTAAAAAAAACACTCCAGAGCTGTAATGTTGAAAAAGATGGATGGGAACTCTCTGATAAGTCGAACATCTGGGCAGCCTGTTCATATATATGAACCAAGATGACCACTGGCAAGTGCATGCAGTTGCAATCAGAGACCATGGAGCATAAAAATGGAAGGCTTAATTTTTTTGTAAGGTTGGTTTCAAATATTCAGGTTTTTTTTTTTTTCATAACAAACTTTTACAGTCAAAATTGTCTTAAAACATAATTTTTAGCAAAATTTTCAAATCCTTTACATTCATGCTTAATCAACCACAAGGCAATTAACTTACTAGTCTTCTTATTTTGTATGAAAGCTATTTGACCATTTTTTGTTTAGTTTGTTTAAAGTCACTTTAAACATTGAAAAAAATCCTGGCAAATGAGGGCGCTATTTCTGTGATATCATTTCAGGAAGACACTGTTCATATTGGGTGTTTTCTGTTGGAATTGTCATCCCAAAATTTGGTCAATGGTAAACCGGCCTTTAGTGAAATTGCTGCTTCATATCAGATGACCATTGTTAAAAATGATGTCGCCACAGGAAACTGGTGCCATTCAAAGGCATAGAACCTTACTGAACTTCCCGCCGCTATTACGAGATTACCACTTGGTGTGAAAGCAATACCATTTGCGCAATTACGTGTACCTATCTTGATTACACATCCAACGTGCTCGCCATCAGGACTAAAACGATGAATTTCATCTGAAAATGGAGAGTCAGACTGAGAAAATGCAACGTAGATATTACCCTCCCTGTCACAACACAGTCCTTCGGCATCACTACGGACACCGTCATTGGCTCGTATTTCATTTGAAAACACCATGGCGCCCTCATAGTCAACTGACTGTAACTTTTTGCAGTTGGTGTAAATAAGACGGTCTTTGCTCATAGTTAAATAGTGACCTATGCCTGGTGCTGGCAGTATCCGAATGAGTTGTCCACCTGGCCTGTGAAGGGATATCTCCTCCTTGTTCTGATAACCCACAGCTATCTGATTATTGTCGTCCACTGCAAGGCATGTTGGTTTACTGTTCGGCTTTTTTCCAGGTCTGAATTGCCTAAGTGATCTATACATCCTGTAAGTCTTGATGACTGGACCAGCTAAAATGATAAGGTTGTCATATTTGTTCACCGCCACGCATGTAGGGTTATGAAGATCATAGATCTTAAGTTTTTTGGAGGCTGCAGAGGATGCGGGCGTCTTGAGAGATGTACTTATAAGGTGCTTGCACTCGGCATCCACAATGATTACTTCATTGTCAGAGAATGCTGCTACATGAGTGGCAGATTGTATTTGAAAGTCTACCCTACTTACTTCCCAATACCTTGCCAGACTTGGAGTCTTCTTGCGTGGACTTGGTTTTTCCACAAATAAGAGTTTCCCTATTTCTTGTCTAATTTCATCACCCTGGAAGTCCATGGAAGACAACTCCCAACCATGCATGTCCCAACGCACTCTCTTTGGCTGTTTCATGGTCAGTTGTCTGAGATTATGCAATAGTTTCTGCTTGAGCTTAAGTGTCTCATGACAGCTTGCTTGATCTATGAGTTGTTTCATCTCTTC